GTTATATATTTCAAGTGGTGGGTAAACTATTCAATGGAAGTGGGTTACAGGAAAATCTACATGGAATCCTGGTTTCACACATTTAACTTAACTCTCCAAAATTGGTTGAGTTCCATAGTTGTTCCCTTAGACCAATTCTGTGGAGGTTTACCGTCTAAAATTTGGTGGTGTCAACCGAAAAATGTCCCTTAAACCAAACCTGGGATTTCAAGATATTCTTTGACCCATAGGGGGGAATCAGATTTGGGTACCCCGGTTATTAAAAAAAAACAGCGAACCAGTTTTTGTCACTACTGGAGGGCACCACCTCATTTGTTGGTAAAATCCGAGGTAAAATCTATGTTGATATATGTTGAGGGTTCAATCCTAGTGTATCTCAGTTTTAAATCCTGTTGTATCCGACTATTGTTAGGTTATACCAGCTATTCCTGTCATCCCATCCCCAATGGATCCCAGTCAGAGATCTGCCAAGGCCAAAACCTCTGAGACAAGGCCAGGCATGTCTTTGGTCTTCAGCAGCCTGGCCGGCTGATACAAAGTTGCGGATTTGGGTCGGAATTGGGGATCATTCAACAGAAGTAGCTTCAGGATGCAATTTATGGTACATCTACAGCTCATGGATTTTAATGAGGTTTGTTTGTGACAAAAATTCCTCGCAAAGGTCCAAAATCAGGGATGGAAAAACAAACAAACAAACAAACAAACAAACAAACAAAAACAGCAACAACAACAACAACAAAACAATACAACATATCAGCAAAACAAAAGTGGATTGAAAAATGAAAACATAGACTCAACAGAGGACTCCGAGAATCACCAAAAAATGGAAAACATAGATACAAGAAAAGACTCATCAGCAGAACAATGCAGAGTTGCTGTTTGTTTACCTCAGTTTTTCAACAGCTGTGGTGCTTTTCCAAAACAGAAAAGAAACACAAATCCAGACTCGGTTCCAGATTCAAATCCGGAATCAAATTTAAACCCAAATCCAACAGTTCCAGACCGGTTTTGTTTTTGTGTTTTGCGTGCGCGTGTGTTAGTGATTTGTTTGTTGTTTGAGTATTCTGTAAACTCTCTGATTTCCAATTGATAATTGATTGTTTTGTTTTTTCTGATTTGTTATATGTGTTTGTTTTTGAGTTATTTGAGTTGTTTTACGTTTGATTATCTTTTGGTGGGCTGCGTTTTCTGTTTTTGTTCCCCGCCTGCCAGGCGAGGATCTCTAGATTTTATCAGAACAGCGAGTGCCAGATCCAAGTGGGCGCTGCCGGACCTGACCCAGAGAGAATGCCAGATAGAATGCCAAAAAAAAATGTCAAAGAGAATGTCAGAATAGATGCCAGAAAGAATGCCAGAATGAATGCCTGGAAAGATGTCGGAATAGATTCCGGATAGAATGCCAGAAAGAATGTCAGAGCATGTGCCAGAAAGTATGTCAGAATAGATGGCAGATAGAATGTCAAATGGAATGCCAGATAAAATATGCCATATATACTTCCAGATCGCATATCAGAAACAGGGTGATCACTCGAAGAAAATAATTTTTGTTTTTTCCTGAATCAGCACTTCGGTGGGCATTCTAAATTACAAATTTATATAGTCTGTATATCTGTAAATATCTGTAATATAATTACACACCAAGTGATAACTAAATGACTGGTTAGTGGTTTTAGCCAATAGGGATCATCATTGATCATCATGTGGTTGAACATGAAAAGTAGTTCATGTTCGACCAACCAAATCAGAATCCACCATCCCATTAAAATGAGGACTGTCCAATCATCTTGCACATGTGTCTGGAAGGTTTCTTCCAAGTTTGACCTAGACTTCAATGTTTTCCCAATTCAAAATCTGACAAGGTTGACCTTTCCAGCATGATGAAAAGCATAGCTACCTAGAACCGGGGGTTGCTAGGACCAGCTAAGCTAGGAGTTGACAAGCTGCTGGATGTCGTGACCGCCAACCTGCAAAGCTCCAAGAACATGTCAACAAGATCTGCCTTCGGGATAGACTCCTCAAAAACGTTCAAAAGAAGCCGCTGGTCTTGAGTGAAAATTCAAGAATTGTGCAGATTATACAGTATAATACATAATAATACATCATACAGATTGTCTCAGTTGTCTGTCTTGAAGCCACGGTGCAACACTAAACCAATGGCAGAATCCCTCTCCTCCAGCGCTTCCTTGTCCAGGCCAAGCCGACGTAGCTCCTTCGGCGCCGTGGAAATTTTCAACCATCCCCCAGTCAATAGTTTCCCAAGCCTCAGGGGTGGTGTGAGAGTCTGAAGTAACCAAGTATAAGTGGAGTGAGTGGCCTATATCATACAAAATTAATACATATTAATACAATATGTCCAATATTTCGTAATCAATCGGGTTATGTTTTGACACCATGTATTGGACCTCCAAGTGCTGGGTGAGCCCTGGCTAGCCCTGGTCGGTTCTTTCATGCTGGTCGCTGGGATCATCTGGGTATGTTTCAAAATTGGGTACCTCAACCCCCCCTGGTTTCGCACGATCGAAATGGCCATGAAATATCATTATAAATGGCGCTAAATCATCATCTTCCCCATTTTTTCATAGAACAACATTGCCATTTTATCTCATATAAAATGGGGATAGATATGGATGGGATATCATGGGATAGATCCCCGTGGGTCCCAAGCCACCAAGCCCACCTTATCTCGCTTGATGAGACTTCGAGTGTCCACTGACTTCCAGGCTCTTCGTGCCTGGGATGGTCCGAAGACAAGATCTGTTCGATTCGTTTTGGGGGGGTTACAAATTATAAATTATAAACATCTATAATTCGATTATATAATTCTATAAACCCATGCAAATGTGCGATGAGTTCAATGTTCGCAGATTTTCAGAGGTCTTTGATGAGCAGTGCTTGGAAACTTTGGGGCACAGCAGACAGTTGGTAGCTCCAGAATGTAGTACGCCGTGCCTCTTTGGGGGTGCCCTTTAACTGTCAACAGTGGGCTGCGTGTGTCTGTTTGATGATTCGATTTGTGTCACATGTCTTAGCGGCATAACGATATCATACGATGTCAACATCACTGGTCCAAGATGTGTTATTCCGTGCTCAGGACTCAGGACCCTTGTTTTTTTGTTCCAAGCGAAACGGACTCAGTACCATTAGACATCCCAGTCACAGCTGATGCGTCCAAAACCTAATATCAATACCGTCACCTAGCCATGCCAAATCAGGATGGAAAGGCAAATATCTCGACATATCAGTATCTTAACATCAAAGAACTTCAAGCCAAGGATCCACCATATCCATATCACCATGGTTCAGCTTGAACAGAAGATAGGACAATGTTGGGGTAAAAGAAAGAACCTCAAGCAAGACAGGTTTGGACAATTTACGGGACGTCCATATTTTCGAAGACCCCATGGGCCTCTGCCAAGTCTTCACGCAACTTACAGGCCTCAATGTGCGAAGTCCACTGCCCTGGTGTAAGAAGTGTTAAGACTAGGGAAAGGCTCTGTGGATCTGGGTTTGTACAATCTGAAATTCAACATGTCATCACGTTCGATTTTGGGTTCCATGAGGGTGGATGAGGGTGGTACATCCCTGAACTGGGAAACTCAGCGACCGGGAATGGGGAGGCTTTTGGCCAATCTAATCTGGTGGCTTCAACCCATCAGTCTTAGTCGATTGGCTCCATCATCCCGTTGCGCAACGGGTTGAAAATATATCAAAAACATGTTTGAAACCACCACCCAATCCTTTTCATCATTGAAACTGGGGCATTTGGCCCCAGCTCGTCCCAACAATCTGAGTCTCCCTGGAAGCACCCCCAGCTGCTTGTGCCGTGACTCCCTGCCGTTCGATGTTCGGCCACCTGGTCTTGACACTTCTTCACCAGGGCTTTAGCACCTCAGAATCGATGGAGATGGAGGAACAGCTACATGGTGCATGATCATATCCTAAATCTCATGGAGCCTTACATACACCTGGAACCTACATGACCCCTGTTTTGGATGGTTAAGTAGGCTAAGTCCCCAACTTTGGGTCAAAACCGTCCAAAAAGGGATCCCAAATGCGTCTTATGTAGGTTTCAGGCATCAGCACATCAATGCACTTGTGAGTAAGTACTAAGTGACGTTGGGCTGCATAACATAGGATCCTATCCCCCGAGAACGGGGGCACTTATCACGCTTGTCTAAATCAGGTCATCCTGAACAAAATGACAAGAAAATCGAAGGGCTGAAGGACAATATGTTCACGCCATTTCACGTTCATGCTGTCGAACAACAAAAAGTAAAAGATATATATATATATATGAATCTATGAAAGCTCTTTGTCTTTGTCTGCCACAAGTGAACAGGAGGTGCCACCAAAGAATCTGGTACATTAAAAGAAAATCACAAGGCATCAATAGATTTTTGACCTGCGACACCGGATGACACCGGCCAAGGGCTTACAAAGGCTTGGCCAATGTTTTTCGGGATCCCAGGTGTTGCCCGGTCCCAAGCTTTGGAACAGCTTCATCCAGGAGATCACCGTAGATATCCGTAGATCATCTCTGAGCTGCCACACGTGCAGGCAGTTCATCTGCAGAACATCCCATGGCTGTAGCAAGGCCTTGCAGCACATCTGCCTCGGGGATGGTTCATGGGATTGATGCCTGAAACAGGACATCCATCCCACAATGGGAATCCCTATAATGGATATATATATATATATTAATATTATTTCTTTATTATCATTATTATTATTGTTATTACTATTATTAATATTATATGTGTGTGATTATATGATCATTACATATATATATATCATTATATATACATATTATTATATATATCATTATATATATATCATTATTTATATATATATATAATATTATACATATATATATATATATATCATTATATATATATCATTATATACATATCATTATATATATATCATTATATATATATCATTATATATACATATCATTATATATAATTATGTATATATCATTATATATAATTATATATATATCATTATATATATATTATATCATTATATACATCATTATATATATATATCATTATATATATATATATCATGATATATATATATATATATCATTATATATATATCATTGTATATATTATATCATTATATATATATCACTATATATATCATTATATATATATCATTATATATATATTATATCATTATATATACATATCATTATATATAATTATGTATATATCATTATATATAATTATATATATATCATTATATATATATTATATCATTATATACATCATTATATATATATCATTATATATATATATCATGATATATATATATATCATTATATATATCATTATATATATATCATTAAATACATATCATTATATATATATCATTATATATATATCATTATATATATATCATTATATATATATCATTATATATATATCATTATATATATATCATTATATATATATATCATTATATATATATCATTATATATATATCATTATATATATCATTATATATATATATATCATTATATATATATCATTATATATATATATATCATTATATATATATATCATTATATATTATATCATTATATATATATAATTATATATATATATATATCATTATATATATATATTATATCATTATATACATCATTATATATATCATTATATATATATATCATGATATATATATATCATTATATATATATATATCATTATATATATCATTAAATGCATATCATTATATATATATATATCAATATATATATATCATTATATATATAGCATTATATATATATATATCATTATATATATGTCATTATATATATATATCATTATATATATATCATTATATATATATCATTATATATATAATTATATACATGTCATTATATACATATCATTATACACATATCATTATATATATATAATAGAGAGAGAGAGAGATCATTATAGATCATTATAGATCCCTCTTTTAATGGATTGATGGCTATCCACCAAGGACATCCAAGGACAGAACATATTGAACTTGACCATGGCACCTCTGTTGCTGATCTTTCCAGGTTCAACAAGATGTATGGGTCAAAATTGGGTATCCCAATAATTAGATGGTTCATACATGTTAACTTATTAAACATATTGTGAACTTATTAAACATGTTAATACTTAAAATCACATGTTAATACTTATTATTCTAAAATCACCTAAAATCTCTGGCTTTCAGAAAGGGCTTCAATAAATTGACCCATCCCCTGCCATCCCCTCCCCGTTTCATAAAACACTTCGCCCAAGGTGCTTGAGCTTTCTGGCCTTGCTTCAGCTGTGTAAGATCCGATGGCTCCAAGCATGCCTGGCTGGGCTCATCCTGGGATCTCCTGGGATCATGTCCTATGATGTCCTATGATTTTATAAGGTTTCCTTATAGTTAATGGAAACTATAGTATAATACCTCATATGGAATCTATAATCCCCATAGTTGTTCTTGTTTTCATAAGATTATGGATTCATAAGGGAGATTCTTGGTCCAAATTCTTGATGTCCCTGTGGATATGCAAATTATGCAATTGGTTGGGTAATCCTAGCTACCCAGTACCTACCGCCATGATTTAGGCTTTTCCCGCAACTTAGGATCGACCTGCTCACCGACGTCAAAAAACCCTGATATTTAGATGTATTTCATACATTTTACTACATGTCTTGATCCAAGACCCTTTTTCCTGCAACAACCCACGGGCCATTGGCCTGTTGACCCCTGCATTGTTTGCTTTCCGTGCATTGTTTGCATTCGTGTGCGCGTTTTGTAGGTTCAGACCAAGTTTCATTCCTTATCAGAAAGGTCAAAGGCGGATCCTCTTCCTTTGCTTTTCGAAGGTCTACTTTCAATATTTTGTCTTGCAGGGGCGGGAAAATACTGATTCATCACCAGGAAATTGAAATAAGGGTCCTCTTCCTTCCGTTTTGGACGGTCTACTGATGAATATCTTGGCTGGTTGGAATGCTCTGCTCCTGGCGCAAACTGTTGAGTACCAGTGGCAGGAACTGCTGTCGCAGGAAATCCCAACACCACAGATACGTTTGAGGGAAATGATGGGAAATGGATATATACATGGATATATAATGATAATATGATAAATACTCAAGAGGCAAAATGACTCCTTTACCCCTACCCCGAAAAAAACTGGCTATGATTCCCCTAGAATGGGTTGGAGCATGTTGGAGCCTGGCGAAAATGAGCAAAATTCTGGGTGCGATTGGCCCCCTGTTGACCAAGGTTGCCAACTGTTCACCTTTGTTGCGGTGGTTTCAACTGAGTAGCAGCGGCCTGTGTTTCTTGGTTGCGATGTGAAGAGCTGCTTTTGAACCTGAAGGCCCAGAAAGGTGTGCCGACTCAAAATGGGAATAGGAAGGAACAGGTCAGTACCTACGGGAGCATCTTCTTGGGAACACCATAGCTACCATCTATTTTGCCGGGAAAACCAGGGAGATCCAGGGAGGGTTTTGAACACACATGAACACACACCCAAATGACAAAGGGACAACATGTCAATTTAGACGCACGTCATGCTATAGGTCCCACGAGACATCTCAAAAAATGACCTTTGGTCAGCAACAATGCAGAAAAGCATGCGTCTTGAGTTCAATTCAGGCATGTCTACCCACGGAACTCGAGATGGTGGATATTCTGTTTTCACGAGCAGCTTTCAAAATCGCCAGTACACCACTCATGTATTTGGTGGAATTCAGTCTTGCAAAAGTTGAAACGACCACATGCGGGAAAGCTTGTCTCAAGCTTGGTGCGAGTCTTCACGCATCTAGACATGTTCCCTAAATCATCCGAAACCGATTGAAATCATTTGAAATCTGCAGTTTCTGTTCATTTTAGGCATTCGGTATTTCACAAATGTCAGATGCCAAACACGAATCCAGCACACCCGCGTCCCGACCTTGTACACATCTGCTTGACTTCGCCCAGCACCTGAGGCATTTCACCCACTGTGGAGGTCAGTGCCCCCGAGGGATCCCGAGGGCCTCTGCAGGGGACAAGGCTTTTCCATGAAGCTCCTGGCGAAGTCGACATACCAACGTTGCTGGAATCCTGGTTGGTTTCTCGGTGAACATTCCCTGCAAGTGAACTACAAGTTGTCGACTAAAAAGTTATGTTTAACCGTTTAAGCATTGGCATTGGATCTAATGTCTGAGGTTTTATAACCTGACAATGTGAAATCATGTGAAATCCCAATATTCGAGAGCCACAGCAACGTGTTGATTTTGAAGCCAGCGATGTCTTTTTGATTGATGGTACACCTACCCAGTCTTGCGCGTGCAAAAGTCAAAGTGTTTGATACACCATCCAGCGTGCGTTTGGACAGCTACGGCCATGGCCTTCAATGCATCCAAAGATCCTTGTGCAAGCCTTGGGCAAGGAAAACTGTTACAGTTCCAGCACAAATGCATTGACATGTATTGACATCTACGAGTATTGACGTGAATGTCATACTGTCCAATATAAAGGAAACAATATGAAAAAAAACAATTCAACAGCATGCACTCTGGCCATCTAAACTGGCAATGAAACATCCCCATTTATAGCAGGTGTTCAAATGATTTCCCACTGTCAGATCAATTTTACCAAAGGCTAATCCTCATTAGGAGCTGCGAAGAGGACCCGGCTGCATCATCTCCTGTGAGGCTTCAACGTTGGTTTGCCTGCATCCGGTCATGGTCATCTCATGTCATCTCACAGCCTTTTGTCTCAATGGGTTGAACTACACAAATCCTGGCCCAACTATTCGGATCTTGTCTAAACATCTAATGGCCAAGACAAAAGTGCAAGACGGTGTCTTATATGTCCCTATTTTATACATATCCCCACTATGTGTGGCGTATTTAGTATTAACCATGCAACGTGCCAGCCCTTAGGGCAGGAGTTTCAGGCAGCGTAAACAGCAGCGTTGCGTAAAACAGTTCCCCTGCCTGGAAGTTTCGAGGCGCTTCACCTGGAAGTTGACATCCCAACATACCAGTTCACCATTGATCAAAACCAGTTGTCATCCTTGGGATCGCAACATATCAACCTTATTGTCCCAACCGAATTTTATAGAATTTGTAGAGGAAGGTTTGGACTCTTTGGAAGGAGTCAGCCCACCAACAGCTGGTGTTTTTTTTCAGGGCTCAACGTGCTCAACTGGTCATTGTTTTACGGAAAAACGTCTCGACCCATGACCCTCTGTTCGTCTCTCCTATCATAATGCCAGTTTCATCCATTTTCCCAGTTTCATCCATTTTCCCTAATGCAACGGGGATAACGCAGTGGGGCAACTAACCCTAACAACAGGGTAAACCGAAGACCAACCTGATGGTCAAGCTCCACGGGGAGCGGCACGAGTGTTTTGGCCCAAACGCCCACCCTCATGTAACGGGTGGCTTGTGACATGTGCAAAAAGGTCATGACATGTCTGTCATGCTCGCATCCCATACACTTACTGACCTTTTTGTACACTTTACAGGTCTAAGTAAATGGATGGTACTGTACATCTTCTTCTATCCATGGCCAGCCGCTTTTCTCGGCCATTTCTTTCACAGCAGCTACAAAGAAGTCTTGATCTTCTCGGAGTTTTCGTTCGAGGGCTTTCTTGTGCACCTTGCGGCCAGCAGTGAAGGTCTCGTCATGCACCAGCTTCCAAAACTGCTTCTGCGCGAAGAACTGGAGAAGGGCTTTGCGGTCGTTGTACTTGGTCAAGGTGTCAGCCAGTTGAGCCAGCCCACATACCCAACGAAAAAGTGTTCCAGCTTTCTGCGCTTGGATCACCGCCAGGGTCAGCTCATACCCAGCTCGTGAATCTCGAAGTCCATGGAGGCTTGAGAGGTTCCTTGTAGAGGCGTCATAGATGCCTTTGGAATCCATCACAACGGCTCCAGGTACGGAAGCTATCTGACGATGTAGTTCCTTCCTTTCCAGCTGGTGGCCACATAGTTCGTAGAACAGGCCACGAATCTGGAAGTTCATATCTTCAGCTATTGTTATGCTTTGAACTTCAGCACCATTTGAACTCAGGGTCTGGCGAGGTGTGCGGCCAGATTTCCATTGAATAACAGCCACTTGCGTCTCTTGCCCTTGAAGAATTCCTTTTGGTGCAAGTCCAGTAAGCACGCCGATTGTGCTTCCCTTGTCACTTCTGTTGTGGTTGCTCGCGTCAGTCCAACTGATCACCGCCAGCTCGTCCAGAGAAACTCCATGCCAGTGCGGAAAAATTAATTTCTGCTGAGCATTTCGTTTCATGTCTCTGATGAGCTTGTTGACCTTGTGAATCAGGGCCACTTTGCCCTTGTTTATCTCACCCAGCAAAAGTGAGGTGTCTGCCAAGTACTGGGGGGCAGATTGAGTCGCCCGCCAGGAAGCAGTACCCAACGCTCCACGAATCGCTGAAATCTCATTCTTGGTGAGGTCAGCTCCATGTGGTCGCTTTGCGTCCACCTCAATCTCCTCTATAAACTTTAGGGTGTAGTCCTTCTGGTCCATGGTGATCTCGAAATTGTCATGTTGGACTATCCAGGTGCCAGCAAACTCGAAGCCATCGCTTGCTGAAGACCATTTTCCAAATCGAAACTTGGCTCGAAGTGCACGTTCAGCTTCTTCGTAAACCTTTGAACCAGGCCGTCCAGCGATGAGAAAATCATCAACATGTAGGCCTGCAACTCCAGCAATCCGTTCAGCTCCATCGACCGTCTCGGTCAAAACAAAAAGGCATTTGTCGCCCAGAAGGGGCTTCCATCCAAATTGCTTCATTGCTGAGACCACAGTTTCCCACCACTTGCGGGGGGAGTGAACTAAGCCATAAAAAGCTCGAAGAACACGTAGAGCTCTTGGATCAAGTGGGTTCCCTCCAAAGTAGGATGAAAGCTCAGGCGGCGCCCAGACATAGAGCTCTTCTGACTCCAGGCTCTCATCGGTCTGCAAAAATGCCGATGTGACATCTCCAGCGCCCAGCTTCAATCCACAGGCAGCGCAGACTGCCAAAAGGAGGTTTCTTCCTACCTTGCTGAGGGTAGGAGAAGTTGTTTCAACTTCGCACAAATTGTGCGCCTGAAAACCCAAAATGACCAATCGCGCCTTTGCGCTTCCATCGCCCTTCCAAGTGAGCACCCAGCGCATATTCATCACGCGGGACTTGTCCAGGTTGAGGGATTCATCCTTGGTGATGTTTCTCAGTGCTCGGGAGGTAGCCACTTGGCTAAGTTCCTTGGCCATGGCGATGTCGAAAAGCTTCTTCTGGTCGAGCGTCAGCTCCTTCCACTGTACCTCTTTGCTCTTTTCAGCCATCTTGCGTGACAGCCAGATATTGGCTTTCCGGTTGACACAGTTCTTTGCCAACCATTCATAGTCTTCACTTTCAACAGGAAGCTCCAGGGCAAAGAAGGTTTCTTGAGGGGCAGGTTCAGAAGGGTCGGCAGGTGCAACATGAAGAGAATCAGGGAGAAGTTCTTCTGAAGACGTAGATTCGGCGTCAATGCCATCATCATCATCATCTTCAGCTTCAATTTCTTCCGTCACAAACTTCTTGCCTTTGTAGGAGTCATAAAGAAACTTCCCTTCAGGTCCTTGATGTACTCCTTGATGTCCACCAGGTAGTTCGCATCCAGGAATGGCGCACTCATTGCTGCCAGCGCTCCCTTTCAAACGAACTGGTAGGCCATCAACTGCATCACTGCCGTATCGCAGCAAGGCATCGTTCAGGCTGCTTGAAGGAATCTCCTTCCCAGGTACTTCTTCTTCAGCATGTCCAGGAGGTAGATCTTGTCCAGCTTGAAGAGGTAGATCTCGTCCAGCTTGAAGAGGTAGTTCAGGTTGCTCCTGGTCATCGAAGATGTCCTTCTCGTTCTGCTCCTTCTGAAGCTCGTCCAAGTCCTTCTCGGGAGGCCGCTTGAGGCCTGTCTTCGGCACGCTTCTTCTCACCTTCAAAGGTCGCGGACCCATCTTCATCTCAAACTGCGTCTCGCCAGTCCATCGATCTTGCAATGTCTTGACAACTTCCATGTTGTCATGGATTCGAACTTCATCTCCACCTTGAACAGGTCGCACCACTGTCGTGCGTTTGCCAGTGAGCTCGTCCATGGAAACCGGACAGGTTTGAACTCGTAGGGGAGAAAACAAAGCAAGTCTTGGAAGGTGGTGTATGCGCACCAGGGTCTTGGAGTCCTTGTCCTCACGAAGCTCCCAAGTGTCAGCACGTTGAGCTTCAGGTCGAGGTTGAACTTGAACTTCCGTAGGGCTCAGGTCTTGTTGAAGTTGTTGTTCGCTCGGCACATTGCCGGTCATGTCATAGTAGTAGCGTCCCTTGAACGCTCTCATCAAGGTCTCAGTGGTGATTGGAGTCTTGTGGACTGCCGTGCCTTCCAAAGAAGCTGTCAGCTCCTCTCTTCTGGTCACAGGTCGGATCTGGTTTGCCTTTGCTCTCACAAGAGTGCTTCCAGTCGCTAGCCAGATCGTACTGCCTTCAACCAGCACAACACGTAGAGGGCCAATCCAAGAACCACCAACGCGCCCAGGTTTCATCCTTTGGCGCCAAAGCATCACCAGTTGACCCGTTGCCACCTTCACTGGCGGCCGTGTCACAGCATTGGCCAGCTTGCTGAAGCGATCTCGGGCTCGTTCACGTTCAAACGCAAGTCTTGCCTTTTCACGGATCTTGAGAAGACCACCAAAGGCTTTGCCAGCTCGAAGTCCAACTGGGAGGTTCTCCAAGGTGGCATTGGCATAGTCTTTTCCGTGAACCCATTGAAACGCGCTAAAACCATGAGCTCCAACATGAGAGTTCATTGCATGGGCTGCCAGCTGAAACAACATTGGCACATCATAGGGGCCTTCTTCTTGAAGGAGCTTTTCAACCACTCTTTTCGCATAGCCTATGGCTTGCTCCTCCGCACCCATGATCCAGTGAGCTTCTGCAGGTGCAATTGTCAGCCCAACACCAGCGCGGGCCAGGTATTCAGTGAATTCCCAACTGGTGTAGTATCTGGCAGAGTCGGCAATGACCCATGTTGGGGCCGGATGATACATCATCCACTTGGTGAGAGACTTGATCACATCCTCTGTTTTGGGCTCCCAATGGTCGCCTTGGTGAAGGATGTCGATCATAGTGAGGCCACTTGCTCGGTCTCTCCAAAGAATGCCCTTGTACTTCACGTCAAGGTGCTCGAACTCGAAAACGTCCGTGCCCAGCATCTCAAACAGAGCGGGTCCATCCTCAGTGCCTGCTGGAGGCTTCAAGGCTGGTTTGGCAGCTTCTTGGCATTCAGGACAAGTCAACGTCCCAGCCAATTCAACTGCCCACTTCGGTGAGCCTCTTGCTTCCAACAGCTTTTGAAGGTTGCTAAAGCCACTGTGCCCAGAAGCTCGGTGAACTCGCAGCATCATCTGCTTGATGGCTTCCAAGCGTTTTCCTGTCGGGGCCTCGTCCAAGTTGAGACGAGTTCTCGTCAAAGCCATCACCTTCTCCGTGGGGAAGTCCTCCTCGAAGTTCACCATCATGTCGGGCTCGAGGTCAAGCAGGTACTTCTCGGTGAGGTAAACCGTGTGCTTGTCCTTGATGTCCCACTGGGCTTTCATGGCCTTGAGGATCTCCTTGCAAAGCTTTGGAGGGTAATATGAAGAAGAAACAGCAGCAGGACCTCTGCATTCAGCGTGGCAATGGTCACCAGGGCAACGGCGGCAAACTCGAAGCCAAAGCTCACGAGAGGTCGTCATGATTTGCCAACCTTTCTTCAAAGGTAAACCCTGCCATTCCAGGCCATACTGACAGCCATGTATTTTGATCCAATAGATCACCCTGCCGTGCTTCTTGGCCAGCCGTTCCAATCGCTGTATTGCGCTTGAGCGCCAACCAGCTACGGCTCCAATCGGCCATTCCCATCCAAAGTCATCATCACCAGCAATCACCGGCTCCAAAGAGCGGGCAACTTCATCAGCACGTCGTAGGTCTTGACCTCTGCGCTTCAGAAATCTGCTCCAAGCAGCTTCATCTCTCTCCGTCAGGTTTTGGAGACTGGAGAGCCGTGTGCATGGGAGACTCACCCACGCCAGGCGAGGTGGATGGTCTTGAAGTTGCTTGGCAAGAGCGGTGGTGCCCTTCTTGCAGTCCAGGTCAAAGCCAGTGCGGTGATTGATCCGCAAGCATTGAAGACCACTCTGTTCAAAGGTAGAGGTCAAGGTTGACGTAGGAGAGCAGGCAATCTCCACCAGGTCATACTTCATCTCCGTAGCTGCGAAGATCTCCTTCACGGGGCCAAGGACCATTGCAGAAATTGTTGCGGCTTTTGCCAATTTCTTTGCCAAGGGCGGCAAAATCTCTCTTGTGAAACTGTTTTTCATGGACAAAATGTCCTGCTTCGTAGTGCCTTTGTTTGGCGTAGTGGACGTAGTGCACGTGGTTTGGCTGTTGCCAGGGTTGACATCAGTGGTTGTTGGCTCCTTGTGGCGGTCAGCCTCCAGCCGGTTGCCACCAGATCCATCAGAGGATCTCATCCTTTCTCGCAAGGCTTTCAGAGAACACCAAAGGCTTGCTAGCTTTCCACTTCCAGAGTCTCCTCGTCGCTGTGGATCACCAGCACCTCGTTGGCATCCGGCAGAACCCTCATCGGCGCTTCGGGGACTGGAGCAGCCTTGACTTTGGCCTTTGCCATAGGGTTCACAACTGGTACAGCTGCTTCCGAAGGAGCAAAACTTGGTGTCGGTGACACGCTCCTTGTCGCCCTTGTCGACCTTGTTGGAGTCTGCGGTGCAGGTGTCGGTGTTGTAGGCATCGGCGTTGTGGTCGCCGTAGTGCTCTGAGATCTCCTTTGGTAGCCTGTGGTCGGTGCAGCTTCCCCCAGAAGATTTCGGCCACGTGGTTGGTCGGCCCTGATCTCCACCTGGAGGCTTCCTTGACCACGCTGCATCACCAGGCTTCTGCCTTTGATCTCCATGACCTTGCCCATGAAGATTTTCTCGTTCATCTCCACCGGCTGGTAAACCTGTTGCAACTCTTCTTGTGCCATCGCCACAAGTTCCGGTGCCGGTCCAACCGACCGTGACTCCCCATGGCCTTTGGTCTTCACCACGTAGCTCAGGCGTAGGCCACAGGTTTTGCAACTTGTCCACCGCGCATACTGGTTGTTCTTCTCCCTGCCACTTTGGTGAGCTCCACGGCATGGCCATCCGTCTTGGCGGGGATCGACCGGTGTCGCGGCAACTCTGGACTGGGCCATTGATCTCTTTCTTGAGCTTCTCAAGCCTTTGAGCCAGGGACTTCAGAGTCGCATCAGCTCCATGACAAACGGCATGATCGTGTTGATGTGCAGGGGCATGAGATAGTGAGGCAGCATGAACATGTGAATGAGCAGCATGATGAGGAGGATGAGCATCGTGAACATGTTGCTGTGAAACTCCATGACGTGAAACTTCCATGCCAGCACCAAAAACTGTTGACATCATCAAAATAGAACCTGTACCTCCATCACCTTGACTTCCAGCACTACCCCCATCCCCATCATGGTCTCCTTTGGGAACCTTGTTGCAGTTTTTCTCAGACTCGTTTTGATTGGGCTCATCTTTTGGGGATGTTGTTGAACCTGAGGCAGCACTAAAACTTTTTGGCTTGGAGTTGCGGTCACTCGGTGAGTCGTCAGGCTCCAGTTCGCGCTTCATCGGCTTGTGGCGGCAGTTGTTGCCAGAGCACCAAGGAACCCTACAGGTAGAAGAGGAAGCAGCACGGCCATGTTGAAAAGAGGTCACTTCCAAGGACTCGCTATCGGTCCCATCCAAGTTCATCACCTCGGAGATCTTGACATCATCGCCAAAACGTCGAGGCCCAAAAACTGCTTCGACTTCATCAGGTTCTCGGTGAAGTCCATCGCCACCACCAGCAGCTCCTCCAGCAGCTCCACCAGCAGGTCCAGCATCACCACGGTCTCCTTGAGGAGGTTGTTCAGGGGGAGCATCAGCAGGAGTGTTGTCGGGAGGTGCAAAACCATTGGCACGGTTGGCAGCTCTTCGAACTGCGTCATGAACTGCATGTTCTTGTCCAGGATCTCGTTGTCGAGGTCGACGATTGCCACTCGAAGGTCCATCTTCTCCACCACCATCTCCATAATCGCCATCATCATCATCAGGTGAGAGAGGTCGTTGAAGATGGTTGATCCAGGATCCCAAACTCGAAGGCTCCTCATCCAGGTCGATTGCCACATGACGTCCACGTAGACGAATCAGAGGATTGGTCCACCATGCTCCATTTGCTGCTTGGTGAGCAAAATACTCACCACAGTAGGCCACCACGGCATTTCTGTTCCAAAGTTCACGACCACCAAGCAAAGGAGGCGTCATCTCAGCATGACCATCCAAGAGGTAGAAGGAAACCATCTTCAAGGCCTTGGTCATGATGTCCAGGCGGCTTGTAGCTTGTTGGGTGTGGCCATTTCCAAACCTGAAAGTCGGCCGGTCATGCAGCACCACATGGTACTCAGGGTCACGGATGCTGTCAATCATCCTTGCCATTGCTGTCACACCACAAACTGACTCAGTGGCGCCTGTGTCTATGATGGCCTTGAAGGCGTTGATGCAGTTGGCTGCATTGTCATTCTCCAGGCTCAAAACGTTGATGGCCTGCAGGTTGTCGTCCTCCACAATCTCCTTGTACTGCTCGATGTCGACGAAGTAGTCACCAGCGTAGTTCACCTGGCGTTGAGAGAACTTGCCTTTCTGCTTGCCTTTAGCGCCCTTCTTGCCCTTGCCTTTTGACCCCTTCGGGGAACCACCATAGGCAGAGTAGCGGTCAGGGCAATTCAGGTAGCCATGTCCCGTTGATCCACAAATGAAACACGGGCCAAGGGCTGTTCTTGGCTTGCCCTTGGTTTTGCCTTTTCCTTTGGATCCCTTGCTTGTGGAACCCTTCATGCCAGCTGGGTCGAAGTAACCACGGGCGGCACGAACTTTTGCTACGGCCTGTCTGGCCTCTGAGAGTGTCTTGTTGGCTTCCTGGGCTATTGTAAAAGCCTCTTGGTAGCGCTCATGTTCTGGGATTGATCCCAAGTCGCTGGTGTCATCAGCTTTGGGGCTCCCATCTGTCCAATCCCAGTCATCTTGCCAGGATCCATCAGTGCTGTAGTCCTCGTCATCCTCGTAGTAGTAAGCCCATGAGGCATCATCATACCAGTAGGCTTCTTCTTCAGCACTCCACCATTCATCAGGCCAGCCGGGGCCTTCATCATATTCATCACCAGCATCCCATGAAGATGCTGTCTCCTGGAACCAGATCTTCCGCCGTTGATCTTCTGCTCCAACTTCTTCTGCGAAAAGAGTCCGCAGGGCTCGGCGTACATCAACAAACCTCGTAGAGTTCGACGTCAAGGTCAAGACATGTTGTCTCTCCTGGCTGGAGAGTCTTGCAGCTTTGAGAAGACGGTATCCACGTAGTTCATCACCAAAGAAGTCGGTCTCCAAGGAAACCGGTGCTGCCACAGAAGCGGCACCATCGTCATCAGCTGGTTGAGCTCCTTGAGGACCAGTTGGCGACCTTGAAGGTGACGTAGGTGGATCTCTCTCTTGGCTGGTTCCAACTCCAGTCGTTGACATCTTTGCTCTCTCAGTTCTCGCACGCTGCAACCCTTGCTGCAGTTCTGTGAACAGCTCCTCTTCTCGCACTAAAAGCTGGGGAATGGTCTCATTCTGCAGCCGTTTCATGTTGGACCATTTTTCCAACCTGCTAAAAGAGTCCGGGACTGGTAGCCGTTGTAGAGGAGAAGCTCGAAGAACTTCTATCAGCCTGTCCAATCCCGTGAGGGAATCATAGTCAGCTGGGTCCAGGTGTTTGACAACACTTTTGGCTGCGCCTCGAAGGCGTTGCCAGACCCGGCTTGCAGCCAGCTTCCTCTCAGACTCTTTCAAGGAGGATGCATACCACTTGCAAGCTGTGACAAAGGCCTCGAAGCTTGCAGGGTCACCATCCCAAGTCGGGACGTTGTCTTCAGCCGGCATTGCAGCCAGCTCCAAACCCACCGTAGAGGAAGTCCAGGATGTAGTTCCAGCACCAGGAGGTAGATCAGGATGAAGTTCCAACGCCAGCAGGTAGAACAGGAAGTAGGCCCAGCAGCAGCAGCGCCAAAGCGCGTAGAGCTCGAGGTCCAAGGCAGCGCAGCGCGAAGAGGTAGAAGTCCAAGCAGCCGCACCGCGAGTAGAGCTCGAGGACCACTCAGCAGCAGAACAGCGGCGAAGGCCCAGGTGCTCCGCGTACCATGCAACGGGGATAACGCAGTGGGGCAACTAACCCTAACAACAGGGTAAACCGAAGACCAACCTGATGGTCAAGCTCCACGGGGAGCGGCACGAGTGTTTTGGCCCAAACGCCCACCCTCATGTAACGGGTGGCTTGTGACATGTGCAAAAAGGTCATGACATGTCTGTCATGCTCGCACCTAAGTATCCCTACATACTTTGCTTTAAAATACCAGTACCAGTCATGACTCCCAAAAACCTTGCCTACGGCCTACCAATAATCCAATAGCATTCAATAGCTATAGGTAACCCATCCCAGCTCATGTCGACCCAACTACCAAAGCACCTCCCCGAGCAAGCCAGCCATATCGTTGGTCTTCATCACCCTGTCAGCAGGCCCTTCGAGTACCAAACTCATAGGGGCATCGGTGGTCGTGGCAGCTGGCCACACTTTGGGGTCCACTCAAAAATTAAAAAAAAATGAATCGGGGCTTCTGAAAGGGAAAGGCTCCAGCCAGGAATAGTATTGAAATGTATTGAATCGTAATTACCGGGCGACGGCCGGAGAAAATGCCTTTCTTTTTGGAAATGCTCGCCTGACAAGATTTTTGCGAACCACCAAATCTGTCCCAAATTGGTTCAAAAGATTCAGAGAAATTTGCCCTGCGAATCATGTTTGAGGGACCAAATTTGGGAAGGGAAAACTTTGGTCAGTCCAGTTGTTCCCTGAAGATGGCCGTATCACCAGACCTATGCACACGCATGGAACAAACCAATTCTTCAGCACCTGCACAGCTCCAGAAACATGTCCAGAAGGTCAGCCTTTGGGATCGACTCCTGCCAGAATCTTCAGTGTCTTTTGATGTTTCTTGGATGTATTTTCAAATAAGTCTAGATATGTGTCAGTGTAGGTCAGTGTAGCTATGTATGTCATGTCATGTCATGTCATGTCATGCAATGCAATGCAGTGCAATGCAATGCAATGCAACGCAACGCAATGCAATGCAATGTAATGTATGTGTATATATATACATATATATACATATATATGTGTGTGTTTGTGTTATGATGTGTTGCATATGTGTCTATTTATTGACGGCGTAAATAAGTTGCTGTTCAGCAAGGCTGGTTTTGTGCCCATGCAACCCGATCTGTGAGAGGTCCTCCAGCGCATGAGCATCAAGCCCCAAGCGGCGAAGCTCCTGTGGATCACAGCAAAGATCAGCCGCAAAGAGCACATCATCATAGTAATCCGATATAATAATGATAGAAATAACAAATAACAATAATACTACGGACAATAATGATCGTGATGATCAAAATCATTATAGTAAATGCCATACTGTAAACATATTAAAATCATATAATATATAGATCATCATGAGCAGCCAGCATCAGCATCAAGTATCACCCTCACCGGGTCCATGGTCGTCCTTGTCTCGCTTCATCAGACTCCGAGCATCCATGCCTTTCCAAGTCTTTCGTGCCTCCAGCAGACTGGGGTTCAGGATGGTTAAGGCCGCAGCCATAGAATGCCATAGAATGCCATAGAATGCCATAGATTCAAGGCATATATATATATATAGTTATTTATTTACTTATTTATCTATCTATCTATTTATCTATTGATTTATTTATTTATCTAGTATATATAAAATCATATTATCTTACATTACATTATATTACATTACATTATATTATATTGTCATATAGTATTAAAAAACATAATTTAATTTATATTATATTATATTATATTTTATATTATATTATATTATATTATATATTATAGTATATTGTATTATTATTATTATAAAATATATGTTATTGTGTTATTATTATATCATATAATGTTATTGTCACATTATTATTTTTTTATCATATTATGTTAATTATATTATATTTTATTATATTATTATACTATATTGTATTATGTTATTGTTATGTTATTATTGTATTATATTATGCTATATTATAATATATTATACTATATTATTTTATAGTATGTTATATTATTATATTATATTATTGTAGATATATCAATATATATATTATATTTATATATATATATTATATACACAATATATATATATATATATATTAAATCATGATATTAAATCATCTTATATTATTCAAAGGCATATTCCAGGCATCAATCCACAGAAAACCCTGGAGTATCCTGGAGTTGCGGGAAAAGAAAACTCAAGTTTCATGCGACAAAAAAAAAGTGCATCATTGTGCATCTGCTTGAACCATCTAGAACATTTATAGACAATATATAAATCGCCTTGAACTTGTTCCAGGTCAGGCCCACCCAGCCCCAGCTGCCTCCACTAAATCGTCCCTCAACTTGGACGCTTCCCGCTGCCAGGTCGTTTCGCTCGAGTGCCTGGCTTCCAGCTTTTGAAAAATCTTCATTCGCTCGATCCCCCCCCAGAGGGAACCCTATGGAGATTGGGCCCCTCCATGTATTCAGATGGGAGGATCGTGATTCCAAGGGGCCTCATCCGAAGCTCTGCTTGCAAGCGATCAGCCTTCTCCTTCGGATGTCCGCGTGACTTCAGGCTCTTTCAGGAATGGACCGGAAAAAAATAAATCCCGCGTTTATTTTTGCAACGGTCAATACCCGAATAAAGCGGCGCGCATCTCCCCAGTTCTTCGTACTAATAAAGCTTCGGTCAAAGCATCCTCCAAGCACTGATAATGTACTCATTCCGTTCTCACAATGGCACTCAAACACAAGTACATGGTAAGTAAAAGGGTACGGTACGGGTCGAAAACTGGTCAAACTCTAAGTCTGGTCCACATAACCAAGAATGGAAAGAACAGAATGGAATGACGTTCACATTTCCAATTTTGAGAGTGGCCCAAATACAGGTACAGTACCAAATATATCAGTCACATTCGGCACCCATTGCGAGTAGATTGAGTTACCATCCGCAATCTATATTTGCTGGACTTTGACATGTCGTGACACATCTAACTTCTCCCTCTCCTGCGCTTCTTGCAGGGAGCCGGACATGCTTCGCATCTGCACAATGGGATGTCAGTGTCAAATCTACCGCATAGCCATCCCTATTGCCACATCTGCTGCTTGGAATATCTTGGATTCTATAATTACTTGTGAATACTTGTCATTGTGATCCAAATTCCCTACTGACGAATCACCTCTGTGGCATGTCGAAGCTGAACCTCCCGCAGTTGTTCCTGGCAGCTACAGCTGCAGTCGCTGCACGGTTTTTCGATGAATTTCATGGTCTCAAGGACTGCACGAAGACGGCATATTTCAGCACCTCTTGACCTCTACCATCCACATACAGAAAGTGGATGCTTAGATTTTGCATTTTTTCTGGTTGAATTATTGAAGATTTTACCATGTGTCCATATTTTGCTGGTTAAGTTCCTCATGTTTGGTTGGCCAAAACCATGCTTTCTCAGAACTAAAACCAGGCCCAAAACTCCTCCAGGTCAGCCCGAAGCTCTCTCTCTGCCTGCAAAGCCTCGCTTTGCGGGGAACCCTTTGGCAGGAAATTAAGAACTACCTTTAACTTTATATTGGTTGATATCTGACGGAACTATTTATTGGTTGGCCGAATTTACTGATTGGCTATTGTTTCTTATTGAGTAAACCGAGAATGGTTCCCACTCTGGGAGTATTGAAACCCTGCCAAAGAAAGGATGGTTCATTGTTGAGTCTGCCGTCTGCCACATTTCCACGTTCTACGATTGTGATTCAAAAAGGCTGAGGATGAAGTTCCAAACCGTCGTCGTCTTATCAATTTGAATCGCGACTAAATCACCATGGGGCTGAAAAAACAGATCACTTGTTGCACAAATACTATCCAGCATGAGAACAGAAAAACCTCCCCCAGGGTATGAAAGGGACCAGCAATTTGGTTCCGTTTCCCGGTCCTGCGAGATAAATGAAGTCATCCAATTTGGGGTCAACAAGTCAGTTCCGTTGAAGCCAACAATGAAGGATGACCCCTGTCATTGCCAAGTCTAGTTGGGAAACACAACACCCGGTTTTGAAAATATGATTCAGAAAGAAACGAGAAATAGCAAACAGAAGTGGAAAGTGAATTATGTTTTGAACATGTGGGTATTCCTCAAAATATGCACCCATGGACCTACCAAAATTATCAGTCTCGGCAATAAAGCATTCAGTACTATTATAGAACAACATAATTATCATCTGTGGTTTGAAATATCAGACTCCTAACTGGACCGCTTGCGCCTTTTTGGCCTCCTCGACCCTAGAAGAAGCCTCCTGCGGGTACCCTAACACCCCACGGACAACTATTCTGACACCCGCATGAGAAATCATGGGGATATCATCTGGAAGCGAACAGCTGGAAGCCCAGCTAGAGACAGTATGTGAGGATGCGATCGAAGAAAAACTGTCGGGTACTTTGGAGAAAGTGAATGCCTGACCGGGCTGAAAACTCCAAGAAAAGGCCCTGGAAAATATTTGGGTTCCAAAAAGCATACCACAGGGCCATAGAATCATAGGGTCAGCAAATGGGTACAGCAGTCAGCCTCGGCTCAAAGATCTCAAAGGCATTTCGGGACCACCATAGTCCAAAGCAACACCGATGCTTTCATTGTGACGCTAATAGGCTTTCCACGTACGTGGGGGAGACTCACTCAACCCTAAACTATCTGCAGCTCGGCAGGCCCCAAATCGCCAGGGAGACACCTCCATCACCAGCGTTTCCGCAGGCGAGGCCGGCAAGGGCGGCAAGGGCGCACGCTGCCGCGACTGAACGGCCTGCGGCCCATGGATTTTAACCCATGGATAAATAAGATATAATAAGAGCCACATCAAGTGTTGTGGATTTGTTTGTGATTTTTTAAAGCTGTCAAATCTTGAGAAACAAAAAATAGGTTTGGGTCCATTTGGGGTTAGTTTAGTGTGATTAGTGTCAGGAATATCCTTTCCGCAGCAGATTTGTAGGAGATTGTCTGCACCAATGATCCAAATGGTGTCCAGTTTCATGCCAAATCATTGCCAGGACCAGCCATTCTACGTATTAGTGAGTCCATTTCATTGGGATGCATTGTTTTCCCCCACGAAATCTGGGCAGGTGTCCTTCAATCTTTCTCAAACAGCTGCCTAAACCATCTTGAATCCAGATTTTGCTAGTTAAACCATGTTAACACACCACTTTTCCCCCGAAACATGCACTTAAATCATCTTAACTCAACTTAAATCAACCTTAAATTTCCTTAAATGACAGTTAATACCTCCCCCCGTTCTATATCTTCTACCTATGGTTAACGGCTGCAGCCGGCCTCCGCTTGCCGCAACTTGGCTTCAGCTTCCTCCAGCTGGAAAGTCAGGGAGCTGACCTGTCAATTTCTGGCGAGGAACCAACGAATTTATCAAACAACGGTTTTCTAAACCGGTTTTTAATGTCAATTGGCGTTTCAAATAACACCGGATTTTTCTGATGTTCTGAAAATAGGACATATTGATACAAATTTGAGGGTTCAAATGATTTCAGCAAAGAAAACCAAAAACACAGTGAGGTGAATCCACAACAACTACTACAAGTAGTATAACTGTCAAGCGGGATCATCATTCCATTTGAAGGATGGAATCAACTTCCCGACCTGCTTCCTCAAGGATGTGGTTTCAGCCTCGGCACATGGTCATCGCTTACTCCCCAAGCCTCACACCCCGCAACGGTCTAACCCATTTTGACCCTACAGGGACTTCCTCAATAAATTCTTTGACAAATGCCCTGTACAATCCTGTACATGATTCACCTCAGATTGTTTATGATTGTTTTTTTCTGTCCTGAGTAGGTATGTTATGATTTAAGATACAGTTTCCTACGTTCCTTAAGGGCAGCCAAACTTTGAGACTGAGAGGCTTTTGGTTCTCGATCTTCTCACAGACCCTTTCAAGCAGCACTCGGATTGAAGCCGCCGTGGTCTGGGTGAAACTGTTTCTTGATGCCAAGATGCCAACCAAACGACAACCACAAATCGCAACGGAGTAGGAACCATGTGGAATCCCATGCAGAACAAGGGCACATTGACAAGGTAAGAGGTGCTTTCCTTGGCCCATGTGGCCCATGGTCAGGCTCTGCGTCAGCTCTTCAGTTCGCTTCCCCGAAGCCTAGCATTGGATGCAGCATTGGGCGATGGAGCGACCATCGGCCAATCTTCGACCCGCCTTTGGAGGTAAGCTGTTTGATTTTGGCGGATCTTCTCCATGCTGCTGAGAACCTGAGCGACGGATCGAACTGCTGGGCTATAGATATTCTATCCAAAGGATATCTTTGGATAAGCGTATATTATATGTTAAGATGTTAAAGGATATTATATTATATATTACCACATTATATAACATATGTTAAAACATTTTATGTATAACATGTGTGCCAGGAAGATGATCCCAAGACATCCATGTTATAATCTATGCAAGTTATCAACTTGACTTACAGTACGTCTATCATCTGCTTAACCATTGGTAACCTGTTGCCTGGTAGTTTGAGATGCTTGGGAGACCCTGCTTCAAGAGTTTCCAGCCTCGACCCTATCAGATTTTAGCAGGAAACCTCTACTTTGGAATTGGGTCGAGGTTACCAAAGTTACCAACTTTGGAAGCTGCTCACCTGCATGAGTTTCGTCACATCCTCTTTGAGCACCGCCCAGCTTTTGACCTTGGTAGGAGGATCTTTGGGGATGATGTGCCGATGAAAAGTTCACACCTGCACCATTTCGGTATCTGATTCCTGGCTTCCTAAAAGAACATAAAAGAACCGTGAGTGAAAAATGAAACAGAGCGGGACCTCAAACCTACTGTCTCTTCTCAAACCCAGACCACTGTATGGTGGAGCATCCTGGGACCCCTGGCAGGTGCCGCCTGAGGCGTTCCAGGGCCCAACCTAGGCGTGTGATTCGCCAAATAAAGACATTCTGATGGGGGAAATGATGACAAACCAAAGGATTTGGGGCTACCCATTGTTTGGGACAAACCAATGATATCAGAGGGAATGGAATCAAGATTCTCACGGACCAACCAGTGTAGCAGTAAATGGGAAACCTAGCCTGTGATATGTATATATATATATATTATGTATATATATATATATATTATGTATATATATATATGTATATGTATGTATACACAGTGCAGTGGTTCCAGCGTTTTTTACAAGGCGGGATTGTCCGGCAGATTGTTAGAGGACTCAAACATCCAGTTTACCCATCCATGAGAATCCGCAGAAGACACGACTCCCGACACCCCTGAGCCACCCCACACAGAGCCAACATCAGAAGCCGACACCTGCAGCCAGATTGCTCTTGAGTCTTGAGGGATAGCCATTGAATCAAATCTAATCCGACAGTACATATATATATACATCTATATATATATATACATACAGATATATATATATATATACATACCAAATCTGTGCATTATGCATTGGTATATGGGTATGCCTGAAAATGGGATACCCCAAAATCGCATGGGGTATCTTTATTCTCCCCATTGTATAATTAAATCGTCATGCATTGGAGGTATGCACCATTTTCAGACACATCCATATATAGTACATACATACATACATACATACATACATACATACATACATACATACATACATACATACATACATACATACATACATACATACATACATACATACATACATCATTTACATTGCATTACATTACATCACATCACATAAAATTACATACATTATATATATATATACGTATATGTGTATGTCTATGCATATATATACATATACGTATATGTGTATGTATATATATTATCATATAATATATCTTGTTGGTTACCATCTTATATAATCATCAAATCCCATGACTCATCAGCCCCTCTCATTTCCTCACCTCCAAGCTGTGTGGAGCCGGATTCAGCAGTCCTTTCGCGCATAACTTGATCCATCCCCACATCGATGTGACTGAACATGGTGCTATACCGGGTATAGCCATAATATGACCATTCAGTACGGAAGATGATGATAAACCATGATAAACCATGATAAACCATGATAAACCATGATAAACCATGATAAACCGGTATAACAAAGCCAGTTCATGTTGAGCAACGCGGGGCCTGGCGCACTTGAGCCCAACCTGGGTTGACAGATCAACAGATTCAGCGAAGAAAACGATGTGAAATCCCCAGGGAAATTCACGTGCCCAAGAGTTCTTATGTCATATGTTTATTTTTTTTTCCCAGCCCTTCTATTATTTTCTTGTGGTTGCTTCTCGTTCTGTTGATTTGTTGTGTTCCTCTTGTTGAAATGGCAGTGTGTCAAAACCTTGTACCCCTGGTGAACATCAAAATAGCTGGTAAATGGATGTTCATCCCCCTAAAAATGGTATTAATAGGTATTGATCCATACCCAAATGATCATTCAATTTCTTCTTCCCTTTCTTCCTGTGTTTCTTCTCCGCCTACGATGCTGCCAGGGGACGGACTTGGAGCACCCCAGTCCTGATGGCGGAGTTCTGAAGACTGGTTGGATGACTTTCCCGCAATGGGATGTAGTATGATCTCTACCAGAACCAAAACCCTAAGAATTCCTCAACAGAACCTGAGGTATTTCGGAAAAAATAAGAAAACCTCGGTGTTCGATTGAAGACCTCGGGTATTGATCTTGAACCCATACTTGACCCGAACCTAACCTGAATCTAACCCGCACCTAACCTGTAATTACTTATATAACCCGTACCTAAATGTATCCAAATGTACCTAACCCGTACTTTCAGAATACGCAAAAATACCCTGGGTTTTGTCAGAAAACAACATAAAACAACAGGTGTTTTTCACACCCTAGGATTTCCGCGGGTTTTGGTTCTCAAGGTGTATAATTTACACATCAATATAGATATGATATAGATGTATAATTGTATAATATAATATTGTATGTAGACATGTAGTAACCAGCTACAGTATGTCAGTTTAATCCCATTACAAGTGGTTGCGAGCATGATTTCTGCCCAGTGAACTGATAGTCAAAAACGATCCATTGTACCCGGATTTTCTCGTGATTCTCTGGGGTCCCAGACACTGCGGAAATCTTCAGACACCTTGCCAGACGTGGCGCTAGTTGCTGCAATGTCACGGCCCCAACTTGATAACTGTGCAGGGCAAAAAGACACACCAAGTGGCTTCCAACAACCAAAATCGTACTGGGTGGTAAATAAAAAGAACATACTTTGAAGATGTTTGGAGTGTACAGTAAAACTCAGTAAATTACAGTAATAATTCAGTCATAAACATCCGGCGCGCTTCACGCTGCTGATGATTCGGTAAAACACCCAAAAACTGTCTCTCCAGGAGGTTGACCACAAAGACATCTAAAAATCCACATCAATTGGTTATCATCCCATTATCCATGGTTATTGTCATCCATGGTATTGGTTTATATTGGTTTATTAATTTGAATTTATTGGTGATCATCCATCCCATTGTCGTTCCTCAGATGGGTTTGTCCCAAAAATAGGAGACATACCAAAAAAGGCAAGTCGACTGTCGGGAAAATGATGATCAACCAGTGAGATTTCAGGGCCACGGGAAACCAAAAATGGTGTCCTGAGGTTTCCCTAAATATTCCCGAAATTTCCCAAAATATCTTGGTGTGTCTGAAAATGAAGAAAAATAACAAATAGCAATCTTGAAGAGTTTATTCGGCAAATGATGATGAACCGGAACATTTTAGGGCTGCTCCCCTAAAGTTTCAGCCAAACCAAAATCATATTGTTGGCTAAATATATCCCATAAATATCCCCATTGTAATTATACAGGCCGCCAATATCATCCAATATCTCCATTGAAAAGAATCCATAAAACTGGGTGGTTTTTTATCAAAAACTCTATAGAAAAACTAACGATCTTCAGCTTCGAACCATGCCTCACTCAGTTCCTTGTCGTTCAGAGCAGCCTGGCCGGGACCAGTTGTTCACGGCAAATCCCCCGATGTTTGATGGACAAGACATCATACATACCTTACGGCTATCAAACATGGAAAATCACCTTTTATAGATGATTGGTCCATTGACACCTCCATTTATGGGGAATTTGCCGTTGCCATCATAAAACCAATGGAGATATAATCCCCTGTTTCTTGTTGATTTAAATGGATATGTGAAATATAATATAATATATATATATGTATAAATTATATATATATATGATATGTCATGTATGAATATGTTGTTTCATAGATGGCAATCTGCATAAACGCTGGGATTTTCATGGATTTTCCAGTGCCAGGTTTGCCAGCAGAACACACTAGAGGTGCAACCTGTGTTCATCCCCTGAGTGGCCAACAAGGTCATCATCCGGTCAATTGGTCACACATATTCTACACATACATACATACATACATATATGGGGATGGGTCAAAACCCTGGTACCTAGTGAACCCCAAAATAGCTGGTAAATGGATGTTCATCCCACTAAAAATGTATCTATAGGTATTGACCCATACCCATATAATTATATAATACATGTCGTCAAAATATGTCAAAATCAATGGCATGTAAAAATGTAAAAGCTATTAAAAGCTCACAGCGAAGTGACGGAGGTCGTCACCGAGCCTCCACCTTGCTGCCCAAACCAATGCCTTCAGCTCTTCCAACAGAGGGATTGGGGTCGTGGTTCATCTAGCAGTGATGCATTTCACAAATGCCAACCATCTCACAATTTTAGGGGTGTTCTAGCATTAAGATGCATTTCAGGTATCCTACCCGTCCGAACTTCATAAAGATTCTGTGTCAGGACCTTCAATGACTCTGTAGTTGGCAAATTTAAGTCTGTCTATGGGTCTAAAGTTATGGAAGGGAGACTTGAAACTACACCTTGCCAACACAACAACTATAGTTTTTGCCCTGGAAAACCGGCATGAAACATCATGAAACTCAGAAGTGTTGTTGTTTGCCGCGGATGGAAAGACCTCAAGTTTCTTCAGGTCCCACCCCAGCCTGCACCAGGTTTCTCCACAGTTTCCCTGCGGGATTGGTTCTCCAGTTTTTGGCTGAGCATCATGTCTGATAGCAACCCATCAACTTGCCCAAGTAGAGTTTTGCCATGGTTCAGATGTCGAACAAAATTTGGGCCAAACGGGCCAAACCTACGTATGTTTGAATGAATTTGAAGTGAAACCAATGCATCAAAACTCTGCAGGTGTATAGAATCAAGGCGTTGGGAGCAGGGCCCACATAGCCACCCGTTTTTGCTTGGATGACCATTCAAATTGGGCAGTTCTAACAACCCCCTTGTGGTGCACGCCCTAAAATGTCCAGATCTGCCAAAGATAAGCGCTTCGCCCATCAAGGATTGGATTTCTAGCTTCCCATCCATCCCAAACCAGGCCTTGTGCCGTTCGCCTTCGCGTTTTCACCTGACCCAGGTTGGTCATCATGGTCTGCTCCCCACGGATGCCCCGAATTGGAAATTGGAAAATGGGCCCGGCTCTTCCCAGCAATGGGCTGCAGCCAATCAAGCAAAGGGATCAAATGTCAAAAGGTGCAAATCCTATATTATATAATGATATTATGCAACAGACTATCCCCGATTTACGTAATTTTATCCTTGTTAAGTAATTTGTATACAAAGTGGCAGTAAAGTAATATCAAGTAATAAAATATGAAGAACATATGGGGAAAAATGATTTACACTATTTAAATTTACACCAAGTCGTGGCGTTAATGGTGAAAACATGGTGAAAAAGATGATTTCCCTTTGGAATCGGGGGAGCACCCCCATCAAACCAGTCTCACATCATGAAACTCAATGGAACTCCAAAAAACGGTGCATGTTGGGTTCCATGTAAGTTAATGTCTGCATCTATATCAACAAACCTTGATACTAACTTACTTAGTTTGTTCTATCTTTGGGGTGTTACTATTAAATGTAGTTTCAGCATGTTTCAGCCACTTTCAACGGACTTCACTGGCACAGCTGATGAGACTATGACATGGCCATACATGAATAAACCATAATAATAGTATGTATAATAAACCTAGAATTTGCGTTGACCGCCTCCATCTGTATTTCAATTAGGCATCGGCCCATCTTACTTTGCCATTAGATAAGCTCCAGTGCAAACAGAGAAGCTCGGGCCTGCGCCGTTGCCGGCACTTTGGGCCTGCCAGGGAAAACCCGGAGATTCTGAGGCCGTCGGAGACTCCGGCTGAACCCCAGTGTCAGATACAGCATGATGATTGGCTTCGTATGAAACTGTTGGGAAACCCTGAAATCCAAGTTTTTATCCTATGTCCACCACAAAATTGCCATCAGGGTGTACCCCTCAACAAGCCCATTTTTCACGAACGGGTAACAACTTGATCTGGGCTGCCGGCAGATCCAAGCTTTTCACACGAAGAGTGGCCGCTGCCTGGGACTTTGCCTTGAAGGTTTCATGGATCCAAAGCTTCAAAGGCAACCCATGTTCATTCTTAGTGACTGAGTCGTGGTGTCGTGTTTTGGAAGGCTCAGCCGCTAACAACTTCCATGTTCATCATGTTCGCGTGAAAACAATGAAAAAACCTTGGGGAGGGCAACACTTGGTTCATTTGGATGTTTTTTCTCAACACTGGGGTGCAGTACCGAAAGACCATTGGCTCATCAAAATCTACCACTAACTTCCAATCACTTGCACGATTTTGGGGTCCCCTATTTTAAGAACCATTTCAGTGTTTACCCAGGTTTTTTGATGTTTTTTTGTGTTCACCCCAATTTTCCAAACTGCTGTGGGATCAATCCCCGCCTTCAGCGGCTTCTCCAGCATCCGAAGCGGATGACCTGCTGGATTCTTGGATTGGAAGAAGCTCATCAAGAACCTGCTGAAAATGACTGACATCAAAAATACCCAAACTAGCTGGAATCCATTACAAAATCAAACATATGTCATTATGTGTATATACAGTATATCTATTTCCAAATATCAATCAAAAGGTTATCCTCTTGAAACCTTCCAGGGTCTGATTTGTTCGCCCAAACTCTCTAGGACCGCTAGGATCCCCACGCGGACCAAGGACTGCCCTCACTGCCTTCCTTCTCCTGCAGGTAATCCCATTCTGATATGAAATTATGAAAAATAAGCCACAAAGGAACCGAAAATCAAGATGATTAGATTGCAGTACTAAACCATGCTTTTTTGGTGGTGGTATTTGATATTAGGGTGGAGTGGTTATATAATGTTATATAATTACTCGCTTTTTGTTGGGGAAGCTACAGTTTTCCAAAATGGTGGTGGCGTTGGGAGTGCCCAAATCTAGTCACGGATTTATTTGGTTCGGAAAACCACATAACTATCGCTACAACATGGGATACTGTACCAATGGACACACAAAATGGATTAAAATGGCTAGTAGTCAATGTCTCACTAGCCATTTTCTTCGGGTAAATAATTTTGAGCCATTGGCATAGCATTGTACCTGTTTTGACCATCTGTGTTCATCCACGCCAGATCCAGGCGGCATTCCATTCGGAATCCCACCCACCCACGGCATCGACGAGCTTCACTCGCGGCACGCCGCTCTTGAAGATTGGGGCCACAGCCACGACATTTCGTGAAACTCTGTGGCCAAAAATGCAAAAAATGTTAATTACTGGTTGATGGTTGGACCACCCATGCCAAGAGCATGAGATGGTTGATGTCAAATGAGCTTCAGCCCAGATCATCGGAGAAGAACAAGAATTATTTGGAACCACCAGCCAAATGCTACTGTTGTCTTTGCTACTGGAACTCAATAATGTATTCAGGGTACACATGGCTCTCGTTAAAGACAATGAACTCCCGCGGACTATTTCTTTCAGGGTACGCCAGGATCGAGTGTGCATCCTCGGGGACGATGCTATCCAAGCCGTAGGACTCCGTATAGTACATGTTGCCACAAAGCGCTCTGCACAACAAGACATATCTGTGCCCGTTGGCACCTCAGACTGCAGAAAATCATGGAACATTCATGGAACATTCGTGAAAAAATATGCAAAAGCTCGACTTAAACACAGAACCTTCAAACGTCCCGATATTGCTGTCATGGCCTTCAGCAACCAGCCTTTCAGAAGTGGACTCCAGTGACACGTCATCTTTTTTGCAGATTTACCCCTCCATTTTTCCAGTGCAAAAACAGAAAAAACAAATAAATAGATAAATAAAAAAATACTCGAACAAATAAATGAATAAAGATGAATAAAGATGAATAAAGATGAATAAAGATGAATAAAGATGAATAAAGTATATTGTAATGTCAAGCCCTCCCATTTTTGGGGATTTTTCATGATTTTTCCAAATCAGCCGTCCAGCCACCCCTGTTGCAATAGGCCAAACTCTTTGCGAGATCTTCCGCCAGGTACACCCCATCGCCAAAGCGTCGGCCGTGCTTGGCCTGTCCCACCCGGAAGCCCTTCGAAGCAATGCCCTTTGCCTGGCGCAGCCCTGGACCGTTTCTGGAGAATTCAGGATCCACATTTTGGGGTTGTCCAGAAACGCAGTATGTATATGTATACATACCCTAAATTGGTGATTTTCTAAGAAATTGGGCATGCCATGAATACCCTAAATTGGTGAGTTTTTAAGCTGGGTATGCCATGAATGGTATACCTTAACTTGGTGATCTTTTGAGAACATCACATTGTGATCGACAAGTAAACCACTAGATTCGGGAGCAGTCAGGCTATTTTTTGATGTACATGAGGATACATGAGGATTGGTTTCAGAAAGTCATTGGGCTACTACCAAGAGAAACAATGATGATTGTGATGGTTGGGGACTCGGACATGTTCGCACTAACATAGACTGAAACCTGATGGCTTACAATTTCTTGCCCATATCTATATAAATCAAAGTGTCTCGGAGTATTTTCCGGACCTTCGGACGGTACCAACTTTTAGCCTCTGAAACGTCTGAAGCGGAAGGGGTTAAGGGGTTCGGTGATTTCTCGGAGCGCGAAGACTGAAATGTTGCACCCTTGAAAGGCTTTCAAGCTGCAGCATATGGTTTCCTAATTACTGTTGGTCACAGCCATGCCCTCATCAATGCAATCAGCCGATCATTAGATGTTCAAATGGTCAATCTCAGGATGGCAAACCATCCGAGCGATTTCTTGTCCGTTTCAACCTGCTCTATTGGTATGATCCCCCCAGCGTTGCGCCCAGATCCAACCAAGTGGCACCCCATTCAGAGGTTCCATGCCACAATAGCAACTCATTGAGTCCAGGTGACATGGTTTCCTGCAGAACGTTGGGTCGTGCAAGAATGAAGAACCAAATATCCCAAGATTTTTTGGCAATTTCACTGGGGAACATGAGTTTATACACGATAGGAAGTTTGTTGTGATTCCCAAAAATCTCAGACAAACTCAACTTTTGCATCCAACATCGTCCAACAATAAAGCCTCCCCCATTTCACAGGAAATGAGCAATACACCGGCACATACCATCCTGATCCATCCTGTGCATATTTGGCTGTGGAGTCTTGCAGCTGCAAATGTCAACAAGTCTAGGTCTATTCCATCAAAACAGCGGGGAATGTTCATTGAACATGTGGTTAGTGTAGGGGTACCCCAAAATCCATTGATGAATTTGTTTGTTCCCTATACTGTAAAGTTGCCATCATGTTCAAACGCGCCCAACGTGTTTGGGAGTTCAAACATGGGTCCATTTGCACCCCGGCAGCGGCTTGCAATAGCGTCAAAAACCCGTGTGAGACTTTTGAAATCCCCAAATAAAATGGTTGGTGAATCGGAATTTGACAGGAGTAAGTCATACTCATCGATACTCAATCATCCATCCTAAATCCATAATTTCATGGTATTGCCTCTAAACCGGATGAACTCCCCAACAGTCGGCCATTTTTTGCGTGGTTTCAAGGAACAACAGCCGAGGTTCCACCGAAATCGCTTCGTCCCCATGGAATTCTTGGACGATGGAACCGGTCAAAGAATGCCCAGAACGGGGCATCCCATCCAGTTCCTTAGAGAACCGAGGGGGGAGATGATACTTCCAGCTGTAATTGAAAATATTTATATAATTGAAAAATAATATAATATAGATAATTATAGATATATTATATATACACATATTTATGTATATAAATATATGTATGTATGTATGTATGTATGTATGTCTGTATGTATGTGTGTGTGTATGTATGTATGTATGTATGTATGTATGTATGTATGTATGTATGTATGTATGTATGTATGTATGTATGTATGTATGTATGTATGTATGTGTGTGTTGTATGTATGTATGTATGTATGTATGTATGTATGTATGTATGTATGTATGTATGTATGTATGTATGTATGTATGTATGTATGTATGTATGTATGTATGTATGTATGTATGTATGTATGTATGTATGTATGTATGTATGTATGTAGTATGTATGTATGTATGTATGTATGTATGTATGTATGTATGTATGTATGTATGTATGTATGTATGTATGTATGTATGTATGTATGTATGTATGTATGTATGTATGTATGTATGTATGTATGTCATGTATGTCATGTATGTCATGTATGTATGTCATGTATGTATGTATGTATGTATGTATGTATGTATGTATGTATGTATGTATGTATGTATGTATGTATGTATGTATGTATGTATGTATGTATGTATGTATGTATGTATGTATGTATGTATGTATGTATGTATGTATGTATGTATACATATATATGTATATTTGTATATATATTATGTATACATTCATGTATATATTTATGTATATATGTATATACACATTTATGTATATATATATATATGTATATATATATATATTGATGTATATATATAATTATATATTATGTATCTATATATTATGTATATATATACGTATATGTATGTATATATATGCATATATATATGCGTGTATACATATATATATATATACGTGTATATATATATGCATATATATATGAATGTATATACATATATATGTATATATATATATATACGTCACCACAGCTAAGGGGTTATAAGTTTTATTGTGTATCCCAACTTATAGGGGCTATTAGCCATATATATATATGGCGGTTGATCTATATAAATTCTTTCATGCGGACACGGCCATTCTTCGCTAAAAAGTTTTTTTCGTGAAACTTTCGCGAACTCCATGTTTATCTTTCGCAGGACCCATGTGTCAACAATGCCTCTTATGAAAACATATGAAAACTAAGTAATTACCTGCCAAATGATCATAGATTACTTCATGATAGCCTATACATATAGTAAACATGCCGCTAGCATCACAGAATCCGTTTTCAGGACAGATTGCTTGGGTAAATAGTTGATTGCATGTGTAAGGCCCCTTCAAAATACGCTTTCACTTTCGCCCGCTCCTTCGCTCAACTTTCGCGGAACTGTCCCGAAATATCTACTATATAAGATATACATATAAGATCATATAAGTACGGGTACAATGATGATTTGATAAATATCTGACTTTGGCGAAACGTTCAGGAAATACACATTTACTTTTGCGAGCTCGAAAAATAACTCTCGCAAGGGTTCAAAACACAACATGAACGGTCTTGGCAATCATAATTCTTCAGAAAGACCTTTAGATCATCGACCAGATGGTAAATGGACTCACTTGTCCTGTGATCAACCAAGGGGTTGACCATTAACCAACCAGGATCAAATCTCCCACCCCAATGGAACATTGAACCAAACAACGCTCGAGACCCCTAATTTGCGGCGAAAAAGGACAGCTGATTTTCCTTCCCTAAGTCGAACATGGCAATCGCAAATCCCTGTTTGAGCACAGTACACTAGATCATGGTAAACACTCCTGCCTAATTTGGGATGCGCGTGCAGGTCAAGAGTCAAAACTACACCTCCAAACATATTTATGAATCAATGAAAAAAACATCCCAACAGAGTCTACTCAACATCGATCCTGTTCTTCTGTCTTAAGCATGTTTGGCTATATAGGCACTAGGTATGAAATATATTGACATGGTATCTACGGATGCACGATTTGTGAAGAGCCTTTATCCAGAAAATTGCTGAAGCTCTTTTGGGGGGTTGACGGATTGACTAACAAAATGTGGCTATTGGATAGTACTGCGTCCGTCAAGTTATTGTGAAACGTAGGAAGACCACTCACATTGGTTTCAGGAAGTCTTCATGAATATACAATCTTGACCTACCCGCAACATGTTCCCAAAGGAATGTCTGAGCTTCATTTGGTGGCGGGAAGCGAGTTTTTTGCGCCTCCAGGGTAAGTTGGTGCTTGGTTTCCATATAGCGCAGCCAGAGTTTGGAATCCTCCACCCTCATCACCTTCGCCACGGTGTAAGGTCCCCCAAGGGAACTGGTGCCATTCGCTAAACGCTCGATGAGCTCACGGATCTTCTCCTTCACTAGCCTTGGTGTTGCGATTCCAAGTGGATTCCCATGGATTACCCAAATTCTGTGGATTAAAAACTGGAGAATTCCACAAAATCACCGAGCAAATCAAAGTAACCAGTGTTCTCGAAATCCCGGACTGTGCGGATTCTCACAGACGTTCTTCCAATACAAAGGCAGTTCCAAGAGAAAGGGCAGCTCTTTTGGAAGTGGTTCTGGTGTCTCACTCTGGTGCAAGCGCTTGTATAACAGCACATACTCCGGATAGACCTGGGAATGGCGAAAGATCCCTGATGATCCCTGTGTCCATACTGTAGTTCACATTCCAATGAACCAAAATGGTCAATGTATGTCAATGTTATCCAATTTTAAGATGTGCATTGTCCCAACAAATCAGGACCTAACCAACTACAATCAGAATGGTCACTTTTTCAGTGGATCAAAACCCGTTGATCAGAATGTTCATGAACACAACTTTGGGGTTGTGGGTTTGTGCTCAAATTGTGTACCCCAAAATCATCCAAGCCTACTCAGAATTCTGTCAATGAGCTTTAATATCTTTAATCAGCCATGTTTGGACCAAACATGACCAAACCATATCCAATCATATCCATTCTTCATTGGTTAAATACCCATTTTTCACGGCTAAAATCCGCATGTTCGGCATAGAAATTGGTGACTAGGCCTGCTCCGCGTCGTAGACCACAAACTCCCGGAAGGTGTTGCGGCTCGCCGCCAAGTCCGCCAGGGTACTGTCCTGGCAGAGCTCGGTAGGATTTTCGTGGGATTTTTGTGAGATTTTCGTGGGAATTCCGGATGTTCATGCGTTTTCGGATGGATTTCAATGGGAGTGTTATGGGATTTTCACTGGATTTCAATGGGATTTCCACTGGATTTCAATGGGAGTGTCATGGGATTTTCACTGGATTTCACAGGATGTTCATGTGATTTTCATGAGGGGTGTAAAATAAACACTGTGACTGAAACGCTGCTTCTTCTCGGGATGTAACATCAAAAAACACATCATTCTTGTTGGGGTTTTCCAACCTGCCAGAAAATGATGTCCATTTTCACTGCCAGCGAGTATCACGCTCCCCATCCAGAAACTTCTGCAGCGCATCTGGCTCTGGCTCAGTGGTGTAGTGAATGCGTCCCATGCAAACACGACAAAGCAACAGCGCTCGAACGTCGCTGTAATGTCCAGTGTCATCTCGCGCATATTCGTCTGCTTTGGTGCAGCTTTCAGCAAAATACAAACCTGGTTCTGGAACGAAACCCTGCAACGAAACCGTGTGTTCACTAATGGGTTTGTCTGAAAATGGGCTAATACTGACTAATACTCCCAAAATCTTGGGTATCCTCCATTTTCAGACACGCCCACATAATTACATAAACCATAAACATCAAAATAGATTCATTCATTGTGATCTGTACCTCTCTTTTGAAGGCTTCCAGTGCCCAGTGTCAATCACAACAGTGCTGGGAACAATTGGCACATCGTCTCGCCAGTCATACCCGCCGAAAAAAGGATCAAAACGTATCAAAACAGTGTTCAAATAGCCTCCAGTCCAGAAATTAGAAGAGGACCAACCCTCTCTGTCTATGTACATATTTAGATATAGATAGAGAGAGAGAGAGACAGCATATTTCTGCGTTGTTTTTTTGTCAGGTTGGATTGTCAAACGGCAAATCCGAGATAAATGTTCCAGAAACCTTCGCCAAACATGGATCCATTGCCACTTCCAGCAAGACTGATCTTGAAATCATCCTGAGCGATTGCCAAGCCCTGCCGCACAGGTGTGCCATGCCAGAGATACACCTGGAGGGGCACAAAGTGATGCTTCAACTGGTGGAGCAACATCCACCAGTTTGCATAGAAACTGATACAGGGATACAATCAATGAAAATGTCACTCCAACAAATTGCCATTGGCAAGAATTGGAGAGCGAAAAAACGGACTGAAGGCGATTTGAAGGTATGCTTTGCTATTGAAACAATCCTGGTTTTAGGTTCTCCCTCTCTACATTTTGGGTACCAAGTGTCTTTCGTGCAGCTATTGAAATGTTATGAAATGTTTTGAAATTAGGAAAACATCAATGTTTCTTGGTTCAGTACTGTTGTTGGATAAACCCATCAATAGCTAAAATATGCTAAAAAACCCATCTTTTGTTGGTCCAGTACCCAGTCTCATTGGTGAAATACCAGAACCAACAGCTGAAAATTGGATGCCTCCCAGATCTCAGTCCCGTCCTTCCTGCCTCGTTTAAGCTATGGTCCAGCTCTGCAATGGGCGGTTCTTTGCTCCAAATCCACATGGGCAACCAGGACTTGGTGTATGACTCAATGGCCTGGATACGCCAGGCCATGAAGGCTTTCCGAATCACCCAAAAATAGAAGAAATGAATGTTCCAACAGTTCTCTTTATTATATATACAATATACATATGTAATCATATGTATACAGTATACATATATTATACATTTTCATACACTTCTCTTTCTCCTACCGTGTCCTACTATAGAACTGGCCAAAAATGCCTTCTTTTTCAGTGCTTCCCAACCACCTGCCGCGTCAGCGTCGTCGGCTCCAGCGGCTCGCAGCCCTCCCGGCACTGCTTGATGCGCTCGCGGCGCTCCGTGTAGCGACGGAACATGGCGGAGTCCTCCACGCGAATGGCTCTCAGCAGCTGATAGCCTGTGGGTAAACCTCCGCGGGTCACAACTGATGGTGGCAAAAATACCCATAGGATCCATGTATGCTATATATAAAGACTCAGTACGGCCGCTGACATTTTTTAGCTCTGCAAGACCGAGGTTTTCAAGTTAAAAGGAATTCAGAACGAAATTCAATATTCAAAACAACTTGAATTTCCCCATTAAGCACCAGAAAAAAGCTTAACACCCCCAGGGGAGTCGGCCAAGCCCGAACACCCTGGCCAAAGTGTTTTAAAGGGTTCTTCAGGTCCGGCCAAACCCAAGACTCTGAAGACCACACCCCAGCTGGCACACCCAGTGCCCTTTTTTCGAGTTCTCTTTTGCTGCTTCTTCCGGGCTTCAGGGGAGGGACATAGGGACGGGGCGCTGAAGCCAAAACTGATGAAAAATTACGCTCAACCTACTTTCGTCTTTATCTACGGGGCCGTTTCCCCAAAGACTCAGTACGGCCGCTGACATTTTTTAGCTCTGCAAGACCGAGGTTTTCAAGTTAAAAGGAATTCAGAACGAAATTCAATATTCAAAACAACTTGAATTTCCCCATTAAGCACCAGAAAAAAGCTTAACACCCCCAGGGGAGTCGGCCAAGCCCGAACACCCTGGCCAAAGTGTTTTAAAGGGTTCTTCAGGTCCGGCCAAACCCAAGACTCTGAAGACCACACCCCAGCTGGCACACCCAGTGCCCTTTTTTCGAGTTCTCTTTTGCTGCTTCTTCCAAGTTGCCCTGCCCTGCGCCGACTTAGGTGCAAGGTCAAGTTTTGGCAAAGACAGAGCGAGACTTTTGAGGTACTGAGTTCGCAAATTTCGCGTAAACGGGGTATACGGAATACGAATACGAGTTAAAACAGACAACCCTTCATTGACATAAATACGGGCTGTCTTGGCAGATTGCCATCGTCCCAACACTAGCAGTTTGTCAAACGAGCTTTGGACAGTAAAAAAGTGAGTAGCTCCACCTCTTCTCAGCGAGTAAGGGCGGTAATCGACTGCCGAAAATCCGACCGCATTCAATGTGTCATTGAAAAGTTTTCGCCAAGCATATGGAGATGGTGTCAGCGATACTCGTGACGCTACAGTACCTTTCCACTGATAAAGTCTTCGGCACACATCCTCGACATGAATCGTGACAGACTCTGCAGCTCCTTGGCGTTTACCTGCTTTGGTAAGCCCGAGGGAAATTACTGCTGGACCCTGAGGGCTAGCAATGGATACTTGGTTGGCTGTGATAGACAGCAACTCTCCAGTACGTAGCAAGCCAAAAAACCCCACCAAGAGACTCAAGGCAAATTGTGGGCGTTGTTTGAACAAGGAATACCCAACCATGATTTCCAGGCACTCAAGCGATAGCGGCGGTGCGCGATTAGGAATTTCGTGAACCACCCACGCCTTCAGGAGGCGCCAACTTTGCAACAGTTTTCCCTTCAAATGAGGTTGGGTATCCTGTAATGCTGCTAGGATATTAGATCCCTCGGTGCGACCAGCTCCCTGAGCCCATAGGAACTCCAAGTAGTCGGCAACCACCAAGTCCAAGTCTTTGGCTTTGCTGGGGAGGGGTTGTTTGATGTCCTTCAAATATTCAAAAAATTCATCTAAGGCCTGATTATACCGAGCACGCGTGACGGGCTGTACAGTGAGTTGACGTAACGTACCTAGTTGCTTCCTCATTTTTGCTCTTGCTTTTGGGGTCGGGGCCTCTAAATGCCGTTTAGGCATGTCCCCATTTGCGCTTCCGGGGATGCCGTGACGGGGCATCCGCCGGATTCTGTTTGGTGTGGACATAAGCCCACAAGGCTTGAGTTTTTGACACCAAAAGCAAGGCATTGGTGCGAAGCAACGTACGTTTCAACTTCTGACTACTAGATCTACCCCTACTTAACGCGTGCAAACAGACCAATGAATCAACTAAGTGCACAAATTTGGTTCTAAGTCGCCGTTGGCGCTCTATTCTCCATCTCAACGATGTGAGCACTGCTCGGAGCTCTAGAACGTTAATGTGCTCCCTCTTCCCCAGCCAGCGCCAGCTGGCCACAGTCTTCCATTTCCAGAGTCGGGCCGGGATGCTGGCGCGTAGCCTCTGGTACTTCACTGGCTCGTCCGAGGAAGTCTGCAACATCAAATCTTCCCCTTTGAGGCTCCCCATAGTCAGGAGTTTCTTCACCAGCACTTCTTCACATTGCGGACTCGGATTGGGACTTTGCGTCTTCTGCATAGCTGGCCGCTGGAGGAAGGTCAAAAAATCCTTCGTGCAGCCAGGTGATGTCCGCTGAACTACCTCTTGAACTGCCATGGGATCATTCAGCCCCAATAGCTGTCCTAACTGGCTCATCAGCCATGCCACAACAGGAACGCTCCAAGAGTTGCCTACCAAAGTCAATCGCTCATCGATGTAGGCCTGACCCACTTGTCGTGACTTGGGCAGACACTGGGAGGTGTAGTCACACGGAAAACCCATGATTACCTCTCTTTCGGAGATATCAAGGATACGCTTGATCACAGCTTTGTTTTGTACAGCGAATTGATCTCTGTACTGATATGGAGGGAAGCGATAAGCATCATCTTTCCAGCGGCTCAGTTCGCTTGGCGTGCACTGTTTGACCCCAGCTGGCTTGTAGCCGGGCTGAGTGCGGGGACGGGAGGTTGTAAAGGTTGGAAACTTTTCCTCACTACATTTAGTCCAACCGGGCCGCAAATAACTCTTCGCGGTTACATTTGCCGTCAGGACGACTTCTGCCCGGCCTTGGTCATTCCAACACCAGGAGACGCCGTCACCCCCTGATAGCTCCCAATCGACCCAGTACAGCCGAGGCCTTCTGGCCAAGGACAAATGAACTGCATCAATGCTCCAGGGTTCCTCCCCGAAACTTTCCGTCATCACTTGCTCATCCTCAGCACTCATTGATGCCACAGATTCCATTAAGCTTCTAACTTGCGCCCATGGAAAACACTGTTGGAGGAGCTCTCTAATTCTGGCCACATGGACAAAAAGACTACTTCGAGCGTCCCTCAATGCCCCCTTTTTTGAGGCGTTCAAACCGCTGACGCCTTGACACGGTGGTCCTGCCCCCAACAGGACCAGCCCGACCTGAGGGAACCTTTGAGCCCAGCCTTTGACCATTTCCAAGTCCACAGACTGAACGTCACCTACAGCCACCGTGGACGGGAACCTGGACTCAACCACCCTCTGCGCCGACGCAGACACCTCCACACTGACATGCCCATGAACACTCCAACCTAGCGCATCTGCTGCAACTCTCAAAGCCCCAATCCCATCGAAGAGCCCGACCGTCAAGACTCCGACGACGTCCCACGGCTCAACCAAGTCACCTCGGACAGGGCACGTGGCAGCAACACACCCGGCGGGAGTTACACCAGTACTCACCGTCACTCCCCCTCCCGTCTCTGAAGCATCGCTTGCAGTGACATACTTGGAGACTTCGCCTCTAAAATCCATGTATGCTAACGGGAGAAGCCCTATAAACCTCCCGATTTCTTCTTTGACGAGTCCAGGAATGGGCAACTGAACAAAAGGGGGATAACCTTCAAAACTTGTGATAAACTGCCACAATGCATTCAAGCACCCCAACAGTGGTCTTCGAAACATGCAAAAGTAAACAAAGCCTCCCCCGACCACTTGCACCTGCTTTTGGGTGCAACGGTGAGATTTTAGCAGATGGAGCCCCAACTGGGCATATTTCAAAAGTTTTTCGGGCTTGGGGTAAGCCAAGCCAGCTTCACCATCTACTACTGCGCCCTGCACTTCCGCTTTGCGTTGCGAAGCAACACCCTTCTTGGGATGTCTAGGCACCCCCAATGCCAGGTACTCCTCCCTCAATCCGGTCACTAGGGGAGACACTTTGCCTTGGATGGCATCAGCCACCTTTTTTGAAGTTTTACACAATTCATCAAAATTGTCAAGGTAAATTCGAAAACAAGGGTTGCTGGTGGTAAAGGTCCTGTCTTTTCTCAACTCTGCTTCGGCCTTGAACGGCACCCGCCTTAATGCCCTACCAACAATACACCTATGTACATGTTGGGCCAAGGCAACAGAGTTCTTAAATCCCATTGGCAAGACTACACTACATGGAAACCACCTCCCTGGCTTGGGACCACACAAGCTGGGAGGAAGCTCCCGATTGAACGCCATGTAGCGATGCCATGACGGCGGGATTTTAAATATATAGAAAAAACACCGCACATCTTCGCTGGAAATGACTAGGTCCTCCTCTGGCATAAGGCTCAGAGGGGTCATTCCAGCCCAAGACGGCAGGGTGGACACGTCACCATCCATGCCCCGGCAAATCAGGTTTACCGGTACCAAGTTCATAATGACCCTCATGCTTTCCCATGGGCCATCAAATTCCTGTTTTGATACTCCAAATAACCCATTCAGAATGGGTTTCCCCTCCACCATATGGAGGTCATCTTCATGTACTTTTCCAAAAACCCCTTTCTCCATCATGTTCTGGCAAAAGGTCTCCCAGTGCTCGGGTGGCACCATCACCCGTGGTGGTCGGGAGTAAACTTGCTGCTCCTTGGGCAGGAGATAGTTCTCAAAGTGAAGGACGTAATGGCGCGAGCCACGTTCAACGACATCTTCCAAGTTTACCCCTCCCACTTCGTCCGGGAGTGCCCCTCTCACGTTTTCCCACTGCATACTTTGGGCCGTGAGAATTTCTTCTCCTCTGTAGTCCACTCCCCGACACCTAAAGAAGTCTCCCCAACTGACGGGAGAAGTCGTTTCGGGAGATTCAAATAGCCTTTTGCAATCGACCATTAGTGATCTCAAAATTTCCTTTTGGAACTCAGTTGGGGGGTAATTCTCATTAAAACTACCTTCCCCATTTAACGAATTCAGTGAAACACAAACAGTCCTAAGCGTGAGCACAAGGTCATGGGGGTCATCAACAAAAACCTGGCCTAGGTATAAGGAGGACGTGGGTAGGGGAAAAATCCTACCCGTGGGCTTGGTCTTACAGAGCCTAGGTGAAAAAACGTCCAGCTTACCATTTAGCCAGGTTAAAACATCTCTCATCCTGACCCCCCCTGGCTCACCCACACCATCGCACTTTTTTGCACTCACTCGGCCCAAGCCTGAGCTAGCGTCGTTCTCAGCCAGACCAACACTAGGTGTGTCAGCCTCTGTACCAAAGGTTGTGCCAGGAAGGGTGGCAGCCCTTCCTTCGTAGTGGTGAAACTCAGCGGAGTTGTCATTCCCGCTGCTCTTCTCATCCTGCCCAATCGCCTTTGTTCCTTCCGTAGTTGCCCCAAACTCAGGTCCCTCTCCTCTCCTAGCTAGCCTCTGCTCCCTCTGAGTCAGGAGCTCTTTTTCCCTTCGTCCTTCTGCTTGCCCGATCCTTTGCCTTTCTCTTTTCCCTTCTCGCGCTCCTTCGTCTTGGTCTTCCCCTTGCCTTTCTCCCACTGGGAACCCGTCCCTTTGATCCGGGAGTCCAGGTTTGCCTCCTTTTGAGCAAGTTGTAGCTCGGCCCTCGATGACATCGTTGCCTCCATCGGGGGAACTACTTCTACTCGTTGAGCTGTGCTCCAGTGTTGTCCTCCCATCATGAGCTCTAAGCTTTTGAGCCGCTGCCCCAGCGCATCCAGCGCTTCCGCTGGCCGCGCCATCAAAAGTAGGTCTCCGATGTGGGCCAGTGTGTAGGCCTCCCGGAGGAGTCCTCCACTTGATCTCGGAGATAGGTAGCACCGAGCATATTGGCTCATGATAGGAGGTAGGGAGTCCATATCGAGGTCCCATGTTCCGCCCGTCGTCTGCACCACGAACGGCTTCATATTCCGAATCACCGCTGCGGCCAATAGACCTGGTCCGTGATCTGCCAGCTTTTGGATCTTGCTCCGATCCTCCAGGAGTTCGTCGTCCTCTTTGCCTTCGCTGGTGCCGCTTGAAGTCGAAGAGGACGTTGAAGTGGACCCTTTCCCTCTCTTCAGGCGTTTCCTCATCTGCCGTTGTAACTTGCGCCTGACTTTCGGGTCGGGATCCAGGCCCGTACCACTGTACAGATCCACTAGCTTCTTCTTTGCCACCGTCTTTCCGCCAATCCGGCCTTGCTGTGCCTTCTTGCGTGCCTTCTTGCGTGCCTTCTTCTCCTTGCTGCGCTTCTTCTTCTTTTTCTTTGACGATGCGCGGGAGTGAGATGAATCTCTGTGGTCTCCCTCTGCTGCCTTCTGCTGGGCCACCCATTCTTCTTGGCGTCTACGCAACTCCGGGTTCTCGTCTGTATCCTTCAAATTCTCCTCCCACTTGCGTTCACCGGGAGGGGGAACCTTCTTGAATGAAATCAAATGGATCAAATCCTGGTTTGACCTCTTCTGGTCACAGGTGGGCCCACACACGTGGACTCGGAACACCGGTGGCTGGAGGCCAGTTGCCACTCTCAAGACCTCCTCAGTGGATGTTCCAGTCAGGAGCGTAGAAAACTCCACCTGATCTCTGTCCAAAATCACTCGCTGAATGTGTCCAGCAATCTCGCACTCCTTCTCGAAGTAGACCGCGTGGACCGACTTGAACCAATCTCCACTCCCCACTAACCCGGGAGAATACTCCTTGCTCTTCACTTCCTCCCCTTGTTCCCACCTCTCTTGTGGGGATTTGTGGCCAGCTCCCACTGCTGCCGCTGGTCTCCTGAGTCCTGCCTTTGCTGCAGGCCTCCTCAATCCTCCCCTTCTCATCTAGAGCCCTGGTAGTGCTCCCTTATCGCCTTCCTCGTAGGGTCTGGTCCGTAGTCCCGTATATCTTGAGCTCTTTCCCGGCGCTTCACCCCTTTGGTGGTCCACTGACGCCGACCTCCCCAAGGTCTTGGATAGAATCGCCCGGGAGGGGGTTCTAACTGACGAGGAGGCGGGGCCCCTGCTGGCTCAGGTGGCCGTTGACTGCCGCGGGAGACTCTTTCTACGGGAGGCTCTCTCTCCCAACGCTCTCTTTCTCTCAGCCTAGGGCTACGGGAGTCTTTCTCCCTCTGGCGTCTCTCCTCACGGGAGTTATGTCTCCCACGTCGACTGGCTGACCTTCTCTTGGAGCGACTCCTTCGACGCCGTTCACTCCTCCTTGGCGGTGACCTCTCCCTAGCAGGGCTCTCTGGCAACTCTTTCTGCTCCCTCCGAGTAGCGGGAGAAGGACTCTTGTTTCCTTTGTGACTACTAGCTCCCTCTGAGCTACGGGAGTAGTCAGGTGGGGTGTCAAAGGCCTCAGTGGCGGCGGCCTGCACTGGTTTGGCCTTCTTGTCCTTGGCTTTTTTGTCCTTCTTTGATTTTTTCTTTTTCTCGGGACTAGTTTTCACTTCAACAGGGCTAGCTATCTCTTCTTTCACAGGGGTCTCAGTCTCGGGAGGAATTCCAGGCACTCCCAGGAAAGGTGGTGGCGATGCAGGAGGGACCTTGCTAGTGGCTTGGGCTGGACCAATAGCAGTAGCCGGACCAGTTGCTGCCTGCCCAGGTGTCAACCCTGGGGCTACCCCGCCTGGTCCTTGCGCAGGGGTTTGCACAGAAGCCGCAGGGACTCCCACTGGTAGCACGGGAGGGCCTCCTGCCAAAGGTCCCCCCACGCCAAGCACCAGCCCGTCGCTGGCGTCCAGGAGCTCAGTGAATAGCTCCCTCACTCGCCGCAGGGCGTATTCCCGAAAGGGAACAGTGGCCTCAGGCCTAACGAGCAGGAGTCCAACACGCCTCCAGGTATGGCACACAGCACAAGTGCACGATACGAGGGGATGGTCACTGCTCATCAGAGCGCTGAAGCCAAAACTGATGAAAAATTACGCTCAACCTACTTTCGTCTTTATCTACGGGGCCGTTTCCCCATATATATATGGTAACATTTACCATCAATATACCCCCAATGTTAGCATATATACCATACATGGATGCTATGGGATAGGGAAAGGGAAATGAAGGAAAAACAACACAACTACGTCCTTTCTTTTTTGTTACTTGCCCAAGGGATGGAGGTCCGTGGCGGGAGATTGTAAGTGTTTTTTGGAAATTCGGAGACCTCACAATCTGTGAATTTCCCTAGTGATGTCTTGGGTGGATTTTGGACCCACCAGGTTTGCTCGGACTGTGGACTTGGCCACACTGCTAGAGTTTCACAAGGCTGAAGCAGCCCCAGCCACTGGATGATCCCTGCAAGCAGATCCCAGGGGAATGAGACCCTGACAATCTATTTGCTAATGTAGCTTCGGATTCGGGCAAGGGTCAAATTGTGAACAGGAACCCCAAAACTGTCTTTGGCTATGTACCCATGTTCGGAAGCCAGCCAGTGACTTGTGGTTTTAGACTTCAGATATCATCCTAGCAATTGTACGTCTAAATTGGGTCCCATAATCTCAATCAAATCCTACTTACTTTGTTAGGTGGGTCACACCCCTTTATTGTGCTAAATATTGTATGTACAAAATTTACATGTTCTATAATATTGAGTTTGGAGTAATTGTGTAACTATCCAATTCACCCCGGGAACTAGAGATTCTGTCTCTTGACCATCCTTTTTCATCCTTTTTCTAGGGCAATTATTTACCCAACTCCCAGTAACTTGACTCCCATCCTTCATCCTACCTGGATCTCCATCCTTCTGCACGCAGGGGCAGCCTCCCGCTGTGGAGCCGTGCGTCTGCGTGGGGCACTTGCGATCGCGGGTGACAATGTCCTGGCTGGGGAAGTGACGGCACCAGAAAAGTGCGGAGGTTAAACCGACAAAAGGATCAAACATCGGGAATACGAGCAATCAATTGTATTTTTTTTTAATGGGGAGATAGGACCTAGGATATGATAAAATGACATAAAGAAGACCAAAAACAAATGAGGAGATGTACTTGGCAACAAAAAACTCAGAAATTGGATTAAATGGGTGGTAAAATCAACAACAAAAGCGAATAGCAATATGCAATACAGAAAGTGAGATTCATCCCAGAAAAGTTGTTCGGGTAAATTTTTATGTTCGTTGAGCCAGGACCAGCAATTCTTGCGGTTACAGCTGTAGTACAGCCAAGAAAAATGGGTGTGGAGCTAATGAAAAACGGGTCTAGCCGTCTAGCCATGTCTAGCCTATACAAATGGGTTTGGAAGGCACTACTTCTGCAGGTCCAGGTGCTGCTAAATGATACTGTAACAAATGAAGTAGTCACTTAGAAAATACCCTCAAACCAAGGCCTGGTGGAATGCGTTGGACCTTAGGGTCCCACTTAAGGTCCCAAATAGACTCCATGTAGATGGCCGTGTCATGACTGGGCTGTTAATCCAAATGAAACATATTCCAGGTGCTAAAGATGAAACAAATGAAGCAGATTTCTCATGTTTCATTGCAGTAGATTACAACTTCTCCTAGGCAGAAAAAAAAGGAAGGTTCCACTGAAAGTTAAAGGACATTCTTGATCTCCAAGCCAAAAAAGCGAACCGTTTGGCGCACAGCGGGTCCTTGTAGGTTTTGTTCAACATATCCTGAAAAAACTTCATGTCCTCTCAAGGGTGGCGAAACGTCCCACTTAAACCTCACCAAGTGGGTCATGATACCCCAACAACAATTTCGAGGTAATGTACAGGCGATGTCCAGAAATAGTTCTATAACCAGAGGCCCCCAGTCATATGACATTTACAATACATTTACCAACCATTGCGGGGGAATATCCGAACCATTAGGAGGTGATTTTAGAATAAAGAAAAAATGTTGGGGATTTGAAAAGTCGAAGAAAAGTTGATGATGAACATCAAACAAAACTCCCCAAGTTTTCCATGCCCTCTGGTAATCTAACAGTTTGCTATAGAAAACCAGACTTCTTTTAAACAAATAAATGGTAATCTAGTAATCTACAAATGGGCCATGGCTTCCATCCCCAACTCCTCATGTGGCGCATAGTGAAGCTCATCAAAGGCCAAGTCCTCGGTAGCCTTGGCTCTAGTGTCATTTTTGCTCTCGCGGAAGCCTGCAGGGCTGACATGAATTTGGGGGGTCTTCATCTTCTGGCCTGGTTCATCATTAAATGACAAATACATACAAATATCATATACTTATACTAAACTAAACATATCTATCAAACAAATAGGAATCATGTGTGACAGTAGGAAGAAGAATTAATATGGTAGTCATCTATCAGTATCACTTATCGATTCTGGTGATGGATTTACTTTGCATGCCTGAAGTTGTACATTTCAACAGCCCTGATGAGGGTTGGTTTCGGAACCATTTCAACCTCTCCAAGTTCCCCCCGGCTAACCATTGGATAACCCATGTCCTGTCCAGTACTTCGGCACACTCTTGGCTGCCTCTCCCAGTGGCAAAACTTCGATCTCAGTGTCAGAGCGCATGAGGATCTTCCGTTTCTCCGCACGGATCTTCCACCACCGCAGAAGAAAAATAAACAGTGCGCCACCAAGCGCCAAGCCAATCGCCAAGATCAACAGCTTCCTGGGGCGGACTGGAAACCCATGGATCTACAGTAAAAAGTAAAAATCCAGAAACAGTGCTGCAAACAGTAGCAGTGATCTTCACAGATCAGAAAGAAAACGAGGCAAAATCACCACCCAGCCACTCTTCGAGAAAACCACCACCACGACCATGATCATGATGATCGTGAGAGACCTCATCGCCGTCCCCGCTCTCTTCATGGGGACCTGGTGGAGGTGGTTGAGCAAACACCCAGGGGAGTGCTATCAGGACGAGGAAAATGGATGTAGCATCACTCCGGCGAGACGGTAGCCATTTCCAGAGAACTCCATGGGCAAACCGCATGGCTGTTCATATGCTGAATATTGCTGACTCAAATTGCGAAAGCTTGCCTCATGGAGTTCACAGCGGTGAACAAATCTGATCTTTTTTTGGACTCGATGGCAAGCCAGGGGCACAAGTGGAATTGCGGAATCTACATATCGGGCAAAAATCAAGGCACCAAAACTCAAGACTGCAGCTGTGCCGTCTAATCCATCTACACGATCTACACGCAGATTTGTTTTAGTCATTGGCCATCCTTAAGCAAAATGGCTGGCAAAGAAGCTTACTGCTCACTCCAGTTGGGATCGCAATTTCGGAGGACCTGCGAGGCTCTCCCCTGTCTTTGGAGATTCCGGCCGTGGCTCTCGGGTGTTTCTGAAAGGAAGGGGGTACCCCAAACCATTGGTTTCCCCATGAAAAATCGGCCCTTTCGCAGCGCCCTGAGGTGGTCCTTGCTTTGGTGGCCCTTGTCATTCTCTGCCTCTGGTGATGTGTCAGTGGATGACCATGGCATCAAAGCTACAAACTTCGGGTCATCTCAGGTGGCTTTTCCCATGAAATCATCCAGGATCCATGGCCATCCGGCCCTCCCAGAGCAAGCTGATACCCTTCTGAACCAATTCAGATCCCTGGAGTCACCAAAGGACCCAGCCATGAAAATCTCAGACATTTATCCTCTGGTACAGTAGTTTTAACATAGCTATTGAAAATCACCATGTTTTATCAATAGGATATCAATAGGTAACTAAATCATCTGTAAATGGCAATGTTGTATGGTTATGTCAAATTACCAGAGGGTCCAATTTTATCCCAGGTGTTGTCGCGGAACTATTTCCAATTCTTGTCGATCTTGTTACTGTTGTTGGTCCATGTTGTTTTTTCTCCAAATCATTGCTGACTCGATATATCCCCAGGATTCCCCACGATCCAACATCAAAAAAAACAAAGGGCAACCTCTTCAAAACAGCAGGGTCCCAACCGTATTTGGAGGCCGACATAAATGAAATGATGCCACATAAATTCGACTTCTGGACATCTCTGAACCCATGGAAAATCAACAACCCACCTCTGGAGGCATAGCCAGAAAGGGTCCCCCTGCCTCCGACTCCTCAACCATCTCAGAGACAAAGCTGTCGGCGTCGTCCTCTCATCGAATGCAGAAGGCTCCACCGGTTTTAACCCACCCTGAAAACTCCCACAGCTTGTCCTCTTCTTTGGCATCTGCAGGTTTTGAAGGTCCAGCTTCAACTGCCATTGAGACCAGAAGGCATGTAGGGAACAAAGGCCAAAAGATTCTGAAAGGATATCAACAAGTCAACAGCCCAGTGGCGGTCGAACCGGCCAATTGGCCTTCATAATTCTTTGGGACTTTAGACCCTTCCAAGGGCGGTTCGGTCCCAATGGCTGCTGAAGTATCTCACTCTAGGCCCTTGGACCCGTGAGGTCGTTCCTTGAGGTCCTCAGCCAGCATCTAATTCCATCCACCTATTCTCATTACAACCTCCATGATTCAAGGTAAATCGCCAAATGTTTGGAAGAAAGCACCCACGTTTGAACAGGTTTGATGGATAAACATTTTGGTATGAGTCAAAACCATGCTACCCGAGCGAGGATGTTCATACCAGCGCCCCAATCGTCCCATATGTGTTGACCCATGACTCTCCTCCTCATCCAGAAATCCCTGATGACATTGGTGATTGGTGAGTTTCCGCAACCCCCAAATATAGATGGGAAAGTTGTAAACTTGGAAGTCCTGCTGAGACCACTAACAGAAATTGGTGATGAACTTGGAAGTTGAAATAATAGGGGGAAAGATCATCCAAACATCTCCAAACCAGCCTGGAATTCCTTGTCTTTCTTGGGTCCCCAAGAAATCCCCAGCCTGGACCCTGCTGTTTCTCGTCTCCCTGAGTTCACTGAGGCAACGGGAAAATCCAGGAATGCCCCTGATTTTGACTCACAATCACAGTTTATCCCAGTTTGCCGGCCTGCAAACCGCAAACAAAAAGGCAACTATGTCACTATGTCAAAGTTGAGCATCATCCAAGTATTCAATTCGAGAGTTTAGTGACACAATTGCTAGAAAAACATTTCATGCATGTCAAAGTTCCTCTGACGGAACTTTCTAGGTAGCAAAACATCCTACGTACTACGTTCCCTTGAAAATCCATAAACCTCTAATCTTATGACCCCGTGTAGAAGAGAGAAAGTTGATTTTAGCAAAAAAAAAAGGCAATCAAAAACCGAGTCACCAAAAAAACAACTCAACAGGAAGAGTCACCGGAAAAAAAAAAAAAAACACATAAAAAAACAAGAAAGCCTGCATTTTCCTCTGTTTTTTTCTTGTTTATCTTGTTGGCGTGTTGTGTTCTTTTTGTTTTTTTCTTGTTTCTCCCTTGATTTTGGTTTTCTAGTTTGTTTTTTTTGTTCGCTCTGGTTTTGTTTTGTTTTTGTTTTTTTATCATTTTTGTCAAACCCTATCAAACCCTATATTCTCTGTGTTGCTGGACTCATAACTCTAATCCCTAAGCCCTGCCATGTCCAAGATCATCCGAGTACCCCGCCTGCAGACCTTTTCGGTGTTTCTCCAATAAGTCTCGGTAGTGTGCGTCCTGGCTATGGCTTTTTTGACTGTCAGCTACCAGCTACCAGCTGCCAGGCGAGGGCGCACAGAGGGGTGATCCCAAGAGCTTTCGGACGTCTCGAAGTTGAAGTAAAACACCTGGCACAGCATGGCACAGCAGGGCATCTCCAAGGCTCCAAGGGTGGCACCAGAGATTTTTTGAGGCTGTGCTGTGACTGGCCTGTAGAGATGTGTCAAAAGAGATCGAAGACCTACTTAGAACATCTTGTAACAATGGATTGGTTTATAGAAGGGGAAATCTATATTCAATGATGGGGGTTTCCTGTAAACTTTCCCTTAAAATTTGGGCATCCCATGCGCCTCTCCTTTCTCAGTACATGTCTTCCACCTTGAAGTCATGGGCGACAAGGCTGTCTCATGGTCTCATGGTTTTCAAAATGCCCTGGTATTCAGTGATGTCCTCAAACGAAAAAAAATGAATATATTGGGATATATTGGGGATCTTGGGGTTAGTTTAGGACAAAGCTACTCATCAAGAATTGCATGGACCCCTCTCTTCATCCAACCAGTGGCTTTCACCCCACATGGTGGTGACTACATGGAGGTCATTATTCCATGTGTGAAAATCCTAAAGATCTTACCAAAGTAGATGACAAGTCTGTGGATGTGGATGTCTGAAAATGGGGGATACCAGTATGGCAGACAGTGAAATGAAGGATCAAAAAACGATTAACTTCAGTTCTAATTGTTGTTCACTGATGGTTCTCCCAAAATTTATTGACTGCATGCACCCTGGAACGACCCTCGCGCAGAGAATCTTCAAAATTTAGCGTTATTGCTTTCAAATCTGGTGTTCATATGTTTTCATTGACATGTCATGACATGTCTATACAATGGTATATCCATGTATATCCCAGAATGGTCATTGTAATAGGGAAACTCATGATTAAGCAGCAGATTGTGGGGCTCTGGGTAACATCTCCAAGGGACGGGTGAGGCACTGGTGCTGCAACTCCCTCCCGCGCGATCCACAACAGGTGCCTGAGAGCACAGGGCTGGAAACGGTCAATGGATATCAATGGATATCAATGGGTATTAATTGATATTCATGGGGATTAATGGACGTTAACGGGGATAAAAATCGTGATTTTCATTGTTTTTAATGGTGTACAGTGTACAGACCTGGCCAACATATCCAACATGTGCCATGTGGATGGTCGACCGTCGTTCCAGGGATCCAAACTCCTCCGTTTTCAGGTCCATTCCAAGAAACTCAGCATATTCAATCACCTGGCCAGCATCAAGTAAACCATTTGATGCCAATCAACTCCCTGCCCAGAGACACAGCGTAGTTCTGTAACCTCAAAATTTATAGTTTGAATATATATATATATATCCTTTATCCACATGTTTGTCTGCTCCACAGTAATTACATTTGCGTGGGTCATGTATGTCAATGTACCGATCTCGATTAGATACTCACTAGTTCTATCTCGTTTGGGATTGTCTCAAGATTGGCAACCCCCAAATCCTATGGCTCAAAAGCCTCACTTTCCCCGCTAAGAACATAAAAATGCCAACAAAAAACACTACTCACTACTCCGCCATTTTGAGACTATATCTGCTGGCCCCAAAAAAAAACATAAAAGGAGACCTGGTCTTCTGTAGGCTCTTCGTCCTCGCCATGAAAATCGCTGGAAAACTGAATGTCCAATGTTCAGATCAGGTGCCCACCATCTTCAAGATTCTGTAACAGTATATATATATGTGAGTATATATTCATAATATGATTCATAATATTTATATATTTATATGATTCATGTGTATTAACCATCCAATTCTCGGAGATTTCAAGACTGCACAATCCTCCAAGTTTGGCCTAAGAACATGGCCATCCATGGTGAAACGTTCCCAAAGTTGAGATGGTTATCCCGTTCTCATCCGTTATCTCTATATCACACCTTCAGAATCCTGGAGGATATGAACCTCAAATTCAAGGCAACGACAGACCCACCCCGACTGTCCACATCTTCCAGAAATTCCGGGTCAGACCTGTGGGACCACGTGAGTGGTGGAAGCGGAGTCCAAAAGATGCAGGCAAATGTATGAGGAAAAACTGGCACGTTCGTCCGGAAATTCATTGGTGGATAATTAAAAGCCAGGGCTTGGAAGATTTTCCCTGGTCCCAGCCTAAGCCTATCTGAGCTGTATCTTGTATTGTCCCTGAATTTGATGGCGCTTAAACAATCTTGAAACTCTGAATTTTCTGCGCATCCCAATGGCTCCCGGTCTTTGTGCCCTCCCCTGGGCCCAGGGCCCGGAGTTCTGCGAACTGTTCGCCTGTCAGTGGCCATCGTCGTTGACCACTTGACAGCGCCGCCACCCGCAAAAGCTTCCCCATCCACTGAGTGCCATACCATCCCAGCTACATCGATGCCGTCCGCGGATTGAGATGAAATTCTGAATGATTCTGATTTCCTTGTTCATCTCAATGGACTGATTCAAGGTGTGGAAGGGTTGTTAATGTGTTTTAATCTCCAAATATACGGTTTCGGCTTCTCCAATCCTGGTGGTCGGCATGTTCCATGGCAACTTTCAGGGTATCTCTAGCTACTGGACTTGGTCATCATGCCTTTTTGATCTTTTTGTATGTTGTAAATGATGATGAACCAGTGGATTCTGGGTTGCTCTATTTTCAGACAAACCCATATGGTTGCGTATGAAACATCGGCCATCTCTCAAGGTAGTTTCTGTTGCTCATTGTTTGGCCTTAGGCGAGGCCATATCATCTGTTTGAACCGCAACGATGCAGAGCGTGGCTGGATCCTCAGGCTGTTCCCATCAGTTTCAGCCATGGTTTCCTGAGGCGGCAGCACAGTCAGCCTTGTTGATCACCTCAAAGTTTGGTGGCAGCAAAGGGATTCCATACGAGTCCATTCCCACCACTGGCTTGGAACTGGGTATAACATATTATGTATAAATATATATATACATAGATATGTGTATGTGTGTACGTGTGTGTGTGTGTATGTGTGTATGTGTTTATGTGTGTATGTGTGTATGTGTGCATGTGTGCATGTGTGCATGTGTGCATGTGTGCATGTGTGTATGTGTGTATGTGTGTATGTGTGTATGTATGTATGTATGTATGTAAGTATGTAAGTATGTAAGTATGTATGTATGTAAGTAAGTAAGTAAGTAAGTATGTATGTATGTATGTATGTATGTATGTATGTATGTATGTATGTATGTATGTATGTATGTATGTATGTATGTATGTATGTATGTATGTATGTATGTATGTATGTATGTATTATATGCATGCGTCTATGTATCTATGTATGTATGTATGTATGTATGCATGTATGTAAGTATGTATGTATGTATGCATGCATGTATGCATGCATGTATGTATGTATTTATGTATGCATGTATGTATGGTATGTATGGTATGTATGGTATGTATGGTATGTATGGTATGTATGGTATGTATGGTATGTATGGTATGTATGTTATGTATGTTATGTGTGTGATGTATGTGATGATGTCATGTATGTCATGTATGTCATGTATGTCATGTATGTCATGTATGTCATGTATGTCATGTATGCCATGTATGTCATGTATGTCATGTATGCCATGTATGTCATGTATGTCATGTATGTCATGTATGTCATGTATGTTATGTATGTCATGTATGTCATGTATGTTATGTATGTTATGTATGTTATGTATGTTATGTATGTTATGTATGTTATGTATGTAATGTATGTAATGTATGTAATGTATGTCATGTATGTAATGTATGTAATGTAATGTAAAAATAAAAAAAGAGATGTTCTTTATTTTTCGATGTCGAAAGTGGGGCCCAGTGGCAAGTGGACCCAAGAACTGCTCACTGTAAAACGCAAGAAACTCGCTGGTTTGGTGTTTGAAAGTCATCAAAATGGGTTACCCCTAATTCTAGTGTTAGTATGTGTTAGTCATCATCTTCCCTACAAGATTTGCCGTTTTAGCTAAACATGTTCCTATCCACATCCATAAGCCAACACATTCCCACCTTCGAGCCCGCCTTCTTGCCGCGGGTTTCAGGGGACTCCATCTCCTGTTGGCCCGGGGATGCCCAGGGTCCAAGGTATATCCAATTTTCGGACACAGCCACATCAATGCCACATCTATAGACATGAAGGATGTTCATTGATTTTCCATATCCATGGGTCAAAAACAATGATATCTTGGTTTGGATGAAGATCTGTCAGCTAACTTGATGTTCAAGGTTTTGATCCATATCCTCATTGAGGATTCCTTACAGGATCATCTATGAATCTATACATGGAAGATGTTCCATTACCACGTGAGGCTGCTGGAGGGTAAAACCCAATGGACAAAGTTTGGAACACCCTTCAAATATTGTGGTGATGTATGGCGATGTGTGGTGACATGCAAAACTACAACATGCAAAACTACCCTCCGTGGGAATCAGCTCCATGGCGTGCTGGAAAATTATTGCATGTAGTTCAATGATTTTCCCAACTATTTCCCTGCTTGATGACACCGAAGGGTATACTTGATGCGCATCTTTGGTGGCTCCCATCTCTGTGTCGCGTCCTTGCGTTTCACCGCAAGTGCCTGTTCCAGCCGTTTCTTCAACTTCTCGAGCTCCTTCCCCCCAGAACCAAATAAAATGGCCACTTAAGTCTCAAGCATTCGGCATTCCAGGAGAATGAACACTTATATAAATATGAGTTTCTCCGAAAATAGGGAAATTTGATGGTAATCATCATTTTCCGCATTTCAATGGCAATTTGGGGGTGTCCCCCTATTGTCAGACAAAAGCGCCAAAATGACCACCGAGTAAATCTTTGCAGTTCACGGCTGATAGTGGCAGTCCCGTTCTCTTTGACGAGCCAGAGCCTGCCAAGGCAGGCGTTACAATCCCAATCGATCCCAGTCAAGTTCCATCAATACCTTGGGACCTGGTTCTCATTGCAAAATCACTGGGTGTTACGGGATGTTTTCCCCCTCCATATATGAAAATCATCAGCGCCCATCTCTATATCAGCACACGCATTCATTTTCCATGGTTGAACCATGTTGAATCCCGCAGTTGATGTAAAACTACAGCTACTTTGTGGAATTCCCTGAAAATGGAGCGCCTCAAGAATTACCCAAGATAAATCAGAACCTTCCCCATGAAATCGGCAATCCTGGGGTATCCGGCATCCCCATTCTTGAACAGCCCATGAGAAGATCAGTGGCACTGCCGGGGCCTCAGCCTTCTGCGTGCGAAAGGCAAGATCCGGGGCACCTTTGTCCACCCTGTCCCGGGCCTGCAAATGGGCGCAAATGGGTAAATGATGCGAACCCAGCTGAAAGCATCTGAATCCTTTCAAAATCAAACCTGGAAATCCCAAATATCCGTGAAAATCCATGAACATCACAACTTTTTGGACAAAAAAATCAGCTGCAGGTGATGAACCGTTGCCAAATTTTATTGGTCCTACAGCAAACATGGTGTCCGCTGATTCGGCCCCTCTGGGCGGCCCGGACTGGCTGCGTCCTGGCACGGTGGAACTTCATGGAGCTTCCCCGAAGATGAACATGTCATATGACTTCATGCAGACTGACTCGGATTGAGTTTGCCCATGTTTTGACCCTCGGCTACTGCTTAAATTGGGGAATTGGGAAACTGGCTTTCTGTATCCACAGGCACTGTTAACTAGGATCTGATTTTGGTTGCAAGACACCGTCGGTCTTGTTTGCTGCAAAACACCATTCAAGCAATGGTTTTGAGGTGCAAGCACGCGCAAAGAGTTTCAATTGTTTCAAGAGAAAGCGTCCCGGGCCGTCGGGTTCGTTTTCTGAAGAAGCACTGTTTTTGCAGCGGGATGGCGATGGATGATCTCAAAATCTACCGTGTAAAGTACCAAAGGAGCCAAGCCAAAGATAAAACTAGCGTATGTGTAAGCTGTGAAATCTGTGAAATACAAAGAGTCACCCAGCTGAGCGCCGCTTCCCTCATCACTTCTTGTGCTCCTTCTTCACATAGTCTGTCAGGCGCAGAGTGCTGCCAGAGACTTGCTTGCATCGGAGGGAAAGGATGTAAGCATTGTGGTCCACAAGCTCCTCCGGAGAGTTCCCTGACAAAAGAGCGACTTGAGGTTCTTTGACTTCTTTGATCTGGGAGTCTTCGATGATTTTCCATTGGCGGGGCTCTGACCTTGTTGGTATCGCGTAGTAGTGCCCGCTGGATGCGTTCTTTTGCCTGAATGGATGATGGCGTGGTACACTTCGTACTCGTAACCAACACACACGCTCCTGTCTACTTACATATGTGCTTGCTCCTCTGTGTAAGTAAACGTTTGCACATCAAAGCTAAAGCGATGGAAGCAAATTTGCAAAGATGTGAGGGTGGTCGTGTGATGCTTGTCCATTTCACAGCACACATCTCCTTCCCGCAGTTCTCACGCTTCAGAAGATGGTCGGGATCATTCATCTCTTCAACTTTCAGATGCTCTTCTAGCAGCTTCGGCATGGTTGGCACAATGCCACTGTCTTTCACCTGCTCCATCACGTCCTGCTGCTCACCTCCTGAGACGGTAAAGCCTTGAGGATATCACACTCTGTGATAGTATGGCTAGTCAGTGCCATCTTGGCAAACTGCTTCTGAAGAAGTTCCATGAATATCTTGCCCAGTTCGAAGTCCTCCTGATATATTGCAGAGGGCTCGGCTTTCAGATTCAAGCTGAAGCTGCAAAGGCGCCACACACGAAGGCGTCAGTGAGGAACAATCCTTGAATGAAGTAGCACGTGCTGTTGAGGTTACGCAACCCAAGTTTCGGCGGTCTGTGCCGTACTGCTTGTGATTTGTCCTGCGATAGGGGATAAAACTCTGTGTTTGCTATCAATCCTTTCATGCAGCGTTTCCTCTGTATGGATGCATGGTTGGCTGGTCTGGTGCTGTTGACCTTGTTCTTAATCATATCCTTCCCTCATCGTTTGCTTGGAAGCGTTTTTGGACGAGGGGGCACCTGGCGACGTTTGGAAAGACGGGGGCTGATTTGGCACACTTGCCACCTGCCCTGCCGAGTACGGGCTCAATCTTTATATCTCACATGGCGGCAAAAGCCAAAACGGTAGTTGTCACCAATACAAATTTAAGCACTGCTCAGTTGGCATCCATATAGACCGAATGGAAGTTGGTCCTCAGTGTATATCGGCTCGAACAAGTAGCCTTGGACTTCCCATTGTCAATGACTGGAGTCTACACGTGGAAGGTCACATGACCCACTCTCCGCCAAGGAGATCGGCCGACCAGGACTTTGTCAAACAACTACGCTCCAGCAGAGACTTGGTAATGCGCAATTTCGACACTATAGTGTTAGGATACATGCGATGCATTTTACCACGGACTGTCTCAGTTTATTTCTGCTACCTCTAGGGCAATGCCTATTATCCCCCGCAACAACTTCGAGAGCTATATCATGCTATATCAATGCAGATCTTTCTGCTACGCAGGAAATGGCTCCCAGCTTCGATGTTACCAGGTACCCCAGTGGTTACGTATTGCCCCGCACTTAGATTCCTCCATCATGCATGCTGTGTCTCTTCTGGGGTTTGCTCACCGTAGAGGGGTCAAACTGTTGACCATGCGGGACCATCATGGCAATGCACGTCACCACCAAGAAGTACTTGCCTGTTGGACAGGCATCAGGGACAAATTAAATGCCGGACAGCTGGCAACCTTAACGCGTACAGCAGCCGCACAAATTGGCAAAAATGTCTCTCTGAGGGTCTGCACATGCTGCACAGCTGCATATTCAACGGTGTATCGATCAGTCAGGGTGGCCACATCGGCCACAATTTGACTTTCTCAGCTGGTTAGCGAATGTTCCCGTAGCAACCATTGGAGGAATCCCCAGATATACGATGCTTAGGTGGGCACTTACTGAAAGATAGTGACCTGTGGCTCCCTTTCCAAGGGCAATGCAGTCGCACAACAGTGTGTGTCATATGTGCTGCGCCAGCGCCAGCGCGCAAGTCGCAATTTGGCACATGTTGTTGCCCCAACACCTCTAGCTGAGGAAACAATTTCCTGGAAGAGGATCACAGGGCATCCTACCTCAGGCACTTTTGTAAACACGTTCTGCTGGACTCGACCTGGCACGACTACTCGATTCGACAGTGTACTGACCATCCCAGAGAATTCCCTCCCTCTGAGGTATCCCATGTGTACTATGAAACAGGGATTCGATAGACCGCTGGTGCTGCTTGAAGGTACACTGACAGTTTATTTGTTGTTTCACATGCGGAGGTTGCTGTGTGAGAAAGGTGCACAATATCGTACCTGCTTTGTTGGCAATGGAGGTGGTCCTAATCCTCGCCAAGCAAGCATATGGCAGCTTGCCTGCAGCTATTGCTGGTATAGTCAATCCGCCACCACATAGACCCATGTATCAATGTAAGGTTCTAACTGGGTTGAGCAGGTCCCCTACTCGGCGCAAAATAGAATTCTGCTGCCCAGCAAAGGACTTGTAGTCCAGGCTGCTCATGCAGCAGACATGACTGTCGCCACTCTGCTCACTAAAGATCCCCGTCTCAAGCTTCTTCTGACTCAGACGGAACATGCCACAGGCCAAAGTCAAGCTCCATACCTTTCAGTGTGACTGCGGACGAGTACATGTCCCCATTATGGCTACGGAGACAATCCCGGCGGGTGTTTCCTCAAGGTCCACCACCCACTGCATGATAATGAATTGCTAATACAGTTTGATGGATCTGCGCACTCACGCCAACATGTTGGTGGTGCAGGCCTTGCAATTTTTCTAATGACCGCACATTGTCAGCCGCATATCGTGGGAAGTATGGGCCCTGTGCCATCCTATGTAAAAAGAGTTTGGCTTCTGCACAAGGGCAGCCACCCTCTGGGTCATGAACCACCCCCCTGAGTGAGCACAAATGAGACCTGGCTCCTGGCACCGTAGACGGCTGCTTCGTCACATGGAAATTCTGGAGCGCACGCTGGCGTATGAAGCTTACACCTTTTTGCGTCAACAGCACCCGTTTCATTCGACCATATGGTTGCATGATGGGTTTTCACCGCCTCCGCCACCCGCGCTGGTGACCACAATGCCAATCCGGACAATTCCTTTTTACTTCATTCTCACCGATCTGCCCATACTGCAACGGCCATCCATTCAGGCCAAGCCACTAGATGGGAAAGCGACCGAAAACTTGACTGGTTTGTTTCAAACTAATTGCTTCGCTCCAGTTTCGCTCGAAGCATTGGACATAAGTGACCATGTTGGAGCCACGACCAAACACACAAAGATGCCACGTCCAATCACCAGAGGCAGACTCAAACAGCAGCCCGAATGGGCCCAACCTTCCTTTTTGAATCCCGCGCAGTGGGAACAAATGGTTGGTCAAGCTTGGTTGGGTTGTCAACAAGAAGAAGAGTACCTTCAGCTCAGACAACTGCCTCCGAGTGAGATTCATGTCGATGATGAATGGAAAGACTTCATGTCTCTTCTCAGCAAAGTTTTTCACTAAGCCACCCGACATGCTGCCACGCATATCATTGAACCAACTCATGAGCACAAACTGTTGCGTAAGCTGAACCAACTGGGTGTTCGCAATGGTGAGGGTATCAACATACCTGCCGTCCAGCAAGTCAACCGTGCGCTTCCTTCTGCCATACCTTCCAACAGCACGCAGAACGATAAAGCGCTAGCAAAGAAACTTGCTAGGCGGTACAAAGTGAATCGACTTGCTCAAACGAACGTTCGTGGGAGGATCTCGACGTGCGTATGTCGGATATGTTGGATAAAACATCCCCGACATGTGATCTGGCCATCCGCAGGCGCAGCTATAGTAAGCACAGGGCGCTACAGCAGCCATGAGCTTCGACAGGCACCGATGGGCCCTCAGCCTACTTGATAGTGCGATGTTGTGCGGACGAGCCTAGGCCTAGGCCATGTTGCTGTATGTTGCTGTTGCTGTTACGTCTACTCAATACTGTTCAGGTCCTTTAGCAGACGACGCAAAGCTGCGGACATGCGACTATTGATGAGGAAATGTGACAATGTCATAGAATCTTTGCATGTCTATCCGTCTATCTCTACTTCTGACTGATCTCACCTTGGAATTCCTGGTGAAAAGAGCCACCGCCGGACCGCCCCACCTGGTAGGAGAGGTCATCAAACCTCGGGTCATGAGCCATGGGACCTGGAACCCCAAAGAAACTTGGATGAGTCACTGGAATCATGGCTTTAGATGGGAATGGTGCAGCTTTCTCTAACTAGACTAGACACTTTTTTGGGCGGGTCCCCTATATCCCATGCCGACCCATGCCAACTGGGGACCAAAACTGCTTGCCGTGGCGTCCCGGTCAGCCGCAAGATCCCTCCTGGAGTCATTCGCACTGTGGACAATGCGTGGCAAGATATCTTGCCAAACTGCGAACCCGCCAGAATGTCTACTCCAAACCCTTGGTTCCCAGGGACCGGCCATTCCTTTTTGGACATCATCCTTTCAGGATCTGAGGGGGATACGGCTCAGAATTTCATAATGTGTCTTTTGGAGGGACTGCACCGTGGGTCCAGGTTCTGAGACGTACCCCCGTCTGGGTGGATCTGTGCCTCCCAGGCTCTGTTCTGTACCGATCAATCAATGCAGGAGCAGATCTCATTGTCTCATGGACTTATTTTTCCGCTCGAGCAGCCGCGCGGACGAGCCTGAGACTGGTTTTGCCCAAAAAATCATCGGTGGGACCCAAAAAAAAACTGGTGCACCAATGAATTCCACAAAGAGGGAAAACATTTGGGAGTTGGTATCTTGAGGAAAAAAATACCTGTTGGGAAAATGGGCGGGGCAGCCCTTGATTGTTAGGACTTCTTTGTTAGGCGCGTTCATTCAATCGATTATATCAAGCTGGCCTAAAAAATAATGAACAAGCTGCCCGTTGCAGAGCGGACGAAACTGCCCGTTGCATAGCGGACAAAAGTGACAAAACCCTTAAAGCAAAAAGTGAAAGCAACACCCATTCACACAGACGGCCAACATCAGCCAACATCCACGCCTGTTTCATCTTCATTCATCCTCTGTCACTTTGGGACTTGACAACAATTTACATGGACTAAACCAAAGAGAACCACGCTAAGACTTTAAGAATGTCGTTGTCTCAAGCTTCAAAAAATTGATGATGTCTAGCTTTCAAACTTATAAAGCCTTTCAGATCCATCCAAAACAAACCCCCAGGACGAAGTCAACCCGCTGGGCCTTTGTTCCGGTTTGCCTTTCTTTCCCCTTTGTCCTGTTGGATGGATAAGACTTGGACAAGACTTGGGCAATTGGATGGACAAATTATGATAAATTGGATATAAATTGGATATACTTGGATGGACCCTCCTGCTTGTGATGGAAAATGATGGGGACTGTCCACCGACATCGACTTCTGGCCCCAGTCAGAGTCAGATCAGACCGAGTCTCCTGTTTCATCTTCTTTGCCTTCTTCACCTCCGGGGAAAAGGTGCGAAAGTTTTGCAAAAAGTCCAGCTCCAGTGCGGTTCCTCCTGCAGCATTGTTGGTGGCTGGGTGTGGCCGGGCACATTTCCATGCATCCAATTGCGTGGTGCCTTCTCATGCGGTATCCGCCTGTGAAAAGACAGTAACCAGTCTGAAAAAAGTAGCTAATCAGGGATCATGCTAGTTAGGGAGGACAGAAATATGTAAAATAATAATGTGGAACCTATATATTTCATTGTTCATAAATGGAATAACCCTGGATAACCCGTGTTAACCCCACTTCGGGAACCACCAAGTTTAGTAAGCACTTACTCAGGTTGAAACCGCCTCGCCTGGGATCCTGCATGGTGGAACTCATGTGATCTCCGTCCAGTGGAAAAATGTGTGGCCACAGCTCGTAGGCGCGTAGATCGCCCTGCGCCATGTGAAATGACAGGTGAAGCATGCCAAGTCCGCAAAGAATTACTGTACCCTTTGGGGATGGTTTATATTTAGGTTTGCCACCTTATGCGTCAAAATGATTCAAAATGTCAGACCTCTTGGGGCCCCTTAGGGCCCCAACGGGGGCCCCTTGGGGCCAAGGAACAACAGATTTTGGCAAATGCGCAGCAATTTTTGAACCGTTCCATCACAAGAAATTTGTTTGTACCCCTACTGTTCTTTGCTTGTATCATAAATAACTTATCTCCAGATACGACTATATCCACCATTTTTCTTTGCCAATCGCAGACACCCTGCATGTTGTTTTGGCAAAAGACTGAAGATTATAATCAACATGAATCAACCCTTTACCAAGCGTACCAAGGATAATCCACAATATATCAGACCTACGTTGTTGAAGAATTTAGGTGGAACCCATCTCGTTTAGGTTATATTTAGGCGGAAGATATGTAACTAATAACTGTAACTATTAGGAGTAGTTTTTGCCAGCGGACCGAAAACCGTGCTCGTAAAATCAACGTTTTTGATGGGGTGGGGTGGGGTGGGGTGGGGTGGGGTGGGGTGGGGCAGCAATAGCGTCCTTTCACTTACGTCGATGAATGCTACGTTGCCTACGTCTCTAAGAACTTGTAATTATGTGGATGAATGCTACGTTGCCTACGTCTCTAAGAACTTCCAACTATGTGGATGAATGCTACGTTGCCTACGTCTCTAAGAACTCCCGGCTATGTGGATGAATGCTACGTTGCCTACGTCTCTAAGAACTTCCAACTACGTCCAGCTGCAAAAAAAACATTCCCAACTCTTTGGGTGCCAGGCACAAAGATGTCATGTTGTATGCCAAGATGTGGCAATGGAGATTCATTAACAAGTACAAGAAGCTGCTTGACAAAACTGCACAGATGCTGCGAAAGATGGAGTGAAAAAGATGGCTGCAATTGTCCGATCGAAATAGGCAAGATTCACGTTTTACTGTAGCGAAAACACAATTTGCCCAAAAAACGCCCAAATTGGACGTCCGAGTCCAAATTTCGCACTTCTCGAGTGACAGCAATTGTTGCCTCGCTGTGGCAAAACACACATTTTTTTTGTAAAACTCTATTTTCACGAGCACGGTTTCCGGTCCGGCGGGTCGTTTTTATATCCAGGAATGTTTGTTACTCCTCACCTGAGAGAGGAGCATCCCATCCACGTCGTTGATGGGTTGCGATCGAAGGTGAGTCAGCACTGCTGGGATGGAAGATGCCTGTTGGGATGCAGCACTGGCTGAACTGTTGGGTTTATGTATTGATGTAAATGTAATGTACGTGAATCCTGTTATGTACAGATGTATTTGATACACTAAATAATATGTATGTCATGATATATCTATATACGTATACTTTATTCGTTGGTATGTATATATATATATACATAAATATGTATTGTCGTGTGTATATAAAATATTACTATAATGTATGTATGTATGTATGTATGTATGTATGTATGTATGTATGTATGTATGTATGTATGTATGTATGTATGTACGTATGTATGTATGTGTGCATGGATGGATGGATGGATGGATGGATGTATGTATGTATGGATGCATGCATGCATGGATGCATGTATGCATGCATGCATGGATGTATGTATGGTTTTGTATGGTTATGTATGGTTATGTGCGATTATGTATAGTTATGTATGGTTATGTATGGTAATGTATGGTTGTATGGCAATGTATGGTAATGTACGGTTATGTATGGCAATGTCATGTAATGTCATTTCATGTAATGTATGTATGTATGTGTGTGTATGTGTGTATGATCATGTACATATATATATATGTATATATACATATTATCATGCATATATATACATAATCATATGTTGTGTATATATATATATTATCATGTATGTGTATATAATATATATATATATATTATCATGTGTATATTATATACATATATCATATATCGTGTAATTCGTAAATACGTCTACAAATGATGTTCGATTTTATGGATATCACTATAGCGAGATGATGTTGGTGGTGTGGCCCCGAAAATCAGGGGGTTGTCGATTTACCCACCATGCTTAGAAATTCAACCGGTGCTGGAGCAATGATTATTGGACAATATGTAAATTTTGGTAATACACGTCAAGTTCACAACCATATTATATTTTTTCCTGTCCAATCCTGCATCAAATATTGCATCGTGGCTAGAATAATATGTTAAGGATTGGGGAAAGCATCCGGAACAATGGCTCAGGCATGTATAATTATTTCCAGTTCGTAGAGAAGATGCACTTAGTTTGGCAGGATCAATCTAGTGCTATGCGTCTCCCTAGTTGCACGTTGGTTTACAATCCCAACATATCCCACCTAAGGTCTGGCCGCCATGGCTATCTCCCTTTGCGCCTTCACCAAGTAGGCTCCAGTGCCCGCATAGTGGAAGGCGGGCCCCCAAAAGTGCCACCAAAAGGTTTCCTATCGCCGCGGGTGGATGAAATCGGAGGATCCGGGATGAACGGTGGAAAGCACCGCGGTTAGTCCCTGGAAAGATGGCCCTCAGTGAAATGGATCTGAAATGGATCTGATGGGATTGAGGAGCTTGATCATTGTCCATGCAGCTGTTTTTTTTGAAATTGCTCAACCCAACAACATCCATGGGAGCCTGAGCTTGTGCCCCCTCTACCCCTCCCCTTTGTCGGACCTTGAAGGGTCGCCGCATGAGATAGGCGTCAGGACACCGACCCTCCTCAAGGTCGTCTTGGCCGTCATCCATGTCGCCGATGTCGTCGATGGTGGGAGACACTTGATCCAGGGTCTTCTTTAACTGATCCACCAAAGTCCGCCGGCCCGCAAAGGCCTGGGAAATTGTAACCCCTCACAAGGCCTGGAGGATTCTTGTTGCTTTTTGAAAGGATCAAAAAAATGAAGGATGAATTGAGGCAGGGATGGTAATGTATTGCAGGTCGCTGTTTGGTCATGCTTCACCTGCAAATCCAGCCTGAGCCTGTTAACACTGCACAACACAGAAACATAATCTTTCTTGAACGGGACTTGGACCTGGTATTCCCTAGTTTCTTCGCTCTAAAGACACCCGTTTTGATAGAAGTGTCAGTGGTTCCATTCGCAGGGGACCAAAACTCCAAACGACGCCTGTGCAGCCACTTGGAGCAGCGCGGTTCTCTGGGTGATGTTTTTCCTGACCCATTTTGCAGTAATATCCACCAAGAATATGCAATCGATGTCATTTTCAGCCAATAATCAGCCAAGGATCTCCATTTTCAGGGCCACCAAGTGCAACCAAGACAGCGATTTAAGATGTCATTGTGTCATCATCGTATAGCAACCCCCAAAGATACCAATGTTCCACTGGGATGGTAGTTCGATGATCACTTCCCCAATGGCATTTTCCAAATGTCCGACTGTGCGGCATCTTTCTTTGGGGTTGCCAAAAATCCTCCGATAATCAAACGTGGCACTGGAAAATACCCTATCAATGGAAATTCGAATGGGAAAGTCATCGAACTAAATGGGGTATTCCCATTAACATCCCCATTTTTCTTGGTTAAATCATGTCAAATCCCTTCGAATCAACATAAAACTGTGTTTTTCCATGGGTTTCTACCAACCTTTGGCCCGCGATGCGGAGCCAGGTCCTGATGCTTCCGCTTTTGGCGGGTGCACCGTAAAGGATCCGGGACATCCAGCCACCCTGACCTGGGCAAGGAAGCTTTTGGTTGGGAAAAACATCGAAAAAAAAACATAAAAAATCTATCTTTAATGAATGTGCATCAAGCCTTCCCACAAGGTTGATAATGTCTGATGTTGAAATGTCAGATCTTTCTGAAGTTAAAGTCTTTCAGAAAAGATGATGGCTGAATGATGGCTGAATGTGAACGATTTCCTGCCCTCAACCCCGACCCCAATGTTCTGAAAAGGTGCGTATTTTGTGTTTATGAAATCTCCATCTTTGTCTCCGTGAAAGAAACTGCCAACCATTTCCATCGTTGCCACTCCTTGGTTCCCTTTAACAGATTGATAAAACTCACATGTTTTTTGGCGCAGAAAATTCTGCCAAATCCCAGATAGAGATGTCCAGGCACTCTGCAGCCAGGAAAGAAGAGCCATGCTGGTCTGGTTCATCACAATACCTCCTGCCGAGCGGGAAGCGGAACAGTGACCATGGCAGATATGAATCAAAGTGATGAAAGTTGGAACCAAGAAACCCAGTGAGTTGTTATAGTTACATAGTTATTGCATTTGAAGCGAGAAAACATGGGGATACACGGCGTGTAGCTGGTGTGGGCAAGGAAATTGGAGACCTAACGACAAAAATGGAGAGTTGCGTTGCCGAAAACAGGGATACCCCATGCATTGTTTTCCCCTTGCCCAGAAAGAAACATCACTCTTTGTGGTCTCCGAATTTCTGCAACCCCCCATATACCGCCAAGTATGGCTGCCATGATGGTTTTCTCCAATATTGGTAATCGATGGTAATGTTCATTTCAGCAACAACGATGTATATAATCAACAAAAAAACGCGTTAAACACCTGCTTTTGATGGGACTTCAACTAACAAAAGGTGGGAACCAACTGCAGAGATCACCCAGTGGATAGGAATCCCCGCGTCTGCACAACCCTGCACTGAAAAAAACAGGGTTGTAGTGGGGTGTACCCCAAATTCATTGGTCAATCCCATTCCAGATTTTCTATAACAATGTTGGGGGAATGTTCCATAATATTCCCATTTTCAGAGGGAACCAGATAGTAACATAGTTGGTTTCGTCCACGCCAGTGCTTCCCCCTCTTCCGAACCTGTCTCGTGTTTTTCCTGCAGGTCTGCCGGGCGAGAGTAGCCCCAGCCGGATACCTGGCGAACTCAGAAAAACACTTACAGGTTCACTACAACATTGGTTTGTTATGGTGTGTTCCCAATTTTTGGCCATTGTAATGCGGAAAATGATGAGAAACCATTGGAATTGAGACCAATGAACCAGCTCTGAAGCTGACTCTAAGACTGTGAAAGGAAATCCATTGCCCACCACTTGGAGGTACCCGAGTTAGTTTAAGTGGTTGAGAAAACATTTTAAAAACATTGCATTGGGGTGTATTCCATGTATTTCATGTATGTAATGTAGTTGTAATTGTAAATGTGAATGCAAATGTAAATGTAAAGGTGAATGTGAGCGCAATGTAATGTATGTGTATATACAATCCATTATTGTTATTATAATTATTATAATTGTTATTAATTGTCAACATTGTCATTATCAATCATTATTACTATATCATTGTATATATCTATGTGTGAATGTGTATGTGTAAATATAATACGTACAGTAATTGTACGCGCAAACACCCCATATCGCCCACACCCCTTCTATGCTGTACACTTGGGGATATCAAACGTTAGACTTTACATTCAATTGGGAAGATTAACAAGGGTATTTAGGGAATATAAATTTCCCACCCCCGTTAAACTTCTGCATTCGTTGAAGATCTTCAATAAGGGTTTAATTCTCCCACCCCCGTTAAACTTCTACATTCATTGAAGATCTTCAATAAGGGTTTAATTCTCCCACCCCCGTTAAACTTCTACATTCGTTGAAGATCTTCAATAAGGGTTTAATTCTGCCACCCCCGTCAAACTTCTACATTAGTTGAAGATCTTCAATAAGGGTTTAATTCTCCCACCCCCGTGAAACTTCTACATTCGTTGAAGATCTTCAATAAGGGTTTAATTCTCCCACCCCCGTTAAACTTCTACATTCGTTGAAGATCTTCAATAAGGGTTAGGGTTTAATTCTCCCACCCCCGTTAAACTTCTACATTCATTGAAGACCAATAAGGGTTTAATTCTCCCACCCCCCGTTAAACTTCTACATTCGTTGAAGATCTTCAATAAGGGTTTAATTCTCCCACCCCCGTTAAACGTCTACATTCGTTGAAGATCTTCAATAAGGGTTTAATTCTCCCACCCCCGTTAAACTTCTACATTCATTGAAGATCTTCAATAAGGGTTTAATTCTCCCACCCCCGTTAAACTTCTACATTCATTGAAGATCTTCAATAAGGGTTTAATTCTCCCACCACCGTTAAACTTCTACATTCATTGAAGATCTTCAATAAGGGTTTAATTCTCCCAACCCGTTAAACTTCTACATTCATTGAAGATCTTCAATAAGATGATGATGATGATGATGATGATGATGATGATGATGTGTAAGAGATTCGCACAGGTCCCTATGCTGTGCGTGCCGATATACAACATGAAGTTAGCCATGATGCAAACAATCTCCCATTTTTACCACGTTTTCAGCACATACGAAGATGGCCGCCGACAAGCGCGGGCAAAACGAGGTAATTGTACATATATAATGATGTATCTGTATATATATATATATGTATATCACTGGGTGAAACTGCTTACCCACATCCCAAACGTTTGCACCTTCAGTAGGGACCAATCACTTGGTGCACAGGATAAGGTGTTGTCGATCAGCTCTGCCCAATTGTGCCTGGCAGTCAAGGTGGATGGCCACCGGATCTACAACTGGGTCATAACTGGGTCATTTTCTGTGGCGACATGACCAGAGGTTGGGTCTGGCTTTAAAAAAATACCCCCAAACTTGAATGCTTAATTCAAAAATGCCGGATCGAATTAGCAACATACAATTTCTATATACATATATAGTTATATATATATGTATATAGTTATATATATATATATAATTATATATATAATTAAATATAATTATATAAATACATATATATATATATAATATTCATCTTTGTGTGAGATCGACATATCCCCTGAATCCATCTTAAACCCAGTTGGAGAGTCACTAGACATGTGGTACTAGACCTCCATCCAAATCTACATCCGATTCATCCGACAGGTTGGCAATGGACGTCTTCAAGGGCTATTATGACATGAGCTGTTGACAATATGACCCCAATCATGGAATGTTTATCATGGCTAATGGAACTGGTTCCAATATCTACTAGTATTTTAAACATAATAATAATAATAAAATTATTATAGCGGCTAATAATGCTAGTCATTAGGCTTACAGATGCCAATCACACTTAATTAAGAACGGTTTCCCTATTGTGCTCGGTGTTTTTTCCTAACCACTCTGCGCTATGGAATGAAATCAGAAACCGAACCCAGGTGCGGGATCTCTACGTCATCCTCGAGGACCTCAGTTGATCATCATCAGTTTCCTTTAAAAGATGGCATCCTCCATTTTTAGCGACGACAACCCCCTAAAAAACTGAAGCTGCGAATCACACCCAAATGACGTATGTTTTTAGCACTGGCAAAAATTCAGAACCTCCAGGCATGGGGTTTGTTTCACCGCGATCGCATGCGGTTCACAGGGCCGATCTGCTGAGTTTCCGGCCAAACCGATCTGATTCGGTTGCAGCACCCTGAGAACAAATCAACATTGGCAACCGAACTACCCTCTGGTAAACTAACATAGCTATTGAAAATTGCCATTTATAGTGAGTTTTTCCATTAAAAATGGTGATTTTCCATAGTTATGTTAGTTTACCAGAGGGTAAATCTAGAATCTAGTCTAGAGACATGTAAAACAACGATGGAAGCGGAAATCCCACATGACGGTTTGTCAAAATGTCTGTTCCCGGTTCTGTTGATAAATCGCAATTCCATGCGTGCCGCCTCATGTTTGCCTTTAAAAACATGACCTACCTTGATGACGTGAAAACGTGGAAATTCTTCGTTACCTTTGGAAATCTTTCTAAAACCACAGGAATCGGCTAACGCACGTCGGTTTTCATTCGCTGTCGCTGCTACTATCTCCTGAACTGTGTGTCTCTTTGTGTGTGCCTCTCTGAATGCAATATGCTTCTTGACATGCCTCCTGATCAACGCTGTTTCCTTACTGTAAGCTACCAAAGCGTGAACATGGCTGTGCCTCTGAATGGGCTGCGGGTGGACCGGGGCATGTATTTGCAATTTTCGCTAGCGCGTTGCTAGCGGCGATCTAGCGCGTAAAATACGTAAAAAAATCGAAAATTTGGGAATATGTGGAAACTGACAGACTTGTAAGAAAATCTGGCAAGACATTCACGACATGGAGGCCATGGCTGTCAATCAAACCTAGCGCAAACCTAGCGGGTTTGCTAGCGCTGCCTTGCAGAATTGCTGAATTTAGTTGCGTGCCGCCTCATAACGAAGAGGAAAAAACAGTAGACCCAGATGAATTATCAACAACCAATACTAAACTTCTAAACAACTATTTTTGACAAATGGTCACATGTCTAATTGAACATTTCACGGTCAGCCAAAGGGGTCCTGGTCAAGAGCCTGGCAGTCAGCTGGGGAAAGGATGCTCATCCCCCCATCTTTCTGGCCAAAATCATGGCTTTTGCAGGGTTTTAAGCGACATCTCCAGCCATCTCCATAGTAATAATCCCATCACCCAAAAAAAATTAAGGACCGGATAACCCCACAACGGGGAAGGAAGGAAAGATGAAGGAGGTGGTGGAGGATCGAGAAGTAAAACAAAGTTGTGTGTGACAAAGTTGTATGTGAAAGATGGTGTGTGACAAAGAAAGATGGTGGTGTGTGACAAAGTTGTGTGTGAAAGATGGTGTGTGTGTGTGTGTGAAAGTTGTGTGTGTGTGTGAAAGAGAGCGTGTGACAAAGTTGTCTGAAAAAGATGGTGTGTGACAAAGTGGTGTGTGAAAGATGGTGTGGCGAAAGATGGTGTGTGCGACAAAGTGGTGTGTGAAGGATGGTGTGTGAAACGACAAAACGAAAAGTTCATTGCTGGATAAGAAAATGTAAACCGGCACAAAACATGAACTGAGTTCAAGCTAGGCACTGACACGCGGCATCACTGCGGACTAAGTACCACGTGAAACGAAGACACATGTCGCCAAGTGCCACGCCTGCCACGCAAAGTGCCGCGACGACACCGGCGACTAATCCGGTCCAAGCGCGCCACCAGAGCCAGCCCAGTGCCCTAAGTACCACGCCTGCCACGCAAAACGATGGTGGATGTCGCCAAGCGCCACGCCTCCCACGCAAAACGAAGGTATATGTCACTAAGTGCCACGCCTGCCACGTGAAACGAAGACACATGTCGCCAAGTGCCACGCCTGCCACGCAAAGTGCCGCGGCGTCACCGGCAACTAATCCGGTCCAAGCGCGCCACCAAAGCCAGCCGAGTGCCCTAAGTACCACGCCTGCCACTCAAAACGAAGTTGTGTGAAAGATGGTGTGTGACAAAGTTGTGAAAGATGGTATGTGACAAAGTTGTGTGTGACAGGTCTCCAAGTGCCACGCCTGCCACGCGTGCCATGCGTGCCACGCAAAGTGCCGCGGCGTCACCGGCAAAGTTGTGTGTGACAGATGGTGTGAGACAAAGTTGTGTGTGACAGATTGTGTGTGACTAAGTTGTTGTGTGACAAAGTTGTGTGTGAAAGATGGTGTGTGTGACAAAGTTGTGTGTGGCAAAGTTGTGTGTGACAAAGTTGTGTGTGGCAAAGTTGTGTGTGACAAAGTTGTTGTGCAACAAAGTAGTTTGTGAAAGATTGTGTGTGACAAAGTTGTGTGTGACAAATGGTGTGAGACAAAGTTGTGTGTGACAAATGCTGTGTGACTACAGTAAGTTGTGTGTGAAAGATGACAAAGTTGCAAAGTTGTGTGGAAGATGGTGTGTGACAAAGTTGGTGTGTGGAAGATGTGTGTGAAAGATGGTGTGTGACAAAGTTGTGTGTGAAAGATGATATGTGACAAAATTGTATTGAAAGATGCAAAGGTGGCGGCGGAGGAGCCGGAGGAGGAGGAGGCGGCGGGATACAGAATCAAAAACAAGAACTTAACACAAAGATGTGGGGAAAAAAACACCCCCAAAACGAAACCATGTTATTTTCGCAGGAATTTCCACATTTTTTTGAGACCATTTGGGTGTCTAATATTCGGGAGAGGGGAATCCCCACCTTTGAAGCTCCTCCAGCAGCTCGTTGTGACTCACATAACAGGCCTTGGTCGGGTGGTTGAGCAAGCCGTAGTTATATAAGTCATATTAAGTCAAACATCTACAGATATGAATAATAACTAATACATGTTATATAATACTAATATACTTGATGTTGATGTCTATAATCATACTTGTATGTATATATATAAAGACTCAGTACGGCCGCTGACATTTTTTAGCTCTGCAAGACCGAGGTTTTCAAGTTAAAAGGAATTCAGAACGAAATTCAATATTCAAAACAACTTGAATTTCCCCATTAAGCACCAGAAAAAAGCTTAACACCCCCAGGGGAGTCGGCCAAGCCCGAACACCCTGGCCAAAGTGTTTTAAAGGGTTCTTCAGGTCCGGCCAAACCCAAGACTCTGAAGACCACACCCCAGCTGGCACACCCAGTGCCCTTTTTTCGAGTTCTCTTTTGCTGCTTCTTCCGGGCTTCAGGGGAGGGACATAGGGACGGGGCGCTGAAGCCAAAACTGATGAAAAATTACGCTCAACCTACTTTCGTCTTTATCTACGGGGCCGTTTCCCCAAAGACTCAGTACGGCCGCTGACATTTTTTAGCTCTGCAAGACCGAGGTTTTCAAGTTAAAAGGAATTCAGAACGAAATTCAATATTCAAAACAACTTGAATTTCCCCATTAAGCACCAGAAAAAAACTTAACACCCCCAGGGGAGTCGGCCAAGCCCGAACACCCTGGCCAAAGTGTTTTAAAGGGTTCTTCAGGTCCGGCCAAACCCAAGACTCTGAAGACCACACCCCAGCTGGCACACCCAGTGCCCTTTTTTCGAGTTCTCTTTTGCTGCTTCTTCCAAGTTGCCCTGCCCTGCGCCGACTTAGGTGCAAGGTCAAGTTTTGGCAAAGACAGAGCGAGACTTTTGAGGTACTGAGTTCGCAAATTTCGCGTAAACGGGGTATACGGAATACGAATACGAGTTAAAACAGACAACCCTTCATTGACATAAATACGGGCTGTCTTGGCAGATTGCCATCGTCCCAACACTAGCAGTTTGTCAAACGAGCTTTGGACAGTAAAAAAGTGAGTAGCTCCACCTCTTCTCAGCGAGTAAGGGCGGTAATCGACTGCCGAAAATCCGACCGCATTCAATGTGTCATTGAAAAGTTTTCGCCAAGCATATGGAGATGGTGTCAGCGATACTCGTGACGCTACAGTACCTTTCCACTGATAAAGTCTTCGGCACACATCCTCGACATGAATCGTGACAGACTCTGCAGCTCCTTGGCGTTTACCTGCTTTGGTAAGCCCGAGGGAAATTACTGCTGGACCCTGAGGGCTAGCAATGGATACTTGGTTGGCTGTGATAGACAGCAACTCTCCAGTACGTAGCAAGCCAAAAAACCCCACCAAGAGACTCAAGGCAAATTGTGGGCGTTGTTTGAACAAGGAATACCCAACCATGATTTCCAGGCACTCAAGCGATAGCGGCGGTGCGCGATTAGGAATTTCGTGAACCACCCACGCCTTCAGGAGGCGCCAACTTTGCAACAGTTTTCCCTTCAAATGAGGTTGGGTATCCTGTAATGCTGCTAGGATATTAGATCCCTCGGTGCGACCAGCTCCCTGAGCCCATAGGAACTCCAAGTAGTCGGCAACCACCAAGTCCAAGTCTTTGGCTTTGCTGGGGAGGGGTTGTTTGATGTCCTTCAAATATTCAAAAAATTCATCTAAGGCCTGATTATACCGAGCACGCGTGACGGGCTGTACAGTGAGTTGACGTAACGTACCTAGTTGCTTCCTCATTTTTGCTCTTGCTTTTGGGGTCGGGGCCTCTAAATGCCGTTTAGGCATGTCCCCATTTGCGCTTCCGGGGATGCCGTGACGGGGCATCCGCCGGATTCTGTTTGGTGTGGACATAAGCCCACAAGGCTTGAGTTTTTGACACCAAAAGCAAGGCATTGGTGCGAAGCAACGTACGTTTCAACTTCTGACTACTAGATCTACCCCTACTTAACGCGTGCAAACAGACCAATGAATCAACTAAGTGCACAAATTTGGTTCTAAGTCGCCGTTGGCGCTCTATTCTCCATCTCAACGATGTGAGCACTGCTCGGAGCTCTAGAACGTTAATGTGCTCCCTCTTCCCCAGCCAGCGCCAGCTGGCCACAGTCTTCCATTTCCAGAGTCGGGCCGGGATGCTGGCGCGTAGCCTCTGGTACTTCACTGGCTCGTCCGAGGAAGTCTGCAACATCAAATCTTCCCCTTTGAGGCTCCCCATAGTCAGGAGTTTCTTCACCAGCACTTCTTCACATTGCGGACTCGGATTGGGACTTTGCGTCTTCTGCATAGCTGGCCGCTGGAGGAAGGTCAAAAAATCCTTCGTGCAGCCAGGTGATGTCCGCTGAACTACCTCTTGAACTGCCATGGGATCATTCAGCCCCAATAGCTGTCCTAACTGGCTCATCAGCCATGCCACAACAGGAACGCTCCAAGAGTTGCCTACCAAAGTCAATCGCTCATCGATGTAGGCCTGACCCACTTGTCGTGACTTGGGCAGACACTGGGAGGTGTAGTCACACGGAAAACCCATGATTACCTCTCTTTCGGAGATATCAAGGATACGCTTGATCCCAGCTTTGTTTTGTACAGCGAATTGATCTCTGTACTGATATGGAGGGAAGCGATAAGCATCATCTTTCCAGCGGCTCAGTTCGCTTGGCGTGCACTGTTTGACCCCAGCTGGCTTGTAGCCGGGCTGAGTGCGGGGACGGGAGGTTGTAAAGGTTGGAAACTTTTCCTCACTACATTTAGTCCAACCGGGCCGCAAATAACTCTTCGCGGTTACATTTGCCGTCAGGACGACTTCTGCCCGGCCTTGGTCATTCCAACACCAGGAGACGCCGTCACCCCCTGATAGCTCCCAATCGACCCAGTACAGCCGAGGCCTTCTGGCCAAGGACAAATGAACTGCATCAATGCTCCAGGGTTCCTCCCCGAAACTTTCCGTCATCACTTGCTCATCCTCAGCACTCATTGATGCCACAGATTCCATTAAGCTTCTAACTTGCGCCCATGGAAAACACTGTTGGAGGAGCTCTCTAATTCTGGCCACATGGACAAAAAGACTACTTCGAGCGTCCCTCAATGCCCCCTTTTTTGAGGCGTTCAAACCGCTGACGCCTTGACACGGTGGTCCTGCCCCCAACAGGACCAGCCCGACCTGAGGGAACCTTTGAGCCCAGCCTTTGACCATTTCCAAGTCCACAGACTGAACGTCACCTACAGCCACCGTGGACGGGAACCTGGACTCAACCACCCTCTGCGCCGACGCAGACACCTCCACACTGACATGCCCATGAACACTCCAACCTAGCGCATCTGCTGCAACTCTCAAAGCCCCAATCCCATCGAAGAGCCCGACCGTCAAGACTCCGACGACGTCCCACGGCTCAACCAAGTCACCTCGGACAGGGCACGTGGCAGCAACACACCCGGCGGGAGTTACACCAGTACTCACCGTCACTCCCCCTCCCGTCTCTGAAGCATCGCTTGCAGTGACATACTTGGAGACTTCGCCTCTAAAATCCATGTATGCTAACGGGAGAAGCCCTATAAACCTCCCGATTTCTTCTTTGACGAGTCCAGGAATGGGCAACTGAACAAAAGGGGGATAACCTTCAAAACTTGTGATAAACTGCCACAATGCATTCAAGCACCCCAACAGTGGTCTTCGAAACATGCAAAAGTAAACAAAGCCTCCCCCGACCACTTGCACCTGCTTTTGGGTGCAACGGTGAGATTTTAGCAGATGGAGCCCCAACTGGGCATATTTCAAAAGTTTTTCGGGCTTGGGGTAAGCCAAGCCAGCTTCACCATCTACTACTGCGCCCTGCACTTCCGCTTTGCGTTGCGAAGCAACACCCTTCTTGGGATGTCTAGGCACCCCCAATGCCAGGTACTCCTCCCTCAATCCGGTCACTAGGGGAGACACTTTGCCTTGGATGGCATCAGCCACCTTTTTTGAAGTTTTACACAATTCATCAAAATTGTCAAGGTAAATTCGAAAACAAGGGTTGCTGGTGGTAAAGGTCCTGTCTTTTCTCAACTCTGCTTCGGCCTTGAACGGCACCCGCCTTAATGCCCTACCAACAATACACCTATGTACATGTTGGGCCAAGGCAACAGAGTTCTTAAATCCCATTGGCAAGACTACACTACATGGAAACCACCTCCCTGGCTTGGGACCACACAAGCTGGGAGGAAGCTCCCGATTGAACGCCATGTAGCGATGCCATGACGGCGGGATTTTAAATATATAGAAAAAACACCGCACATCTTCGCTGGAAATGACTAGGTCCTCCTCTGGCATAAGGCTCAGAGGGGTCATTCCAGCCCAAGACGGCAGGGTGGACACGTCACCATCCATGCCCCGGCAAATCAGGTTTACCGGTACCAAGTTCATAATGACCCTCATGCTTTCCCATGGGCCATCAAATTCCTGTTTTGATACTCCAAATAACCCATTCAGAATGGGTTTCCCCTCCACCATATGGAGGTCATCTTCATGTACTTTTCCAAAAACCCCTTTCTCCATCATGTTCTGGCAAAAGGTCTCCCAGTGCTCGGGTGGCACCATCACCCGTGGTGGTCGGGAGTAAACTTGCTGCTCCTTGGGCAGGAGATAGTTCTCAAAGTGAAGGACGTAATGGCGCGAGCCACGTTCAACGACATCTTCCAAGTTTACCCCTCCCACTTCGTCCGGGAGTGCCCCTCTCACGTTTTCCCACTGCATACTTTGGGCCGTGAGAATTTCTTCTCCTCTGTAGTCCACTCCCCGACACCTAAAGAAGTCTCCCCAACTGACGGGAGAAGTCGTTTCGGGAGATTCAAATAGCCTTTTGCAATCGACCATTAGTGATCTCAAAATTTCCTTTTGGAACTCAGTTGGGGGGTAATTCTCATTAAAACTACCTTCCCCATTTAACGAATTCAGTGAAACACAAACAGTCCTAAGCGTGAGCACAAGGTCATGGGGGTCATCAACAAAAACCTGGCCTAGGTATAAGGAGGACGTGGGTAGGGGAAAAATCCTACCCGTGGGCTTGGTCTTACAGAGCCTAGGTGAAAAAACGTCCAGCTTACCATTTAGCCAGGTTAAAACATCTCTCATCCTGACCCCCCCTGGCTCACCCACACCATCGCACTTTTTTGCACTCACTCGGCCCAAGCCTGAGCTAGCGTCGTTCTCAGCCAGACCAACACTAGGTGTGTCAGCCTCTGTACCAAAGGTTGTGCCAGGAAGGGTGGCAGCCCTTCCTTCGTAGTGGTGAAACTCAGCGGAGTTGTCATTCCCGCTGCTCTTCTCATCCTGCCCAATCGCCTTTGTTCCTTCCGTAGTTGCCCCAAACTCAGGTCCCTCTCCTCTCCTAGCTAGCCTCTGCTCCCTCTGAGTCAGGAGCTCTTTTTCCCTTCGTCCTTCTGCTTGCCCGATCCTTTGCCTTTCTCTTTTCCCTTCTCGCGCTCCTTCGTCTTGGTCTTCCCCTTGCCTTTCTCCCACTGGGAACCCGTCCCTTTGATCCGGGAGTCCAGGTTTGCCTCCTTTTGAGCAAGTTGTAGCTCGGCCCTCGATGACATCGTTGCCTCCATCGGGGGAACTACTTCTACTCGTTGAGCTGTGCTCCAGTGTTGTCCTCCCATCATGAGCTCTAAGCTTTTGAGCCGCTGCCCCAGCGCATCCAGCGCTTCCGCTGGCCGCGCCATCAAAAGTAGGTCTCCGATGTGGGCCAGTGTGTAGGCCTCCCGGAGGAGTCCTCCACTTGATCTCGGAGATAGGTAGCACCGAGCATATTGGCTCATGATAGGAGGTAGGGAGTCCATATCGAGGTCCCATGTTCCGCCCGTCGTCTGCACCACGAACGGCTTCATATTCCGAATCACCGCTGCGGCCAATAGACCTGGTCCGTGATCTGCCAGCTTTTGGATCTTGCTCCGATCCTCCAGGAGTTCGTCGTCCTCTTTGCCTTCGCTGGTGCCGCTTGAAGTCGAAGAGGACGTTGAAGTGGACCCTTTCCCTCTCTTCAGGCGTTTCCTCATCTGCCGTTGTAACTTGCGCCTGACTTTCGGGTCGGGATCCAGGCCCGTACCACTGTACAGATCCACTAGCTTCTTCTTTGCCACCGTCTTTCCGCCAATCCGGCCTTGCTGTGCCTTCTTGCGTGCCTTCTTGCGTGCCTTCTTCTCCTTGCTGCGCTTCTTCTTCTTTTTCTTTGACGATGCGCGGGAGTGAGATGAATCTCTGTGGTCTCCCTCTGCTGCCTTCTGCTGGGCCACCCATTCTTCTTGGCGTCTACGCAACTCCGGGTTCTCGTCTGTATCCTTCAAATTCTCCTCCCACTTGCGTTCACCGGGAGGGGGAACCTTCTTGAATGAAATCAAATGGATCAAATCCTGGTTTGACCTCTTCTGGTCACAGGTGGGCCCACACACGTGGACTCGGAACACCGGTGGCTGGAGGCCAGTTGCCACTCTCAAGACCTCCTCAGTGGATGTTCCAGTCAGGAGCGTAGAAAACTCCACCTGATCTCTGTCCAAAATCACTCGCTGAATGTGTCCAGCAATCTCGCACTCCTTCTCGAAGTAGACCGCGTGGACCGACTTGAACCAATCTCCACTCCCCACTAACCCGGGAGAATACTCCTTGCTCTTCACTTCCTCCCCTTGTTCCCACCTCTCTTGTGGGGATTTGTGGCCAGCTCCCACTGCTGCCGCTGGTCTCCTGAGTCCTGCCTTTGCTGCAGGCCTCCTCAATCCTCCCCTTCTCATCTAGAGCCCTGGTAGTGCTCCCTTATCGCCTTCCTCGTAGGGTCTGGTCCGTAGTCCCGTATATCTTGAGCTCTTTCCCGGCGCTTCACCCCTTTGGTGGTCCACTGACGCCGACCTCCCCAAGGTCTTGGATAGAATCGCCCGGGAGGGGGTTCTAACTGACGAGGAGGCGGGGCCCCTGCTGGCTCAGGTGGCCGTTGACTGCCGCGGGAGACTCTTTCTACGGGAGGCTCTCTCTCCCAACGCTCTCTTTCTCTCAGCCTAGGGCTACGGGAGTCTTTCTCCCTCTGGCGTCTCTCCTCACGGGAGTTATGTCTCCCACGTCGACTGGCTGACCTTCTCTTGGAGCGACTCCTTCGACGCCGTTCACTCCTCCTTGGCGGTGACCTCTCCCTAGCAGGGCTCTCTGGCAACTCTTTCTGCTCCCTCCGAGTAGCGGGAGAAGGACTCTTGTTTCCTTTGTGACTACTAGCTCCCTCTGAGCTACGGGAGTAGTCAGGTGGGGTGTCAAAGGCCTCAGTGGCGGCGGCCTGCACTGGTTTGGCCTTCTTGTCCTTGGCTTTTTTGTCCTTCTTTGATTTTTTCTTTTTCTCGGGACTAGTTTTCACTTCAACAGGGCTAGCTATCTCTTCTTTCACAGGGGTCTCAGTCTCGGGAGGAATTCCAGGCACTCCCAGGAAAGGTGGTGGCGATGCAGGAGGGACCTTGCTAGTGGCTTGGGCTGGACCAATAGCAGTAGCCGGACCAGTTGCTGCCTGCCCAGGTGTCAACCCTGGGGCTACCCCACCTGGTCCTTGCGCAGGGGTTTGCACAGAAGCCGCAGGGACTCCCACTGGTAGCACGGGAGGGCCTCCTGCCAAAGGTCCCCCCACGCCAAGCACCAGCCCGTCGCTGGCGTCCAGGAGCTCAGTGAATAGCTCCCTCACTCGCCGCAGGGCGTATTCCCGAAAGGGAACAGTGGCCTCAGGCCTAACGAGCAGGAGTCCAACACGCCTCCAGGTATGGCACACAGCACAAGTGCACGATACGAGGGGATGGTCACTGCTCATCAGAGCGCTGAAGCCAAAACTGATGAAAAATTACGCTCAACCTACTTTCGTCTTTATCTACGGGGCCGTTTCCCCATATATATATATATATTATTGGATAATATTGAGATGGCCATCTACGATCTTCCTGAGATCAAGTGAGGATCATATTGGATAGTTAACCACCAAGCCAGAGATATCACTGGGGGGTTTTAATTCATGGCCATGCAGCGGAAAAACCTAGGGATGTTGTGACCAACAAATGGTGATATCTGTGGTAGTACCAACTCCAGTGACATGAATCTTCGCAAGAAAACAACCCTTAAAAGTGAGTTGCAGCTGCATATTCCCGGGAAATCGTTAGCAGATCTCGGGCCATAGAAATCTGGAAATTTCCTCCCAGTGCAGCCCCCAGATCGGATTTCACCGCTGCCAACGAAGAGACCACAGTGGCATTCACTAAGTGGTCCTGCCGGCACTGATCGATGTGTCAGTCCCCCCTTTAGCAAACATTTCGTCATATAGTCAATAGATGTCAATAGTCAGCGGGTTCTCTTCCCAATCAAAAACGGCTGAAAAGAAGCCAACCCATTCGCCAAAGACATGTGTGTGCTAGTATCATGTAACGTTGACTCTGGGAAACACTTTGGTATGAATCTCCAAACTCCAAATCACATAGGAAGATTCTCGTTTCTGAGTAGTTCGGTCCTACTGCTGGCGCCGTACTCTCTCTCTCTCTCTCTCTGCTGGGGCTTTGTGAAATGGGGTTCTAATGGACCCACCAGTTTTCGATCCAATGGGCTTTCGACTGCAGTTTTCACGGCCTAACTTCAACCCAGCTGGCAAACCCCACCCCATGAGCAGGATTCAAGAGCTCACTGGACAGTTTCTGCTTCAATACATACTTCTGGTCAAACCTCGGCCGGTCAAACGCCAAAAGACGCCCCAAAAGACCAGTGGGATCCAAATACATCTCATTACATGTTAACTTAATAGATTTCACATCATCCCAAATCAGGGAAAACCGAATAATAATCCACAAGTGCGGACGCTTTATGGATGGGGTTTATCTCATTACTTGCTTTCCCTCGTCAAATTGTAAGCCGCCCGAATGGCTTGGCTGGAAAGGTTTGATTTCCCGTGAAACAAAAAACTTGTCTTTTCAGCTCATCCCTGTAGCAAATCTTCCCAAAATGGGATACCAAAATGCATGGATCCGATACGAAAAGGCGGGGCTTCCAATAGGACAGCAAACCCTTCCCAGCATTGAGCAGCCAAAAGTGGGTGCAAAAAAAAAAACGACCTCCCAATTGGAGGTTTGGATCCCAGATGATCCCAGAACATCTGGTAAGAAAAGGTATTTCAAAATCAACTCTAAGTGCGTGAATGACCATAATTGCATATAATTCTAACTATTATGATATTTACAGTATCTGCATGTCTGTTTATCCACACTTTTATTGTTACTAGTATCAAGATGTATCAAGTTTATCAAATAATTATCATCCAATCATACATGATTATCAAACATTACTAGTTTTTTGCGGTTATTATCATCCAATGGTGGATTTCATTCTCTCAACCGCTCCCTGCGGGCGCAACTCAGCTTCCCACTTGCCCGACTTGATCCGTTCTTGACTGATCGCCTCACATCACCACAAGGCCGGCCAGCCGTTGCCGAAATGGGCTGGCCCAAAAAATCATCCAACGCCGAAAAATCCAACGTGGAACCGGTGGAACCTCAAGAATCCACGGATTCTAACATGCTTTGTCATGACGTGAATCCTGTTGGAAACCTATGGTTAAACAGCCCTATTTTTGTGGACTGGAAACATCTAAGATACCCTCTGGTAAACTAACATAACTATGGAAATATGGAAAATCATCATGTTTAATGTGTAAATCCACTATAAATGGCCATGTTCAATAGCTATTTTGACATAACCAGAGGGTACATCTAAGTTTTTCCAGTGGGATAACACCTTCATGGACTCCATGGACAGGATCTGCATCCGCCAAGGCACTTCAAATCTCAACAAAGGCAGGCCTGCTGCTCTTGCCTCGGCGAAATCAGAATCCACAGCTACAACGCTACCCTGAAAAATGCCTGGCAGGAGATGTCACAAAAAAATGAATGGCGGTATACCTCCAAATCTATCAATTTTAGGATAATATCACCAATTATCCCACATATCTCCAAAATATATATATATTATACAATATATATATATTATATATATATGTATCTATCAAGGTTTATGCCAGTTGCTCATTGTGGGATAATTCGTAGATATTCATAGTGCCATAGGGCTATCGCTTCGCCAATTTTCACCAATTTTCACCAGGCCTGCGCCTCCATGTGTTTCCGTCGTTCCACCTGCGCTCATTAGGGGACAATGGTGATAAACCTTGTGTCATAACATGGCTTTGTCTGAAAATGGGGTAGTCCAAAATTCCAGTGGTTTGTCCTCACGTTCCGGAGTAATACAGACCATTTTGGAGGCATCCCTCATTTTCAGACACATCCATACATCACTATATCCCTACCAGGCCCTAGCAATATACCATTGTCTTCCCATTAATATCCCGAGTGTATCTCAGCAAAACATAATAAATCCTCATTAATATCCCATACGTTGGCCAAGGGATAGAAACAGTCCTGGTCGCCCCAGTCCTCCGTATCCACGTTGATGTAGTAGGCCAAAAGCTGTGTTGGCCGAATGGAGCTCGTTGCCATGTGTCGTTGAAGCAATGAGATCTCACCCTGACCCAGCCAGTGCATGTTTGGTTTTGTCAAAACACCGGGGAGGTACCACCCCTCATTTCCCCATTTGACACACAGTGCGCAAAGTCTAGGATCATCGACGCTACCACAGCAAGTCCAAGCTAGACCTGGACGGTAACCCATAAGAAAGAAACGCGATACCAGATGTGGTATTACCTGGACAGGCACCAGGATTTTGATTCGCAAGGAACAAACAAAGCCAAGAAAAAGGGAAAGAAATGATGGATGGAAGGTGGCAAGATATGGTAAGCATGGAAGTAAACTGCAAAAAAACGCAGATACCAAATGGGGATGTCTCAAAATTGGGAAGCCCAAAATTCAATGGTCGATGTAGGGTTTAGCACCAGTTTCCCTACTAATTGTGGGCCTTTCAAATTGTGGGCCCATCCGCAATTTTGGAGCGAATTCTTCATACAGTAGCTCTTCTTTTGTGTCCTTTTCATCCTTATTCCTATTCTTGAGGAATAGTAATCACCCACCATGGTTCACCTGATTTTTCAACATATAAAATTCATGATACTTCAATATGTTTTACACATTTACAGTAGCATGTTTGTTTTTTTAAGTCCAATGTTGTTGGAAAAAAGATATGGCATGATATGTCTATGGGTCAAAACCCTGGTACCCTATATAGGTACCTTAAAATGGCTGGTGAATGGAGGCTTATTCCCCAAGTATGGCAAGGTTTGGATCCATCCCCATATCCCCAATTTCTGGTTGCTTTTTCCTCGTTGTTTCTGAAGGTTTCGCTCCCCCAGTTTCGCTCCCGGCAAAACGCGCCTGGGGCCCTTGGGGTCCAACGGAAACCTCGATGGCCTCCACGGTGAAGAAGAGGAGCCACGGGAGCCACATCTTTTTTGGTCACCTCAGCCATTTTTCGGGGAAAAACAGCGAGACAACAACAGGTTTCAGATGGATTGGTTTAAGGGAAAATCTACAGGAAAGCCCCATATTATCCATATTTAATGGGAAAATAACTCTGGTTTCCTGTAATTTTTCCCTTAAACCAATCCAATCAAACAGGTTTCGGATGGTTTCAGGGCGACCAAAAATGGTGGCTCAAAAAACAACACCATTTTATGGCGCTGAATGCAATCTTTGGGACCAAATATGTGGCTGAATAATTTTCAATATGGATGGGATATGATGGGATTGCATCCCTAGCTTTGCCAAAGCGAAAACGCGTAATCCCATTGCCATCTGCAGGAACCTGCGGCTGGGGGCCCCAGCTTGTAGCTAAACAAGAACGGGCTTGTGAAATGAAGCCATCAGAACGTGAGCGCCCGCTACACCCGGGCTTGAGCCAATGACCATCAATGTGTCAAAAAGGAAATCCAAGCATATCAAAGGGCTCTGTGTGAGATCTGTCCATCTATCTGTCTGTAGTATCCATCACTCCATCTAATTATCCTATTCTATCAATCCTACTGTATTTATTTATCCTTCTACCTGCCTAATCATCTACAATTATATAATCATACATGATCCATACAAGGTTGCCCTGATAATCGATCACGCGATGAGCCAAGCGCGCCAAAATGTCCACATCGTTTATCTCACTCCACGCATTTCCACCCAGGATTCAGGCTCTCGTATCCCCTCAAAACAAGCGATGTTTCTGTTGAGGTACGTCACCCATCCCTGGCGGTACCCCATCAGCTGGGATATGGGGTCCCTGTAATTAATGGTGAAATAATTATTTCATTTACCGTATATAGCTCATTGGAACTGCGCCTAGTGCCTGTCCTGGAACTCCTTGTTGCATTTAGTTCCTCCTGAGAATGACAGCCCGGTTGCAAAAAACTGTCTGGATATCTCTCACCGTAGGGTTCCAAGAATCCAGTAGGAACAACAACACCCTTTGAAGTGGTGCTGTGTCCAGCGTAAGAAGAAAGATGTAATTCTGATTATATCTGAGGGATGAAAAATTGCAACATACCTTGCTCAGGTCACAAGTTCCTTCTGCATATCACCCTTCCCATTAAAACAAGCAGCAAGAAAAGTCCATAGCTTTCCGGATGGCCTGCAATTTGGAATTTTGACGTAGCAAGTCTTGTACTCGCCCATCACTTTTTTGTCTTTCCTGCTTCAGCTGTGATATTGTCATGCTATGTCATGGTCATCTCTGTGCGTTCCCAAATTCAGAGACCCATGCCATCCCTGCGCTGGCAACCCTGTTTGAGTGATATCTTTCATCCCAGCTGTTTATCACTCTTTATCCCCATTGAACAATACACTTAAAGTATGTGGTTACATATATATATATACACATATACACTGATCCAATATGTGATTAATATAAATATATATATATAAATTGCATAATCTAGTTACTAAATCATTCCCAAGAAAATATGTAGGTAGTGTAATCCCTTATCATCCACGGTATGACTCATGGATTGGACTCACCTCGGATCGCTCCCCAAGCAAGGCTTGTTGCAAGCGGCGACCGCGCTCGCCATATGCATGGAGCACCTCCCGTGTTTCAACGAGGAAACTTCAGGAAACACCGTGCTCTGCAGGCTTAACCCGTAGTGGCATACTTTTTTCAACATATACATATATATATATATATATGTATATATATATATATTAGTATATATATATTAGTATATATATATTATATATATAGTACATTTAAGTTATTCATGTATACATATAGATAATCAATGACAATCATAATATGTATATATATATATACACACTATATTTCAAGTGTGTGTGTATATATATATATACATATATATACATATGTATACAGTATACACGCAAAAAAAGACCCTGCATTATATGGTTACATGATTTCTGCACACAGTTTCCGTGCCTAGATTCCAACATGTCCGCAGCCTCCGTGCAAAGGCTCCACAGGCCCTTTACATCCAGTGCGATGCGTCCACCTTTTGTGGGTCTCAAGCTGTTGAGGTGTTTCATCGGGATATCTTGAGCTAGATTGGAACAAATCCTATGTATCCCTATGTGACTAAACATATGTGGTAAAATATGTGGTATATATTTGAGGATATGTATATATAATATATGATATGATATGATATATAATATATAATATATGATATATGATATATGATATATGATATATGATATAATATATGATATGATATATGATATAATAGATGATATGATATATGATATGTGATATGTGATATGTGATATGTGATATGTGATATGTGATATGTGATACGTGATATGATATGATATGTGTAAACCTATAGATCATTGACGGATATGGGCTTGTACTTGGAAATGGAAAGCCAAAATACCACCAAAGTGAACAATTTTGGGGGTTCCCATTTTAGAGAAAGACTGTCTTGGGAATTCTGGGATATATCCTATGTCACCCCAAACGGACACGGGAGATGTTTGGGACATACCACAGTCACTCACTTCAAGGATCATCCAGTAGCAGTCCTTTGCCTGCGGACCTCTATCCTTTTTGACTTGAAAAAACATGTGAATGTGGAATTCTAGTGGCTGTTCACAATCTTCAGCAATCAAACAAGCCAAAGTGATGGTAGTCAAAATAGGGTAGATAAATAATGATAGATATCAGATTCCCTATCAAAATATATCAAATTAAAGATCATCAAAGTGGGTATACCATGGATTACCATGGTATATCCCATTCTCAGACCCACCTGAAGGCTGCGGCGGTTGGAAGCCATGGCGACGCAGCAAGCGACTGAACTGGAGGAACTCTTCCGCCATGGAGTCCTGGGAGATCCCCTTGGAATTGGTGGATTTCAGGGGAAAATCCGCCAGAGATGGTCGAAAATCAATGGGAAAATCAAGTTTGGACCTGACCAAGAAACCTGGTGGCGCAGAAATAGGTGCATCTGAGAAAAAAGGTTGCAGGTTTTGAGCATTTGACAAAGAACCGCTGCTTGGAGACTAACAGAGTTAATCTAAACAGATTATGCGTTTCAGAAATTGCAGTTAGGTTTAGGATGGTCAGTTAGGTTTAGGATGGTTTCCTAGTATTTCCATGTATTTCCGAATATGATGATGATTGATGCCAACAGTCCCATAGACAGCCAACTGCAAGAGAAAACGCAGGCTGGTTTCCAACTTTTGAGGAATGGCGAAATGTGACCTGTTCCATGGAGGTTCTCCACCTATTCGTATGATTCACAGCCATTCCTTTAAGAAGATCTATATGATTTCATATCTTAAAAAGAGGCTTGGATCTACCACATCCGACAATGGCCGCACATGGCACAGCCATGAGTGGCGCCTCTAGGTGCAGATCATCCGCCAAGTCTGCAGAAGATGCCTTGGATCTGCGGTGATTTTCCAGCTCCGAACTGTGGAAAACCCTGCTGGGAGGGCACTGCCAGCCGCTTGTTCCAGTATCTTTATCATCATGATGGCTATATATGGCTATGATGTTTGTGTTTGCACGTGCATTTGCGTTGACATGCGCGTTTGTGTTGTTTGCTGATTTTTGTTTTTTGTGCTTTGTTTCTTGTTGTTCTTGTTGTTGCTGTTGTTGTTGTTGTTTCTATTATTGATTCAATAGGCGATCTACGGCGATGTTGACACCACTTCAAGGAGTCTAATCTAAGGCGCTGACCATAATATATCAATATACATATATTACTGTATTACTATACTATCATAATCATCATCATTATTATGATTATTACTAGTAGTATTGTATTGTTGTTATATCTTTATTGGCATTATTCTTGCTCATATAGCCTGTGTATATATGTATAAATGTGTGTATATATATATATATACACATATCTGTCAATGCTGGTTGGAGATGGTTCGGCCCCCACATTTCCGCCAGCTCAGGTCGCAACGAGACCCCCAGCGACATCTGGCGGTAGGTGTCCTTCAAAGATCCACTGATTGTATTTCCAACATGAATATGACACATATATACTCATATATATATATACAGTATATGATATGTGTACATTATATAGTTACTTATTCCTATTTATATGACTGGGATGATATACATGTATTTAAATATATATATATGTATAATTATATATTATATATATAAATAATTATATATATAATTATATAAATATATCGTTAGTATGCGTTTATGTGTGTTTTCATCAATATGTGTGTTTTCGCAATTGTTTACTCGCAAACCAAGAATGGTTGATGATGTGCTTGTAACATATGGGGATATGACCCAAAACACTACAATGATGGGCTGCTTGATATGAACTGATCATGGTGTGATGAACTGATCCACGCTTTTTCCACACAACGCTCGACACCCTGGAATCAATCGCCCTGAAGCATGCAACCTGAAGCTACAAGTTCAATGAATGATGTGCAAAGGGGTACTGGTTTGCAAACAGAAATTGTAGTTGTAACTGATCCAAAATCATGGATTCAATGGATGCCTTGTAAAATGCGTCCACCTTCAGTTTTGAGAGTTTTTCAGCATCCTGGCTTCAGAGGTCATCAATTGAATCCATAGTTCATGAATGTTCATGAGCTAAGTCCAACAAGAATCCCAAATAGCGGTATACCCAATATAAAAATATATTGTCATATACATATATATATATATACATAAAAAACCCAAATGGTAGTACTGGTAGATGGCATTTGATTTACCACACTCTAGATCTGGTCATTGCCACATCGCATGCTCCAAGGCTTGCCAGCGACGGCTCGTGCTGGAAGATCTCACTTCTGGTTTGGTGGCGACCAATCGGATTCCTCGTGCCAGCCTGACCCATCCAGGATGGACCCACAGCATTATGGATCTAAAACATCCAAAATGGCACCTCCAATTTTTCTGCATCCCGAAAAACTGAATGTAGGTCAAAAATCACAAGAATACAACTGTTAGTCTTCGTTGAAGCAACAAAAATGCAATCATGAGTCCTAAATTCATGAAATGCAAACTGCAGTGAAGAGATGTTCAGTTTGCGCAGCCTCCCGACTTGAACTTCACACCGCTTTTGATGAGGCGTTCCAGCAGGTTTGTACCACCTGCAAGCTATGGTTTTTGATGGTGGTAACCCTCCAGCACTGTCAAGCACAAAATGTGGATGCCAACCAAACAACGAAGCAAAACAAACCAAATGCAGCAAATGCCTCAAGAGGAAGTAAGCTCCTCCGATGTTTCCAAAATTGCAGACACCCAAATGATGATATAAATGTCTTCGTCTGAAAACAAAAACATACCCTGAAATTTGATGTTTGGCCATGTGTTGACCACATGTTGTTTCTTTCAAAGTTGCATTTTGGTGTAATGATGTTCCCTCCATTGGAGGCCAAATCCCCCCCTTTCTGACCCATTCCCACATCAACGATGCGAGTGAACAAACGGTACCTGCCACGCTTGGAGTCAGCACACCACCCCGATGTTGCAGCCTGGCCATGTTCGACTACCAGAGGGTAAACCTGATAGTTTTTGTTGATCCTCTGCGGGAAAAAGAAAGAGTAACTGGTTGATACCTTTTGTGTGTTATGTATGGTTATGTGGTAAATCCATATAACCCCAAAACTAGACATCCATAAAATCCGAGTGTCTGGTTCTGATTCAACCAGTTAGGTACGTGCTTCGGTCAAATTTTGCCAGGCTTGTGGTTGCGACCTGTTCGAAACGTGTGGATCAACTGGGATCAGGGATGGAATTTTAAAAAAGAAGCTACTGTGGAGCCGTCTGGGTGAAAGTGCAAGTCATTTCACCCCATACAGACTTGTGGTACATGTCGTTTTGATCCACAAAGATTTCATTGAATGTCAAGATGTCATGTATCACCATTTCCATCTTTTCCAGGATCCTTTTTTTTGAGACTCCTTGACACAGTTTCCATTGCCTCCCGGAGAGGCATCTTTTCGATTCAGGATGATTCAGGTATATGGGTCTGTCTCAAAAGGGGAATACCCCCAAAAAAATTGCAAATTCTACTGGGGAAAATGATAAACACTGGGATTTGAGGCACTGCGGAAACCAGCCTTTCTCGATCAAATCGAAGTGTGAGAGCCATTTCAACCTCAGGTTTTGGATGGTGGAACCATCGGGATTCATGGGATTCTTAGATAATCACATCCCCTCCACAAAAAAAAACACAGAAACCATGGTCTTGTAGAGGAATTACACAATGGGTCCATGGGTCGGTGCTTGGGCTCCTCAGGTAAATCAGCCAAGCCGCTGCCACACGTGCGGATTCGAAATATCCATCGTCCGTGATGAAGCTGCACCTTTCCTGGCGCTTTGGTGACCCATGGGGTACCGACCAAAATTGGAGAATCCCATGGGGCACAGCCATAGGTTCAGGTGATGACAACAAAGTGGCAAGAAAAGAAACACTTGGAGAAATGAAGCACACTGAGGAGATTTCACTTAGATTAACATCCCGATTTTTTCATAACTGACTTCAAAATACTCTCTTGAGTGGGATAGAAAATGATAGAAATGTCTAGTCGTCCATTTATTATGGTTTACAAAAACAGCAATATACGACTCCTGATACACCTCACCTAGGATTCAGCAAGGCTTATGATATTTGTTGATGTTTCTTCTTGCTATATATTCTGATGTTATCTGGGTGTGTCTGAAAATTTGGTATACCCCCAGGTATGGCCACTCTAAATCTGTTTTGATAGGGGAACATAAGGTCTTTAGCCAATGGACAAACAAACCTGTACCACAATCTGACATAGCTATGTCAAGTCAGCGTTTTATTTATAGGTAAATCATCTATACACATGGTCCATGTTCATATTAGTTTCCATAATTAGTTTCCATAACTATGTGAACAAAGTTAATATTACCATAATAGTTTCCATAACTATGTTTCCATGTTTCCATAATAGTTACTTAGTTTCCATAACTATGTTACATTACCAGAGGGTATCTGGCCCGATTTTTTGAACCAAAAAATCCCCTTAAAAGACAGCACCTCGCGGCCGTCCGTCGACTCGGCGTAGAGAAAGTATCCAGCCCAGCCGTCTTCCAGGTCCTCTTTTTTGGCCACGATAATTTATGGGTTTCCCATGAAATATGGTATGTTCGGTCTAACCAGCAAAAATGCATGAAAAATATGTGATGTGTTATAAAAATCTTGGGAAAATGTTGGGAACTAACTGGATTTGATGAGATTTAATATAATGACCATGGTGTTTTTCTTTGGAAATCAATGTTCCCTTGGTTCCCAACTGATCTGGGGATAGCTTCCTAACCCTTCTGGGCACCTCCCGTGGCCACACAGCGATGCTGGGAAGTCAACAGTTTGCTATGGGAAACGTCCCATTTGTAGATGATTTAGCCTCTGGTAAACATTCACAGTTTGCTATTGAAAATGGCCATTGAAATTGAAATAGTGGATTTACCCATAAAAAATGGGGATTTTCCATAGCTATTTTGACATAACCAGAGGGTCCCATGATTTCCCTATGAAAAATATGGTGATTTTCCAGGCGCCAGTCCTCCACAGGTGGACCCTCGCCGGTCCGGTACTCCTGGGGATCCAAAAAGAGTTTCTGTTGGTTCCTCCGTCCGCTTCTGTTGCTAGATCAAGTTGATCTCCATGTCCTATGTTGCTTCAATCACTTGTGTTGGTTGGTAAAAATATACAAAATTTATCCGTGCTTGTGGTTGGCCAAGTCTCCTATCCAATCGCAGGCAGGTTACAACAGATCCCGTACCAACTGTTGTTGGGATGGTTCATAAAACTACACCATGCTAAAACCATCAATACATGGCAAGGTCGGCCAGTGACCCCAATCGCTTGACCGACGCCCAAATCAGTTTCGCATCAACACTCTCAGAAGAAACCCTATGAGTCTGGGAAGTGTATCTGAACTGTATGGGTGAACTGTATGGGAACATATCCGGGAATGGGGATTCCATTATTTGAGGTCACATTGTCACATGCCGTTAATACACCCCGATCCCGTTGTTCGATGAAACGTACCTTCAATCTGAGACCCCGATAGCCAAGTTGATTTATGACTTGGTAAACGTTTGGCTTTATGGAGGATATAGCTATAGCTCATTATATTAATGATGAATATAACATGATATAACTATAGCTACTGATGTTTATGGGTTTATTTTTACCAACATAAAGCAACAAAGATCGCTGTGGGGCCAGGCCTTGTTCTTCAGCTTCATCATCTGCATCTCCTCGTCCAAGGTCATGCCGTGCTGCCCGAAGGGCACCAAGGCCTAGGGAAAGATTGGGATCACTGAGAGAATGGGTATGATATGAGCCAGGAGGATACTTAGATGAGATGTATAAAAATGTAAATATGTAATATATATATATATATTTATTTAATATATTATAATATATAATATGTTATAATATATATAATATTAAAATATATATATTGTTATTATATATATATTGTTATATATATATATTGTTATTATATATATTGTTATAATATATATATATATATTGTTACTCTATATATATTGTTACTATATATATATTGTTACTATATATATATTGATATATATATATATTGATATTGATATCTATGTGTATATATTGATATCTATGTATATTATATATATAAATTAAATCTATAGATAGATAGATAGGTAGATATATAGAATTATATAGAATAGAATAGAATAGACTAGACTAGAATAGAATGGAATAGAATAGAATGGAATAGAATAGAATGGGAATAGAATAGAATAGAATAGAATAGGAATGAGAATGAGAATGAGAATGAGAATGAGAATGAGAATGAGAATAGATTAGCTAGATAGTTTTATAAATAGTTAGATAGCTATATAAATAGTTGATAGACAATATCAAAAACATAAATATAAGATAGTATATGTAAGGACATATGAGATCATTTAATGCAATCATGGACCATGCTGAAGGAAATAATTTTATGAAAAATCAGGGAAAAACATTTTTAGGGACTTGACTTGACCATCATGACTGGAGGGAGACAACTATGTTATGGCCATGTGCGGATGAAACTCAAGTTCTCCAACTGAAAGGTGTTTGTGTGCCTGAAATCTGGCTTGTGATGATATTGAAAGCACCTGAAACTATCAAATTGGGTCACCCAAAACATGGATTCTTGGGACTTGACGAAACATCATGAAACATCTGTGGCCAAGTTGTAATGGACCTGACTGACCTTCCAATCCCCCATCACTGGCATCCATGTCATCTGCGGCAATGCACCTTACCATCTCGTTCGAAGACCTCGAAGAAACTGAGACCCTGGATGATTTTCTCATGAAGAAATGGTGTTTCCCAACAAGGCAGAACATGGACCATGGTGACCATGGCTGGTCGATGTAGTCTTCTCTTAGAATTTCAACTCGATTCATGTACACCAAATTTGAGCCTTGGGAATGGCTCAAGGCAGTCGGGCCCCAGGACTATTTCTCAATTTTTGTCCCGCACGCTCTCCTTCTCAGCTGTGGACCTGCTTTTCTTTCTCTGGAGGCAGCATGGCAAACTCCATGAAGTTCAACGTCAGACCATAGGGTTCGTTCCTCAAATCTCGGAGTGGCTGCACTGCACACGTGGTGCGGTGAAAACAGCGTGGCTGTGCTAGTGTATTGAACTCACCAAAGGAAAAATGGCAAAACGGACATAGCTGCAACTTGATGCTTTTGGGAAATTCAACATCAATGGCATTCAATCAAAACATCGAAGAAACTAGTTCAGGTACACTATCGTATGACCATCCCCCTTGATAGATCTTGATCATATGATGTATGAGCATGGCCGAGCTCAGTCAGCGATCGCCAGATCGCAAATGAAGTGGTTGATTCTAGGCATAGTGCTGTAGGATATCCTCCTGGATAGTTTGGATCATCCATCCCACGGTTTACCACAAGTTTCCTCCCTGAAATGGAGCTCCAAGGGTCACCAGGTCAGCCTGCAGCATGTTGGATCGTCGCACCAAGCGACTGTCAAAGAAGGCGTTCACGTAGGGAGCCCTCCAAACTCCCAGCTTTTCGTCCTCAGGGCTGGATGCTACCCGCTAGTCACTTAGCAATTGAGTTTTCTTAGGTTGTTTCAAGTGAAACTGTGTACTGTATCCGAATCATCCAAATCGGCTTCAAAAACCCAGCCTTCGAGATTTTGGCCATTTGACTGTCCTGGCCATTGGGGGGATGGTTGAAATCCCACCCAATTGAGGGTGATTTTGGGGTATATCGGTATATGGTTCATTCGTGGGTTTACCCCAAAATTACCAAAATGTAATGATTACATTGGCAAGCACTATTATTATTACTATTATTATTACTATTACTATTATTATTATACATTTATACATCTCTATATATATTATTATTATTATTATTATTATTATTACTATTACCATTATTATCATCATTATTATTATAGATTTATACATCTATATAGATCTAAGAATACCTGAGATCTAAACCCAGCCCCCCAGGGCCTGGTCTTCGGCTCGGGGTTTGGGTGTCACCAAACCGGTGCCCATTTGGATGTCCACCTGTTTCACCTCAGGCGATGGCTGCTGAGACTAGGAGCATCATCATCATCATCACAATATAATGCTATTATTGACAATAACAGTAATACATATACATATACATATACATATACATATACATATACATATATATATATACATGGTAATACATGGTAATACATGGTAATGGTGCGAAAAAAAATCATAAAGCATCACCATCACCATCAGCCTGCACTACCCTGAGCCGTCAGACTCCATTGCGGTCCACCTGGGGAATGAAACCTCCCAGCCTGGGCCGGACTTGGCTCGGGCCTTTGTGAAAACCGGTTGGTGGATGAAATGGTTTACCACTACCATCTGGTTATTTAACATAGCCATGGAAAATGGCCCATTTATAGATGATTTACCTATTAAAAATGGTGATTTTCCATGGCTATGTTAAATAACCAGAGGGTATATATAAAAAAGGTAAACCCATATTCTAAAACATTGCCAAAAATGGATGCTGGTGGTTTTTAGCCATTAAAATGTGCTCCAAGACGTCCGCATGTTCCAAGAACGTATTATATACGGTACGGATTTGGAGTTCCTGAAACTTGTTTGATTTCTGAGAAGGCTCTGTGCAACTTCTAACACTTCTCTGGAAGGGTTCCATCCTTACTTGCAGTGGAGCCACGAGAATGGATCCATCATCGCATTGGCAACCTGCATCACAGCTTAGCTTCTGCATCATCTTTTGACTCACTTTCACTAATCATGCAAGCCCCAAACACAGAGATGGCAACAGTGTTCAACAGGTTCATCAGCTCTGCATGGGAGGGACGCTGGCCACGCATCCCCAGAGTTTGTTAGTATCATGCCCAACGACAGGTTAGTTGTAGACCCATCTCATCGTTTATTCATTCCCAACCTGCTAGCTGCTAGCTTTACAAGTGCGGAATCGGAGCCCAAGGTTTGTCGGTTATGCGGTTCACATCAGTTTTTTTTTGCTTGAATCAGCCCCCCCCAAAAATGGACAAAGAAAAACAGTTGTAACCCATCCCCGTTAAAGCCTTGTCCAAAAATGGTGTTCCCCCTGGTGGCAATTTCTCTAGCAAAGCTGATGACGAACCCTTGGATTCTAAGGCTTCGCACCTTCACCTGATTTCAATCCATTTGGGTGTGCCTGAAAATGATGATGAACCAGTGGATGGAATGAGGTGTTCCCCTATATTTCCAGGTGCACAATGCTTAGAAATCCCAAGAATGTCCTTATTGTTCTTCAAAAATCCCAAGTTTTCATGGCTACCCTCCGGAAATCAAACATGGTTTGCTGTAAAATCCCCCATGTATGGAGGATTTTGGAAGCTAGAACCTCCTTCTTGACCGGGGATTTCCCAGCCAGCTATGGTTGATTCCCGGAGGGTATTCTTTTCCAAGAACAGTCCGATCTCAGATCTAATAGCCCACTCCACATTCCATTCATAGCTTATAAAGCCCAGTTGTCAAGGTGTTTTTATATATTATATATGGCTTGCTATATCAGTATATAGCCATATATGTAGAGTGCAATATGTACCCATTTGTGAAATAGTTTATTGCACCCATTAATATACCATATTAGAAACCATTACAAAAGTCTATAATATTATTAAACCCATGAATTAATGATATTATATCATTAAACCATGATATCCCATTAATTATTCATAAACCATTCTGACTAATTCTTAATGCCATTAATTATCCATATACCATATACAATTCATATCTACTATCAAACCATATTTATATATATATATTACTGGTTGGTGGTTTATATTAAACCATATCTATTATCAAACCATAAACCATCTCTATTATTAAACCACCAACCAGATTATTATATGATAGATAAGGTTACCCAATTATATATTATTTGTATACCACCAACCCATATAATGATACCAGTAATAATTGGGTATCCATTAATGTCAACCCCGGATTAATAAATTATGGTTTATTAATTAGGGGGTACTCCTCCAATAGTCATAATCTAATACTTATTTATGGTACCCTCCCAATTAAACAGCCGTTTGGGGTTTATTAATCCAGGGTTGCCATTAATAATCCTAGGGGTTTATTATATGATTCTAGGGCTTTATTAATATTAATCATATAATAATCATTAATATTAATCCTAGGGGTTTGCCATCATAATCATATTGATCCCCAATTCATATCTCCCAAAGCGCCTTCTCTCCAGCCGCTCCGTAGGACGCCGAGCTCAGCGCCGCGCGGGTCTTCAGGGCCCCGCCGGACTCGCCCGGCTGGCCGCCGCCTGGCGGGGTGACCCAAAGTGGCACTTGGAGGATCATCCCACTTATTGGTTAGTTGGCCAGTAACCATACTAATATTTAAATATATCAAGATATAGAGATAGAGATAAATAGATAGGATAGGATAGGATAGGATAGGATAGGATAGAAGTATGTACAATACATATATGACCCATTTATAAATGGGAAAAAAATGGAAAATCCACTGCATGGGAACTTACTAACCAGGGTAACCACTTACGATTCGTAGGATGATCCTCCAAGCATGAGCCATCTCCATACATAAAAGTTCTCACATTACCAGAAACATCTTGATTCTTCCATAAGTATGAGAATCATGGCTGTCAAACCACCTCATAGATAAAATAGATGAAATATGAAATATGATTAATAAAAAAAAAAATACTGAGGCAAGGATGGGTAGGGGTGGAAATTAAAAATGTACTGATAAAACCCCCAATAAACAGCCAATCATTTGAGTGAAATGAACTATTCTGGGTGAGTTTTCGGGACTTGATTGGTGGACGAACCCAGAATGAGATACTAGAGTTACTAAAGTATAACAAAGAATGCTGTCTCATTTCACATCAAACTGTCCAGTTCTTGGAGGTTCCACAAGTTTAGGCCATCCGGCCATCAGAACATGGAGGTGATTTTATGCCCAAAGTGTTCAAATCCAATGGTTTGCGTCTCCAAAAAATCTTACAGTAGCGGGTTAAGAAGCATTACAGTAGGCCATCCACAAAATTCGGGTGATGTTTTTCTAATTCAAGGATATTCAAGGCTATCAGATTTCCTCACAGTTTCTCAGTATTGATCCCTGACTCTCCAAAATGTTTTGGAGCCAAGCTCAGCCCCTCAGCCCTGCCTCTGCAATAGCAAACTGCCGAGCGGGTGGCCTGGAGGTAGGAGTTACCCAGTTTTAGATGTTTTAGTGGAACGTCATCTTCCGACCCCCTAACCCCCTATTTGGCAGGATCTGTGTGAATTTTCGGGAGTGGACTACTAGTCAAGAAATGTCGAAGAGGGCCTCTCTGACTAAAAAGAATGACTCAGGTCGTCATGCGGTTCAAATGATCAGATCATGCGTGCAATCAACGGCACCTGAAATGAAATGAAATCTGGGAACCAAAACAACAGAGCGCTACAAATTTGAGGATCCTGACCGATGTTTCGCAAGCGATTCCAGTTTGATGCCAGATATCAAATGATGTCAACCCTTCAAACAGCTTGAGTCTCAAAGGAAACACCCCGCCGCCAGCACGCCTGCCCCTCATTTTCCTGAGGCTGGGTATCGGGTCGCCACCCAACGGAAAAATCATCTTCAAAACCTTTTGGGGGGAGTGCCATGTCACATTCAAGCCAGTTTGAGAAACCATTTCGGATCCCATGTCGTCATTTCATGATGTCGGCCCCAAAAAAAAAAGAACAATCCCATGTAGCAACCGGCTGCTGCTAGTCAACTTGCCAACCCTAAGGGTCTTTCTTCCTGATGACTTTCCAACTTCAACGGCTCCGCACCTTGATCTTCTTCGCCAGCACATAGACTCCCAAGTCCGGATATGCACTACTGCAGCACGAGGGAACCACCACCACTTGCGCCTGGGATCTGGGGCGAATATACTATGAAGCCACACCCCATCAAGCCGTACTAAGCCATCAATGAGGGGGATCCGTCCCACAACTTTCAAGCTAGCTTGCTTCAAGTGTGTAGTTGCCAAAACCTGTTCCAAATAGAGGCGACTGCCATGTGTTATCAAAATCGCCATGAGACAGATCAGCAAATACATGAGTACATACGATTATATAATATATTATAATATCATATCCCGTATGAGATCATATGATACCCGAAAAAAATAAACCATGGAAAATTTAAAGTATTTTAAAAGATATTTAAACCACATTTCCAGATGGTTTCTACAGCTGTCCATCGTTCCAATCCCCAGAGTTTCCGCCCGCAATTGGCACCTCCATGGCGTATCTGTGCAGTTCCTTCACGCGGAGACTCCAAGGTACCTGGGCTGGCCATGATGGCCATGGACCCAAACCAAGGGATGTCATGGGATATGTAGATGATTGTAGATGTCTCATTTCAAGTTTGGAAGAAGTTGTTCAAAATATGTCCCAACCGAAAAGTTCATGGGAAATTGAAGCTAATCAAAGATACAAGATACTTGCAGTGAGCTGAGAGATACAGTTTTTCTTCCATACAAGGGGAGAACAAGCCACTCACCCATCCATGGTGCCTCCATGCTGACATCCACATAGTGTGCCTTGCACCAAATGCAGGCATCCACCAAGACCTGGCTGTCCCCATGGCACAAAAAAGGATCCAGGCTTGCGATAGTGTGGTTTTGTACCCGGGAGATAGTCGAGATATACTTCAGATATCTTAGATTTACTTGGGATATCTTGGGAAATTCTTGGGATATACTCACCAACATTATGTCATTATGATATCAAAGGTTGTCCCAAAATTCTGCACATCCACCTCGCCCTCTGCGAGCATGTAGGGTCCTGCCACGTTGATGATCACATGGGCACTCCTTGGGGAGCCGGAACTGAGTCTGAGGTGTGGAATCAGTGTGGAATCCATGGTAACATGGACCCTGCCATACCACAAGCTACCTCGGATGACTCTGACTCAAAGCCATCTAAGTTGGCACTTGAGGGGCTAACATGGGCTAACGGATGCCCTCTCGTTTTCTGATAAGGAAATCCTGTAGGCCTTTTTTGGCTGATAGTTTCAACCCGTCATGATCTAAGTGCAAGATAATTCACCAACCTGAAAAGTTCGGGTTCGGCCATTTGGGGATACCCTTACTAACCGTTACTAACCGTTACTAACCATCCCTCAGCCCTGACTTTACGACTCAAGGCTCTTCACCAAATCGATGACCGACACCACATCATCATAGCTCGCAGCAAGCACCGGGACGTCCTGTGTCGGGGCAAGTCGGGGGGGAACAACCCTTTCGCATCACCAGTATATGTTGACTTGACAACATGGCATCAAATATTACTAACAGGTCTGCCAGGTGGACAGTGTACTCTCCTTCACCACTATGTCGGTGATACTCCTTTCAAGGATCCTATTGGCTATATGCATATCCTCATGCCCCTTGTTCTACGCTGTTCTATTTTGCTTTATAGACCAACAATTATAATGATGATAACCCCATCACTTTGGCTGTATATGACCTTTTGACAAGAATAACACAGTTTATAATTATGTGGTTACTCGACGGGGTTCCCCTAATGCGATTCCTTGCAATGATGATTGCAGACCCGGTTCTGCAATGGATGTCAATCCCCAATCCCCCATTCTGTCTGGTCTATGAGTCTATGGGGGCGAGACCAGGCCGTCCTCCCATGGGGTGTTCTTGAACTCGCGATCGCGCATCTCTGCTACCTGCAGGAAGTGAGTAGCTGGATGGCAAATGCAGCCTCCTGCCCATGGAAATCTATGTAAAAATAAAAATACTGCAAAATAGTCAGATCAAATGATCCAAAATGATCTTGCTTCCTTTTTCAACCAGTCTTGGAAACTCTCCAAAGTTTTACATTGTTTGGTATAATTTGATTGTCTCAAAATGATTGACCCTCGGACTTGGATGGCTTAGTGCTAAGAATCCCCACGTTTCTGGGTCTTTTCAGCCCCTCCACAGCACCCTGCGGCCATGGGCCAGACCTTTGTTGCAGAGCGTCCGGCCAGTGCGAACGTGATCTCCGGGTTTGAGGGCAGCACGTTTTTTCTGAGGTACCTGATGTGCCAGCAAAAGACACGGAAAACCATGGAAAGATGCTGAAGAATGATGAGACATGGGTGGTTTCACCCAACGGTAAGCTGCAAAACAAAGAAGTGTGGTTTGTGTGTGTTTTCTGTGCTTCTGAGAAGAAATGAAAACAATGACTTTGCGCCAATCTGGCTACACATATGCAAACTGTTCTGCAACTGTAGCGGCGTCACGACCAAAACCTGGAAGGCCCCAGGTCACAATGAGCCATCCGCTAGGATGGCAGCAAATGCAAAATCATTTGCTTGAACCTCCTGGACACTCTTGAGCTGATCCTGGACTTTAGAGCTATCACCACCAGAATCTAAATCGCCCCATGACAACTTGGACCCATCGATCAGAATTGCAGCAAATGCATGCTGCGTTGCTTGAACGTGGTGGACACCCTTCCCGCACACAATGCTGCAAAAAAATAAAGTTGTCTAGACATGGAGTGACCCAAGAGTTGATGGTTTATCATCATGTTCCCTCTTATAATTGGCTATAAGATGGCGTATATCCCATTTGTGGTGCTCACACATTCCAGGGCACTGCATCAAGAGATAACCTTGGTAGCCAGAGGCTCCATAAATGACGAAGTCGAACTTCTTCCCATCCCACCTCAGCCCCCAGAGGGTCAGAATGAATAGGTCATGTATTACATGAATCCCTCGAGATTCCCTATAGGTTGATGACCATCCCTCCAATATTCAATATTGGCAATGAACCCAAGTTTTGATCATGGCACATGTGCATCCCAGGCGATCATGTGTTTCTCAGTTGTCGTGCTGTGTCATCGTGGGTCATGATGTGTCATGACGTGCGTCATGATGATCATGTTCATCAGACTGCTAATGATGGTTGTCGTCATCATCGTCATTGACATTGGTGTCTCAAAAATTGGAGACGATCCCAAATGATAATCTAAATATATCATTAGCGGGGGACTGAAGAAATTAGCATTTCATCTCAATTCCCAGATGACAGCATCGATGTAGCTGGGATGGTACAGCACTTAATGGATATGGGGAAGTTTTCGCATCTGGCAGCCTTGTCAAACTGTGACTTATTCCTTAATTATCATCCGTTTCTTCTTCTTCATCAGAATCATCATCATCATCCTCGTCGTCATCATCATCATCATCATCATCCTCCTTGTCATCCGCCTCATCATCCTCATCATCATCATCATCATCATCATCATCGTGGAATCCAGTTCCCTACGATGTTTGGAGGATGGGGGGCAAACCTTGACAGTTGCCTCGCTGGACTGGAGCTCATCGATATCAAATATTGCCCAACCAACTTGCGATCACACTTCCCGGCACGGCATGGGTGACGGCAGGTAGGCCGCTCCGCCCCGGCAGTCAAACGATCAAAAAGAAGGATGTTATGGAATGTTACTGTTATAGATGATGTTTGCCCCAACACTTGCCAGGTGTCCAACTGTTCTATCTTTTTGGTGGGGTGCTGTAGTCCAATTCTTGTTGTGCCACAAAATAATCCCTGACCTATCCTGAGTCCTCCCACTGGCTGGCCCAGCTGAAATCCTGGGCCAAAGTTGGTCGATTTCGCAGTTCCTGTGTTTCAAAAGCCTCACATTGATCCCACCACACTACCTGATCTACCTGTGCGTCCGAAAACTAAGACAATTTTTGCGTTCCTGCTGCGACGAATCAGATCAAGCCAACAAAAGTATACGAGCCCCCACAAATAGAATTTATTTGAGCAAGCTATAGGGCTTGATCCAAGAGCATTGAGGTGCATCCTGGGGAGGTTTCCAGAGATGGAAACCCTGAAATCCGCCCATGGGTGGCCTTTGTCAATTAATGGCTTATGGTATTCCGAACCATCCTTTCATCTTTAGTGGTTTTAGCTTCCAGATGCTTCCAGAGTCCCACTGTTGGGAGGCCGCGCGCTAAAGCGTTCCCATTGCTGTTCCAGATCTTTCAGAACATCGGGATCCTCACCCTGGATGCAAAGCTGGCGTGGGAGGCCTTGGAATTGCATGTGGTCCCTGAAAAACCGACTTACAACAACCCGTTTGGTCTTTTGGATTCTGTTGGTGAATACTCAAATCTTAGTCAAAGTCTGTGACCAAAATCCCCAGCCAAAGCCAAAAAAACGGCAAAGGCATGGAAAACATGATTCAAATGACCAAAACATGCTTACAGTATATGTATCTCCTCCATTTCCATGATTTCTTGTGCATCTCAAGAAGGCTGTACTACTGACAGCGCTTTCATGTTTTCGCGAGCAATACACACATGACACTGCAAGAGCAGGGAGCATAGCAGTCCTGTGCTTCAATCTTTGCCATGGACTCTGCCATGGCTTCGTATCTGTCAAGGTGGAGCTGCGAAAACAGCAAATATGGGTAGAGATGAAACATGGCATACCACAAATGAAGCCGCACACGTGGTCATTCCTTAGTACATAACCACAAGTTTGCAGATTAACAATCTTGAGCGATACCCATGTCATCTTTCGAAATCGATATGATGCTTGATTTGGAGGCACCCACTTGATTCAAACTTGTGGATTGAATAAGTCCTAGTATGGCATGTGACATGCTGCCTGCACATCATGTCCGCGGAGAAGTATTTCTTCTGCAACGGAGTCTGCTGGTCGCCATTTTCGGCCTTCCGAGGCCCCAGCAATTGATATCCCCTAGTTCATGTTTGTCGGTTCAAACTCCGCTGTACCCAAGTTCTGTGGAAATACATAAGCATAATATACAGTACTCTATTATCATAGACATATACGGTATACATATTCAATCATGTCCAAATCATTCATGATTATTCCAACCAATAAGATGTACCTAAGGATACCTATTCAAAAACCAGAGAGATAAACCATCCATTTTGAGGGGTGATCATTTGAGGCATACCCAGATTGCTCCAAATGGCTGGCCTCCTGGATCTTCTGTATCCTCTCTGCAGCTGCAGCCACAGCCGCGCGGTTCTCATGGCCAGGCACCTGCACCATGTCACCAAGATGACCTGCCACAGGGGATGGCAGGTGCCGAGGACGTCTCACCATCTGTTGTGTTTGCCCTAACCTTGGAGTTAAAATCATGAACCCCAAGAATTTGATGTTATGTATGTATACATATTTATATATATATATATATATCTGTGTGTGTGTGTGATGCTTACAAAAATGTTTTGTATGCACGGCACAAACCATGATTGCCAATCTGCGGTTCTCATTCGTTCTTATTGGCTCTTTAGGAAATCAATTATAAACATAGGTAACATGAATAGAGTATCATAGATTTAATATGTATATATATATTTATAGAAATATATATATATAATTAATATATATATATACACATATTACGCATTTGCAAACTTGCTAGTTCCTTCCGGAAGACCTTGAGGTGTAGGGCCACATCAGAGCGCGCATCAGCGAGAGTTCCACAAGTGTAAATCCAATGTGTGGTCTGTGTGTGTGTGCAAATGTTTGACTAATCTGGACATGTTCTTTCCCTATTACATGACCATTTCCTATTACATGGTCATTGACAATTAGGCCCAAACACATCTGAGTAACATGACATTTTCCTATTGCGGATATGTTGGGTTCGTGAGAGTTTGGAGTGGAAGTGTTGAATCCTGCTACTGGTGCATCAATTTCATCTGCAAAAAAAAACGTTGGCATTGATGCTTCCGTGATCTCCATCAACTTGAGCCAAAGACCTCTCTTTCACATCTCGGGACTCACTTGCACATCTACGTCATTTCCTAGTGAAACTAGGAAATACTAGGAATGCATAACCATTGCGTTCCGAAGTTCCCCCTGTTTGCTATAACTCCTTCCTCCTTCAGGTTTGTTTGTGCTCAGGCTCAGCCATGTTTGACACCGAGGGTGCCACCCCTCCCAGACTTCGCTCTCCGCAGCTCCTTCCACGAACAACTGTCTCCTGCATGGCTCTTCATGGATTTTGACTGTGCCAAATAGATCAAGTGGCCTGTGAAACGTGGCTCTAATCAGCCATATTTACATGTATTATATATGATATATGGATAAATTGTAAATTCCACCTGGCATATCTCAAAGTCCTTCAAATTCTCCATTAAAAATTCTGGACATCTGGGAATGATCCAATCAGCTCGCCTGGTGGACGGTGGCTCGGGAGGTCCTGGTGAAGGTCTTCACAAATTCCAGGGGGAACACTTGACATTCTGGTTAAAAAGATACCCAAGTATCCAACTAGGAATTGGCAAGTTCTTAACACGTGACATTGATCCTAGTCTGGGTGACTTAAGAACTTGCCAACTAGGAAATCTAGGAAGTACATCCACTCTGGAACATACTGAGATAAGAGATGCCAATATGACCTTCCGCTGCCCGGAAAGTGGTCCTGCACTTTGTGTCGACAGGGCCGCTGCGCCTACCGGGCCTACTGCCTGCCAAGGGCTACAGCTTCATCTGGAGGTTTCAACCAGAGGCAGATCCGATTTTTCATGGTTTTCATGTGGTGAACCCAATGCCATCAAGTACTGTGGAAATCCCACCCATTTCATTCCGGTAAAATTGGGCATGGTTGATGGTGGTTTGCCATACTACGAAGTCCCCGGCCACACTTCACCCTTGAACCAACAAGAGCCAGGTTGAGCCTGTTGACTATCGATATCGTTCTCCTGATCCAATGACAGCCATCTCAACAGGGTATTTCAATGCGGTACTGCAGATATTCCACATAAAACCTGGTAGGACAACACCCAATACTTGGATTATGCTGGATGTGAATCTGTGGATAGTAAAGTAAAGTAGAGTTCAGGCAGTCACTGGTGCAAACAAGGGATTCAAGTTCCCTGACCTAACACAAAAGGCAAAAATGATATAAATTGACTGCCAACTCCAAGCCGGAAATCTGACACAGACCCCCGAAAGACTGGTTTTGGAACGGGAAGGTTGGTTCTTCTTTGGCTATTGACATTGATTCGGTGTGGTAAGCAACATGGCAAAATGGGTTGGAAACCAGCCGAGCAGGAACACCAAAAAAAAAAAAAATCAGATACAACATGCTATAACTATACAACCGGTTAACCATAGCCATAACCAACCAAAACGTATTGGACCTTCAATCGAGCCCTATTTTCATAGCCACAGGACCTGCATCCTCAGCACCTTGGAGGACGGCTGTCCATCGCGTTCGCGGAAGAAACTCATGGTGTGTCCACAAGAGTCACCAAGGTCCTGTGGCCCAGACAGGTTGATGTGGCTCCAACTTAGCAGCAAAAATTGGGAAACTTCTTCAGGTGGTTGGCAAGTTTGGGACCCAGTTTAAAATATACTTATGATGATGGAATCATATGCATTGAATCAAAGTGATAGGTACATCCAGATGTTTAATTATCGGTTCACTCCCCCCAACTTTTAGGTTTCCCTTCAACTCACGTCCCTGTCCTGCGAGATAGGGCTCGGGGATGCAGAGGCATCATCTGTCAAGGGATCGATTGCTGCAAAAGAGTGCTGCAACGGTCACTGAATGTCCCCCAAACAAAAGGTTGAAACTGGGTTCATAGCTATTCAATCGGGATGGACTCCCGAGAAAGCACCAAGATCACTGTGACTACAGAATTCAGAACTGAAATGAAGATAAACACCCTTGAACCATGCCCTTGATATGTTGAAACATGTTGAAACCACCACTGAGCACAACACCAACGATTGAGCAAGGCGGGTCCGCTGGGATGCGATCGACCAACCTGTCGACACTCCAAGGCTGCTCCACGTGTTGGAGTCAAAACCTCTTCTAAAGTTCTAAACGAAATATGTTGTTTTTTTTTGGTCTGGGCAATCTACTGAATAACAATGGAATTACTCAAAAACATTGAAAACAAAGTGTATTGCATATATATATATACTATGGCCCATAGTATATATATATATGCAATGCATGAATATATGTATTGTATTGACTTCTATTGGCATCTGTTCATTTCGACGTTCAATTTGTCTTTTGGCCATGGCCCTCTTCCGGCCCGACCTTTTCCAAAGGTCTTCGGCAAAGTCGTGATGGGCCGCGGCCTCAGAATTCACCACTCTCGTGATTTGGGCGCAGACCCAATCCCTATATGTTCCCTATCAACATTTATTTGAATAATATGTGAATTGCATTTGAATGGCTACAACATGCTACAACTGGGAGGTATACCCCATTTTCACATCCATTCAAAACAACCAAAAGATTAATTGGGTCGCCGCACTGCGGCCGCTCCAGCTGCCGCAGCCCCTGCTGCAGCCTCGGCCCACCGCCATTTGATTTCGCCGATGGTCAATCTAAGGGGAAAACACACCTGGATTGGATGACGACCCAGTTGATCCGATTTGGGTATCGAAATTGGGCAACGGTTTATCCCCACGCATACTCCAAATTACACCGGCAAGAGACCCCAAACACTGTGGGGAGTAAATGTACCAGAGACAAGCAACAGTAGCAACAGCAGGACGTTCCATATAGATCTATCAGGAGGACCTCACAAAATTTTCATACAAGAACTTCCTATGAGCATCCCCAGAGGAACTTTGATACGAGCACCAATGCAAAGCATCTGCAAGATCTTTATGCTTATGCAAGGACCTCTTGAAAATGACTTCAAAACGAAAAACAAGATCTTCACACAAAGACCTGTACGAGATCACGCAGGGACACTTGGGGATTTCACCAGGAGCTCTTCAAGAGCAGCCAAGCACTTTGTGCGAGACTGAGCAATCGAAAATGCACATGGACATGTCACAAGGGCAATTTTATGCAAGAATTTACTAGGACAAAAACCACACCCCAGAAGTTAGCCGCACGTTTTGTGCGAGCCTGCGCAATCGAAATGCACATGGATATGTCACAAGAACCATTTTATTTCAGAATTTGCAGGAAAAATGCCGGGGAGCAAATGGCGTATCCTGATCTAACCCAGGCCTTGTGGACACACTGTTTGGGGAATGACCGAAAACAGCGGCTGCATGGGTCCGACAAATTGACCCGTAACCAAACACGTGGATACAGCTGTGATGTTTAAATCAACCACCTCGTCCCCAATCTCAAGCCCTAAACCCAAGTGCGTTTGTTTGAAAATGAAACGGATTATCGCTGCCCCAGTGAAAAATGGTCACCCATACGCCCAAAACAAATGATACGTAAACGAGCACAAAATAATTAGACTATTTTTTGATCTGTTGGTATTTGTTTCGCTCTGAGCGCCAAACAGAGCTCCAAGGAGCTACCTGCCATCACCCGGGGCCATGTATATTATATATTGTATATTAAATACTAAATATTAAATACTATATACTATATACATTATATTATATATATGTTATATACATATATATATATATATGTGTGTGTGTGTTAAATAAATATATATATATATATGTTTAATAAATATATGTTATATATATATAATATGTTAAATATATATATATATATGTCTGTGTGCTAAATACATAATCTATATATATATATGTGTTATATGTTATATGTTATATGTTATATGTTATATGTTATATGTTATATGTTATATATATAAATATATATATGTGTGTGTTTTATACATATATATATATATATATGTGTAATGTGCTTGTGTGGCTATACACCAATCTTTAGATAGATAGATAGATAGATAGGTAGATAGATAGATTAGATTAGATTAGATTAGATTAGATTAGATTAGAGTAGAGTAGAGTAGATTAGATTAGATTAGACTAGACTAGACTAGATTAGATTAGATTAGATAGATAGATAGACAGATAGACAGATAGATAGGTAGATAGATAGGTAGATAGATAGATAGATAGGTAGATAGATAGATAGACAGATGGATGGATGGATAGATAGATAGATAGGCAGACAAGTAGGCTTGTGCACATGCATGATTTAAACAAATAAAAGCATAGGTATACATATTTTTCAAAACCTACATTTATATAATTTACAGTTATATTTGTATCTATATTTATGTGTATATCTATATTTACATTTATTTTTATATCTTTAAACACATATACATATGTTATGTACGTTCGGGGGTTGTTCTAAAACTAATGGCTGACGTATAGTTCCCCTTGCGCTCGCCCTTCGCTCACCCTTGCGCTCGCCCTTGCGCGCGGGCTTGCGCTCGCCCTTGCGCTTGGCGTTGCGCTCGCCCTCAAGCGCCCTTGCGCGGCCTACGTTTGACAGCTGTATTGCATTTATTATTATCATTATTGGGTTCTTTTCTTTTCCACGGGTAACCAAGTCGATGTTTCTTTCAAAATCTTTTCATAAAGTATGATGTGTAAGGACTTGGGCAATGGGTCTGATGGTCGTGATGTGTCTCTCTTAAGCCGGAGTCATGAAAGGTCGGCACATCGCTTGTGCCTCGGGTTTTTCGTCGCTTGTGCCTGGAGTTTTCTGTCGCCTGTGCCGGACGTGTGTTCAGGACGCTGCCTACCTTTGTCCATGGGGCTTCTATGTTTGGTCTCTCCGTGGTTTTTATCTTTGGCGTTTCTTTCTAAGTGGCTTCTATCTCTGGCTTCTACATGGCTTTTGGGTTTGCGGGCACATTGGCTTCTATGTCTGGCGTCAATATAGCTTCTTTGTTTGATTTCTAAGTGACTTCTATCCTTGGCTTCTATATGGCAATATCTTTAATGTGCGTCATGAATTCGGCTTCTATGTTTGCCTGCTCAGTGGCTTCCATGTCTGGCGTCCATGTGGCTTCTAAGTTTGGCTTCTAAGTGTGTGGCTTCCATGTGGCCTTTATGCCCGCGTGCTACGTGACGTCTATGTTGGGTGCCAATATGGCTTCTATGTTTGGCTTCTAGGTGGCTTCTATTTCTGGCGTTTATGTGGCTTTTATGTCTGCCGGCTGAAAGACTTCCATGTCTGGGGTCAAAAGTATGGCTTCCATGTTTGGCTTCTAGGCGGCTTCTATGTCTGCTGTCCATGTGGCTTTTATATCTAAATGGCTTCTCTATAAGCAGCGTCTATGTCTGGCGTCTAAGTGGCTTCCATGCCTGGCGTCTAAGTGGCTTCCATGTTGCGTTTGTCAGCGTCTGCTATGTGTGGCTTTTGAATGCATCTCAGTGTTTGTGTAGTTTGCCTTCTACGTGGTCTCTTCAGCGGGCATTTAATTGTGTAATTGCGGACGCATCGCGGCCACGCAGCGGCTTAGTGGTTTCAACGTGTGGTTTCCGATGGCTCTTATGTCTGCTTTTGTTGATTTGATGTGGATTCTGATTCTTATGTCGGAGGATCCATCTCTTAACCCCGCGAAGAGCTCGCGGGCACCGCCAGCGCCTGCGACCGAAGCAGCGCTCAAGATCTTGGCGCTGCCTGGGGTGCCAGTGTCTTGGACAACTTGGTACCCATTGCCCAAGTCCTACCAGGGAGGAAGGCGGGCGGACCATGGGATACAAAGCCAAAAACAAGAACCCCACACACACTAAAGTCCTGCGCCTGCCCAGCACGCAACACCAACTCACCCTTACAACCTTCCACCTCAAACCCTGCCACGCCTCCCACCCTAAACCCTCAACCCCTAACCCACCCTCCACACCTAAACCCCTAACCCACTCCCCACACCTAAACCCCTAAACCCCCCCGACCCCCTCCACCCCAAACCCTAAAGGTCGCAGCGCGCGCGCGTATCTTCCATCTCTAGATTGTAATGCAAGTAATTATTTTTGTTGTTGTTGCTGTTGCTGTTGGTGTTGCTCTTGCTGTTGCTGTTGCTGTTGGTGGTGGTGTTGTTGCTGTTTAAGATGCGAGATGTAGCCAGGGCTCGGGCTTATAAAAGCAACATTTCCGTGCCCGGGAAAAAATCCAAGGAAACTGTTCTGTACAACTTATGTTGGACGTGTGGCAAGATAATCGAAATCACTGTCTGTGGCATGCCCTGGGCGTGCACTACCCCGATTGTTTGGCTAGCGGCCTTCTCTTCACAAAGACCCCCCCGGTCATCGGCGGTCCTCCGCACAGGCACTTGGTCTTGCCATACATACAAAGATCTTCTGCAGGCAATGTATGTCTCCTCCCCGGCCGGAACAGAGCGCCGGCATCGGCAAATCACAACAATTATATAACACTTTGCCTCTTCCAATGCTCTCTCGATGATATCAGTGGTAAAGGGGGTTGGCATTTGAAAACTCTTGAGACACATCGTTTCTGCACCATGGCCCCGCAACATGCAGACACCAAAAGAAAACAGGACTCCATGACGGTGAACACAACTGAGCGCAACAGAAATCTGACAACTCATACTGGCCGCCGGCCTGCAATGTCACAAATGCGCCAGACTCCAAAAATTCTTTCACTGATGTCCGGCCTATAGCCGACAGTTGTGGCCCTGGCCAGACATCTTCACACAAAAGGTTCTGAAAGTCGGGCAAAGCTTAAGGCGCTTTCCGACCGCATCTAATTACAAAGTAAAAACCCAAGCCTGTCACCAGCTGTGACAGCAAAAGCAAAACACAGATGTCAGGACCGATGTCAGGGAGTGCGAAGAAATAATTTGCGACCGACGGCTGCAACCCTCATGGCAGCATGCTGTCCAAGTACAAGGGACTATTTGTCACCAGCTGTGAGAGCCATAAGAACAAAAAAATCGTCAGATTGTACCAGGCCACACTACATGACCGCCTGCCGCACTCCCTCATAGCAGCATGCTTTCACATTACATCGGGAAAGGCCTGAAAGAGTCTCAGTAATGTCGGAGATACAAGGCGCTAGCCTAGACATTACCGGAACTGCAGCAGGACGTCAGACCACAGAATGTCTCACAAAACTGCGCCAAAAAAACAGTGACAGAAAGACTTTCTGCATTCTGGGACGAAATTTTGTGACATGCAAACAAGTCTATCGTCTGCTTCACGGAACCCACAAAGAACAGTGCAACCTGCAGAAATTCGAAGAACAAGCAATTGTGTCACCTTGGCGTCTGGTCACTATTGTGCATAGGGACCAAAAGAATCTTGCTGGGATGGGACAGATATGTTCTAATCAACATGCAAGGAACCATCAGCAACCATCACTCCTGAGATGAGCGTTCGATCCCACTGCTTCGCAGGTACCACTTGAAACACTGGTGACCCTCGTTCAATCTGCAATGCTCTGGTCCCCAAGAACTGCTTCAATTTCTTCAGGAACGAATCAAGAGACTGCTGTCTTTCACCCTGTCCAGGACGTAAACGATGGTAATGCCAAGCTTCCTGAGCTTGCGATGCTGTGGCAGTGGCAAAAATCATCCTGTCCACCCCGCAGCGCCAAACAGCGACAATAGCATCATTCTCGTCCTTTTCCAAAAAGGTTTTGAACAACACATTGACGCACCGCTCTTCTTGCTGCAATTGGAGGTAATCTAGCAAGCATTTCCACAAGCAACTAAAAATGGTTCCTGGGAGAAGACGCGTCGTATAGATGTAATGCTCCATGAGTTCTGCCAACTCAGCATCATATAGATTTGATTGCGTAGCGTGCATGATGCCCTTGCGCCACGACTTCGTGCAGTCTGACACATCAGCCACATCATTAGCTTTCGGTGGAGGCGCAAGTGATGGTCATGAAACATCAATGGTCAAGCATCGTCAAGCAGCACAAGCTCTGTGCAAAAAAAACAGCCTGGCAAATTGTCATGTGGCACCGCGCCGCAGACATAGTAATGACGCACAAAGTGCCACCGAACGATGACGTCCTCCATTAGAAGACAATGGGTACAAGCCCTCGGTTGCTCTAACCGCGTGTGGTTCATCAACAGCCGCAGTGCCTTCGGTCAAACACTAGCATCCACGTGTGGGAAAACCCATTGCTTCTTTCCTTATTTTGTGTCACCTTGAGCAACTTCAGTTGGACTAAGCTGCGGAAGCGGCACTCTTGAATCCAGAATCGTTTGACCAGTCTGAACAGGGATCTCCACCTGAAGACATGTAACTCTGCAAAGACAATGGCCCAAAGACCGCGAAGAATCAAACTGGAAAAGGTGCGGGGAAACAGTTTCGCGACTGGTTTTGTGGACAGCTCCAAGGACAGCAGTGCAAGCACAAAACACAATTTCATTGGTTCACTCGCTCATTCATCCTGTGCTGGCAAGCGACTCTTCAGGGGTACCCTCGTAGTGGACATCCATCTGCAGATCGGAAGCTTCAAGGATTGCAGCTTCAGCCCTACTTAGTTCCAGGGCAACCACACGTTGGCGGAAATATTTCTGGATCGTCCGTGGCGGAGTTTGGTCCAGTAGCTTGTTTCACTGGTGATGTTTGACACAAAAAATGAGTAACGTGAAAAGTGAACACTTTCATGGACAGAACGGTTTTTCACCTAAAACATATGACGTCAGAAGTTGGGTGATAACCGCTGTCACTAAACAATCGGAACTTCATCCCCTGCCAAGATGCACCTTGATTGAAGCTTACTTCATTTTCGGTCAAGTGATGTAGTCAACGTAATCAATCATCAAGTCAGCCCCATCCAAGGGGCACCTGCCCAGGCGGTGGCATGCTGCAGCAGCACACAAGCAGCCACTGCTATGGCTGGCATGAAGATGAAAATGAACATGCTCCAGGAAGATCACTGCCTGTGCCGCAACCACAATCAATCACCACCACCACCAGCACCACCACCAACAACAACAACAACAACGACAACGACAACAACAACAACAACAACCACGACAATGACAACGACAACGGCAACGGCAACGACAACCACAACAACGACAACGACAACGACAACGACAACAGCAACACCAACACCAACACCAACACCAACACCAACAACAACAACAACAACAACAACAACAACAACAACAACAACAACAACAACAACAACAACAACAACAACGACAACGACAACGACAACAACAACAACAACGACAACGACAACAACAACCACAACCACAACCACAACAACCACAACAACAACAACAACAACAACCACAACAACCACAACAACCACAACAACCACAACAACAACAACAACAGCAGCAGCAGCAGCAACAGCAACAAAAACAACAAAAACAACAAGCATAGGGTACCACAGGGTTCCCCCAATAGGGGTTACTGCCAGATTTGAGATAGACATAAAGATGCTAAAATAGACTTAAATAGACTGAAATAGATATAAATAAACATTAACATAATGATGATGAAAATTCCTTTGATGGGAAATCAATTGCATCCAATCATGCGTCAACTGCTGATGCCAATGTATGCCAGCATTTGGCAGCACTTGAGAACAATCTGAGCTGCAATCAACCCAAAAAACATCGACCCCAAAAAAACGGTTTTTGGTAAACTCCGTCATCTACGTTTTAGACTTAGCTGTGTCTTTAAATGCCTTAGTAGACACAAATAGACACAAATAGATATAAATAGACATATTTAGACTTATTTAGGTCTAATTGGAATGCAGTAACCCCCCCCTCCAAAACACTGCGAATAGCGGCCAATATGAATTTTTAAGGTCAGCCAAAATGGTAACCATGAGAATTAAAGCTGAGATGGGCCCCCAGCAAGACTGAATCTCTGACATGTGACCATTTTCATTCTTGCAGTAGCTGCCCTTGCCCCCCACTCTGTGGCAATCTGTGAACAAAAGACCGACAACAAAGTAACCACAGGAAGGCAGCAACAACAACAACAACAACAATTAGCAACGACAAGCCAAGCAAAACAAAAAAAGCAAGCAAAGCCAGGCCGCGAAGAACGGGAGGTGGAGGGCGGGGGCTGCGAAATGCCACGTCCCAATAAGGCCGCTTCTTGATGCTTCTTAACCAGGAAGTTCTCGGGTTTGATGTCTGGGTGGAGCCACCCCAAACGGTGGAAATCAACCACCTCCACCATCAAATCCGAGAACTTCGGGTCACCTTTTTGGAGCGGCCGAGCGAGTGCCGCTGAAGGATGTGTGATTAACCCATCATTGACCATTGGCTCAAAGCAAGCAGTATTTTTTCATCATCACCTTATCAACTTTCTTATATAGGACTAGGTTTATTCACATCTAGGTTACTTTTGCTAGGCTATGTTTAACCTAAATAAAAGGACGCGGTTTTAGAACAACCCCCATATACACTATGTGATAGGTACACATACTTCACAGATTACACATGTGCTCTACAATATCACATATATATATATATATACATACATACATATATATATATACACATATATATATATACATATATATATATACATATATATATATATATGTGATCATATATACACATGCACATAGCTTGCAACCCAGTGGGAACAAGTTGGAACCAGTGGAATGATCTATTCATGATCTTTCCTCTGTGTGCAACGCACCTTTTCACCTCGTGAGGTCTCCACATCGGTTGGGATGCTCAGAAAGGATGAGTTGTCCTGGGACCACCAGGGTGAACGAAATGATGGGAGGGAAATCACCCTGAATGAAGACATACCCAAATTGACCAACGTTGGTACACAACGTTGGTACACATTGAAATCATTGAACATCAACTGATCTTGACTTCAAAAACTGGATCGTGGAGCAAATCAGAGAGTTCTTTGCCGTGGCTGGACATTGACCATGCCAAATTGCTTTGGAAGATCGCCCATGTTCAGTCTCATGTGAGATTCATGGAAACCAACGGTCACTCCAAGAATTCGATTTTTTAGATCCCTTGGTGACCCTTCCCAAAGAGTCGAATACTGGGTTTTCAAAACATCTATAACCTCCTAAAACATCTACTGGCCAGCAAATCAGTGTTCCGTTTCAAAACCTCACTGGCCAATTACATTTTCAATTCCCTCCATCTCCCGTGATGAGCGGCCACGTCTTTCATGGACCACTGCTGTGAGCTTTTCCGTGCCACCTGAGATCATGAAACCAGGAAATTGTAAGGACCCTCCCAAGCCATGAAGCCGGTTGGGACTGAGATGATTCCAAAAATATAGGAAAGGATAGGAATGTGTATATATACATCTATACATATATATATATATATACATACATATGTATACATAATTATATATATACACAGAGATTTATGTGTATTAATATATAAATGTGTATATATATATACACGCATATACATGCATATATATATTATACATATATCCATAAATATGTATATATATATAAGTGTATATATAGTGTATATATATAAGTGTATATAATATATATATATACACACATTATTTTTAAATATATATATATAGATAGATATTATCGACAATTCACGGAGATACACATATTATATATATATACATACTACTTCGTAAATTCCCATGGACCACAAAGTGGAACTACCTTGCTTGGGAAATCCAGCATGTTCTGCAACTTCCACCGGCATCACGCGACTTTACCAAGGCACCTCGACTCTGCCATGGCACTTCCACTGCAACTAAAGGAACTACTTCTGCTGACCGATTCTAACCGTTCACACTCGCTTTGTTGCGATCGCTTCTCTCTTCGGATCTTGAGAACACCAATCAGCTGGAGAGTGAGTCAGTGAGAGGGTAACTAGTCATGAGCAACTATTTGATCTATTTGAGCATCATCCTCTTCACAACTAAATATCCAACACTTGATGTGCGCAGCGTGGCAGCTATCGACCATGAAAATCCATGAAACATTGTAATTCATGTAGATCGAGGTCTCCTGCTATTCATGGTTGAGCCAGCCCATATTCTTGGCCTTCGCCCATATATGGCGCGTATCAAGTTGAGCCAGCAAATGGCTGTGCAAGCAAACGGGCCAGGCTTTTCAAGCAATTGTAGTTGCAGCCATAACATGCCATGTTTCGCATCGTTAGGGGAGCTACCCAATTCTCAGCAATTCCCGGATTCATCCTTGGTATTTCTTGGACACATTCCCATTCTAATTCGAAAGAAACCGCTCAATCCTCCGACATTCAGACTTCTCTGAAATGAATTGGAGCTGCTTTTTCGAACTTGAGCAAACCTGGATCTTCGATTCTTCTTGGTTGCAATTGACAAACCAGACTCCAGCCCAAATGTTTTTTGTATTTCTTTATCATAGTGTTTATCATAGTGTTTTCCTTATACATCAAGTAAAAGATCCAACTTCCAGCTTCGCCCATCCTTGTTGATTCCCATGAAATTCCCATCACCAAAACCCCGAGGGGGGCAGCCGCGCCCTTGGGCGATCGAAGTTGGGCACGTTGCGAAAGATGGGCACTGAAGCCATACGCTTCGACTGCGACGTGTGATGAGGGGATCCTAACCAGACTTTTTTAGTCAAGAAAGCAGAGTTAAGTGGCTATGAACTATGATTAACTTCGATATTTAGCTATAATTAACTCTGAGCTAATAGCCTGCGATACATTATGATTATCTCAAATACTATAGAATAGTCAGAACTTTGGTACAGTATCCAACACAGCAAAAATGGAGGGAGTTGTTGCCAACCGAAAAAAAATGGATTTACCTCCGATCTATGGCCATTTAAGATATTTAAGCTGGGAAGAATGAGATCAACCATCAAATTTGGGCGGCGTTTAACCAACGAGAAATGGGCAACAGCAAATCCAGCCAAAATTGTGGGATTTTTAGCAACAAAAAAATTGGGTTGTTGAACCATCCATTGTGGTGGTCTTTTCAAACAAACCCATCTCAATAGGGTGGTTTGTTGGTGAAAATTAAAGAAAACCATGTGTTTTCTCGTTTGTGTAGATTCTGAGAACTGTAGACTTCGCCTTCAATTGTGTGAGGACATATATAGAATTAGAATTATATAGATACCTATCCAACAATGACACAACCAACAATGATGAAACATGAAAGGTATTCATATTTCACTGAAAACTATAATATAGCCAGTTGATAATGGTCATGGCTCCAACTGGGGTGCCGCAAAAACACATGTGGAAATAAAGGAGGTTTGTATGCATGTTTCATCATGTTTCTATGCCTTCAATTTCTACGGTCTGAGCTTATCAAAAACCAGCTGAGGTCACACCACAGCAACTGCACCTCTTTCTCTCCCTGAGGTGAAACCTTGGCGACGAGGCCCATTTTGGACAAGCTCAACTGGACCTTTTTCAGCGGTTTGCTCCCTTGGTTCATTGGTGAAAATCCCCGATCTTTTTGAGGCTGCATAGATGTTTCTAACTTTCTGTGAACAGCAACCTTTAGCATTTCATAGTCTCATAGTATATTTGTATTTTCTGTATGTATATATTATATATATATATGTATGCGTATATAATTACATACACCTTTTTCAAGGTAGATGGCTCCGCCCTCTTCCAAAGTGCGCGTATAGATGGCGCCGACTTTTTGAATTTTGACACCCGAAAAGGCATCTATGCAAGGATTCTTAAGTCCAAAGTTTCCAAGCCTCCATTTCCCTTCTCCTCTCCCTTTGCCCTTAACTTCCCCTTTCTCCTTCCTCCGTTCCCTTTCTCATTCCCTTCCCTCTTTCACCTTCAGCTTTCCTTTTCCCCCTTCCTTTTCTCAATTCCCTTTCCCTTTCTCCTTTCTCCTTTCCCTTTCCCTTTCTCCTTTCTCCTTCATTGTTCTCCTTTCTTCCTTTCTCCTTGCCCTTTCTTTTTCTCCTGTTTCCTTTCTCCTTTTCCTCCTCCTTTTCCTTTCCCTTTACACATGGAACGCAGTGGTAACCTATAGATGGCGCAATCCACAGTTATGGTTTCCCCCGAAAAAAAAAATCATGTTGCCTGTCCCTTTCCCTTTCTCCTTTCTCCTTTCCCTCCTCCTTTCAATGTCCCTTTCCCTTTTTCCTTTTCCCTTCTCATTTCCCTGTCCCCTTTCCCTTTCTCCTTTCCCCATTTCTCCTTTCCCCGTTCCCTTTCTCATTCCCTTCCCCCTTTTCCTTTCTCCTTTCCCTTTCACTTTCTTTTTCTCCTCCTTTCCCTTTCCCTTTACAAATGGAACGCACTGGTAACCTATAGATGGCTCAACCCACAGCTATTTATGGTTTCCCAAAGAAAAATCCTGTTGCCTCCCTTTCGTTTTCTCCTTTCTCTCCTCCTTTCAATGTCCCTGTCCCTTTTTCCTTTTCCCTTGTCCTTTCCCTTTCCCCTTTCTCCTTTCCCTTTCTCATTCCCTTCCCCCTTTTCCTTTCTCCTGTCCCTTTGTCCTTTTCCCTTTCTTTTTCTCCTTTTTCCTTTCTCTTTTCCCTCCTCCTTTCCCTTTACCTTTACAAATGGAACGGTTCGGTAACCTATAGATGGCGCAACCGACAGTCATGATTTCCCGAGCTATCTCTCCATGACACAAGCGGATGGCACTGTCCCAGGGGGTTGCGCCATCTATTTAGTAGTGAAAAAAAAACGAGAAAAACTATTGTTGAACACACATCCCCGTTATTTTTTCAACGCTTTGATGACCGAAATGTCCGGTCCCGGAAGAAAGGATTTAAATTAAAAATGGGGTAGATGGCGCAATTTGGCCCATTTTGCACATGTAGGGTTGCGCCATCTTCTGGGCACTTTTGCTGTTTCGGGTACATATCCTAAAAAAAACAAAATCACTGTTAAATAGATGGCGCAACCACCTCTGAAAAAGTAGGTCTGAGCCATGTACTTTGAACCTGGAGTAGATAAAATCACGAAAACTCTATCGTTTGGATTGGAGCCCTCCCTCCTTGGGGATTCTGAGCGCCCCCACCGGCGCGGGCAAGGGTCGTGGTCCCAGGCGCAGCTGTGGACGGAGAGACCGCTCATCCAAGTCTGTGGCGGTTCAAGGGAACTCTTACAGTTGAAACCCCTAATTGACGGTTAAAAAAATATGTTTTAAAAATAACACCATGGTGTATTCCCGATGTTTTCCTCTAAAATCCATTGATTCGAAAACTGAAGTGGATCATGCACGGATAAAAGGGATGCTTGATGTACTCAACCAGAGTGATAGCTGGAAATGAAATGAAATGGGAGGCTTTAATCCAGAAGCAAATGTTTAGATTTAATCAGCAGGTCTAGGTATGGGTCATGCGTCATTTTTACTAGGCAAAGGGTACCACAAAGCACCTGGTCACTTCAAACCCATAGATTGCTTGATCATTGAAAAATGTTCAGCCTTTGGCACTGGTGGATCAAAGGGCACAGGAAGCTTAGCAGCTTGCGTTTTACAATTGGCACTACCAGCTACCCTCTGGTAATTTAACATAACTATGGAAAATCACCATTTTTCATGGGAAAATCATGGAAAATCCACTATAAATGGCCATTTTCAATAGCTATGTTAGTCATAACCAGAGGCTACCCATGTTGGACCATGGCCTAAGCCCGGTGGAGGTCTCCATTGCCGCGGCGGCGGTTCCACCAACTCGACATGTGGCGCTGCTGGCGGGCACAACTGGACCTCAGACCTGGCGGTTCCGGCGAAAAAACGTGGCAATGTGGGGCAAAATGTATATGGTTAATAATGGCTAATAATGGGATAATCTATATTAATAGTGGTTAATAGTGGTTAATCATGATAATCAATAATGAACTAACATGGGTAGCCTCTGGTAATGACTAACATAGCTATTGAAAATGACCATAGAAATAGTGGATTTTCCCATGAAAAATGGGTGGATCTTTCCATAGCTATGTTAGTTTACCAGAGGGTATCTACCTATCTATCTGGGTCTTCCTAGCTATAAATAAAACTAAGTACATCCATACATTACATTGCATTATATTGCATTACATTACAGTAGATTACATTCCAATCATTGCAGTACAGTATGGCACGTTACAATACAGTACATTACAGTATATTACATTGGATTAGTACATTAGACAATTAGACTACAGCAAATTATATTACATTACATTACAGTACATTACATTATGGTAAATTACATTCTATTACATTACAGCACATGTCATTACATTCCAGATCATTCCAGCACAGTACTTTACATTGCAGTACAGTACATTACAGTACATTACAGTACAGTATATTGCATGTCATTACATTACAACTTGAAACTAGGTCACAAGCACATATGCAGCTTCAGGCTTTAGATGTGGTGCCAGGACAAGAACAATCGCACACGCATGCACACGCAACAACTCGAAGAGCCAAGCCAGCTGCTCAGCAGGCCCCAACTCAAAAACATTCAAACATATCCAAAAATCCGGTACCTTAAAAGAGAGCCAAGAAAACACCTTGTTTTCTTCCGCTCCTTCGGAATTAAAGTATGTTATATCCCAAAAGCCAGCGAGGCCTCCCAGGGCGACCCGGAAATGGAGGTGGTTCTGGGCCTGGAATGAAGCCAAGTCGTTGCTAAAAGCATGGGGTCTGTTTGGGGTTATTTGAAGTAATTCTACTGGAAGCAACATGAAGCAACTTCCATGAAACAAGTTGATGAAAATCAAGTGCACACTTCTGGCAAATCAAGTGATAGTCATGAATGTTGGTCTTGTTTGAAAAGCCTTTTCACGATTTTTCACGCATGATAGCAATACAATTCTTCCCTGCGTTTACTCTCAGAAGCACCTGGTTTCCGTTCGACTGCTACTACACATATAGTATTGGAAAGTTCTGCTGTGGAATCTCGAAGCTTTAGTCGATGTCAATTGGATGATTTCACCCTATAGTTTGAGCAGCGAGAACTTGAAATCCTCACTAAAAATGACCTCTACGGATGGAACATGATGGAACCACAAGGCAAAAGAACCACACCACTGGGGTTTGTCCAAAAATGTGATTTTACCCACCCGGTGATGTGTCAAGAATTCCATTTTGAAAAATGGCTGATTTTGGGGTCAAGGTATCCCCCCCCACCTCGTCTTGCCATCAAGGGGGCAGCGTAAAACACGCCGGGGCTTTGTCTGATGGCTTTGAGATTCAAGTTATTCCAAGCTAACCAAGAACCATTTTTCAGGATCCGCAAAGACAAAAAAATGAATGCGTGTCTTTCAATCATCGGCATCTACTTTTTTTCATGGCATTGGACCTTCTTTGGATTGCTGTAGTCATACTTCATGTCAGTCGATGCCACTCCAAGGATGGGACGTGTTGAAGAAACGCGCCCAAACGCGCGGGCTCCGAATTCAGTGAAACGGGGAAGGGCTGAGAAACGGTGGCGCAAGATGAAGGAACCTGATGATCCAGCCATGATTATCCATGATTCATGCAATGAATAGATCCAAGATGTTCAAGCACCAAAGAATCTGCTAAACGAATCTAAACGACTATATTTGGATGGTATTCAACGATCAACTTCACTCAGAGTTCCATCTTCCAGCATAGGGACCCTTTGACATGGATCCCACTCTCCACTTCAGACTGCGTTTGCAAAAATGGCATGATGGTCCCAAGATAGATGGAAAATGATGGAAATGGTTCTCCCAATTTAAAAGGTTTCCGTATGTAAAAGGGGACCACTGCAACTGTTTCAACTGCCAAGACAAGAAGCTTCCAGGGCACACCCCATGCCCTTTTCCTGGTCACGCGCAGGGTCAGTACAATCACATTGTGTCGCGCGTCTCGTGAAACGGAAATGACCTGCGGGGATGCAATTCCGCCAGTAACTGACAGTGGTCAAATGGTACAAGGACGATTACAGCTGGTCCGTGCTGGTCCGGCTGACATTCTGCGGCGCTACGGCTGTCCCGTGGGTTTTTGGTCACGTGTCCGTATTGGAAGGTCTTCTTTCGGTTCTTTGTAGGTTCACAAGGTTCAAACGGCGGTCAAATCTAGTGTCCCGGACACACTGAGATTACTGACCCTAATGGGTGTCATGTTTGGCAGTTTGGCATTCTAAAAATGTCGGTTTTGTGGGTACCCAACGGGTTGACCCACGGGCCAAGTCTACGGATGAAACGGGACGCCGAGCGATCCATTTTGCGTTCAACTGAAACAGAAGGTGGTGACGCTTGGCGCATTGCACCACTTGGTACAGCAGGGCTGGGCATCTAATGGTTTCACCTTTGTACGAGTACTATGGTTACTTCCACTCTCATGAAATTGAACTTCAGCTCTCACTATCTTGGCTCAGCTTTGTTGCAACAAGAAGCTTCCCAGCCCTGTTGAACAGTTCGCAAATACAACAACTTGCTCACCCTTTGAGTGCGAAGTTGCTTCCAATGCAATTCCCAATCCAGATCACCAGTTGGTGAAGGGATCCTGCGACCTGATACCCAGGTCGAATGGATGCGATGAAGCGACACCATGGAGTTTGTCCAAAAATTGGGCACACCAAAATGTCATCATTGGTCATCATGTTCCCATCAAAAATCTTCAAAAATAGTCAACACTTGCCCTTTTTATTGGGGAATCACCGCCTTTCTCTGCACCCAAACTGGTCTCCTTTTTTGCCGAAACGGCTCCAGGCGCCCCAACGCATTGACAGCAGGAGGCTCTTGGTCTGAATCTGGATAGTCATCAAAGTTGCTAGTGTCCGTAGCACCCTTCACCGCGGGCCTCGTGAAGGGACGGGTCAAGTCTTAGATTTTCGGGATTTTGTCATGGTTAGAGGGGTGACATGGTGAATCTTAAAGAAAGGGAAATTGCATCAGCTTCAAACTCTCCGCTGGAAATGTTTTGGTCTTGGCATCCCGACTTGAAAGGCGCTTCGATTTTCTTTGCCAGCAAATCCTCCCAGCTCAGGTCCTGAAGATCGTTGTGCCAACAGTGCAACCTTTTTCTGGCACAGATACAGTAGGAGTTGTTGCAACCCTTTATCATGAATGGGGATGTGTCAAAATATTAGTACTCTGGTTAAAATACAGCAGCTGGTTCACATGATTTCATATGGATGTGCATTCCCACAAATGTTCATATGCCTATATATTCAAACTAACCCATCTCTTTGAGATAGGAAAGACATGAATGCAAGGGGTGAACCGAATCCCTGAGATAATTAGTACAGGAAAATGGGCCTGGGGTGTCCAATGTGTCAGTCCTTGAACCATTTGTGCTCCTTGATGTCTGCTGCGCCATTCTTCAGGTTACCGAACCGCTTGCCTGGTGGAGACTCATCAGTACTCATCTAGCTAAGCAGCTGAGGTTGAGACCTGCTGGCTGACAAGGAATCTTATTCCATCTGGGTTTGTCTGAAAATATGGTATACCATGTGATGCACCATGCTATACCTCAAATTGTGATGCTATAGGGAAAATGATGATAACTTACCCTCTGGTAATTTAACATAGCTATTGAAAATGGTGATTTATAGTGGATTTTCCCATTGAAAATGGTGATTTTCCATAGCTACGTTAAATTACCAGAGGGTATGATAACCTATTGGCCTATTGAAATTGTACCTCAGCCGATTTCCAGATCTGCCAGTGATACCTGGAGTGACCATCGCCCCCTTGAGTTCCAGGCCCAAATCCGGGGTAAGCAGCTTCTTCACCAAGCTCTTAGCCTCAGGAAGTCAAACTGTTTGTGAAGCAATCAATAGATATGCAGGTTTTAGTGGGAAAAACATCAATTTTCATGGATGATTTTCCTTTGCCGTGTTTAAATTACCAGAGGGTATGGGAATTCGATCTTCATCTGCCATGTTGGATGTTCCACTCCCAGCTAGTGGATTATCGCAGGGTAATGATTTCTACCAGACTTTTGATTGTTGGTGAGTTATATCCCAAAAAAATAATCCCATCAACCCCACTATCCAATAATTATATTATCATATCCCCACTATATCCCCATGCCAAAGCACGATTTAGAGACGGGTTCCCTATCTGCCGGTCAGATGGCCTCCTTGTGAAAGATCTTCGGGAAGGTTATCTTGCCGGCCTCAAAAAGCGGACAGGTTCCCGTTCGCCCAGCGCTCGCGCTTGGTTGGGATCATCCAGTGTCAAATTAGCATAGAACAAACAGCAAGAAACAAGCAAAACAAAAGTATGCTTAAAAGTCATTGAAGTCCCCAAAGAACAGCAAATTGATGTGCTTGAAACCCTACAGCATCATTCGGCACACATTCTGGGGGCCGCATCTCTCTCCCCTAGAAGAACAATGTCATAGTCCCAAGTAAGACATCTTCCCATGTTGAGCGCAGGACCAAGATCTTCTGATAGATTCCCATCCTTAGACCATCAAGGAGGGTGACGTCTGCAACCCGCGATGGTGGCAACACCAAGTGCTTGCATCATGCAATAGATGGAAGATATCCTGTGAGGAGCCGGGGCCACACAAACCTTTCCGGCGGGAAAAATAGCAGACATGTAGCAGTTGCATCCTCCCTGGTATTTTCCAGTGCCATCTGTTTAGCTGATGGTAATTCAAAAGAAGAAAACATTGAATTTCGGCATGTGTGCCATGGTCAACACATGCCAAAAATGATTTATCTTCATCCCACCATTCGGCTATTTCTGGACCCCACATGGCCATCCTATCGGAATGATGGCCATCTTCCACATGGCCATCGCCGAGGTGCGGATCCTCATCGACAAAGGGCGGATAACCAACAATCATCTCGTAGATCAGAATGCCTGGCTGGTGCTGGTCTATGGAGAAAAACATGGAAAAACCCATGGGCCAGGCCGCCATTCCCATCGGTCTACGGTATGTCAGAATCATCTCTGATAAAAATTGGTCTTGTGATGCCAGATTGTGTAGCAATAGTATTTCCCTCCAATAACCAACCCATGGGGGGTCAACTCACCCGGCCTAGCGTCCACCAGTCTACCGGCTTGCCATGCCTTGAAGCTGTTGCACATCCCCATTTTCCGCTGCACAAATGCATCAAAAATCAGCCAAAATCATCAATGGATTGCTGGAGGTTCCCCAAATTTCAGCTCAGAATCAGGGGCTCAGACCCCTTGTTGAGCAGGACTTCAGGTGCGATGTACTCAGGAGTCCCACACAAGGTGTACGTTCGATGCCTCGGCCCAGGTCGGGATCCCAAGGCGGAAGATTTCTGAGGTTGGACCTTCGAGTATCTTCATTCAAACATATTCACATGTCACATATTCCAACACATATTATATTATAATGATATATATATATATAATATATATATATATATTATACGTATATATACATACAGTAATTAATAATCATACATAATTATATATATATTATATACACAATTATACACACATGAATATGGATTGTCCATAATATGTTCCATTCGTTGCCTGACTTTCTACCATCAGTCACGGTTGAGTGTCCCAAAATTCTTGTTCCTTGTTTCCCCTCACTGTCCTCTTCAAAAGGCGAAAACATAACCTGGTTTACCCTGAGCCCCAAAGATGACTTATCATTCTTAGTTTTGGTCCCAAAAACCATTGAGGTTGTTTGTTGTTCATTACGCTCTTACTGAACATCAGGGTTTGTCTGAAAAAATCGGGTAACAAAGAAAACACTGGTTGATCAACATTTTCCCCATCAAAATTGCCATGCCATCTCCAACCCCCACAGCATGACTCGATCCCCAAAAGGTCCAAGGAGCTCTATGACTTTGGCAAAGCCGAAGTCCGTGAGCTTCACATAGCCTGAGAGATGCTGCTGAAAGCTGCAGGAAAAAAACAGAATGTGACGCCTTTGGCAATATTTGGCAATGGGAAATCTATCTCCAAATGGATGTTTAGAGCAGGAAAATATGGTGAAAAATCCATGACGTGGTGGTTTAACAATGCCGAAAATCAAAGTCTGATGTCTTTCAGATGTGTCTTCTCTTCAGTCTTTCTTGAGTTAATGCTATCAAACTCCATACACCTATTTTGCCGTCCCTTCTGGGACTTCTGGGCTGTTGAGTCACACCTCCCAAACCAACAAATCATCTTCCCGTCGTTTTGGGTTTCCCAGCCGTCCGCATTGATCAAGATGTTCTCTGGCTTGAGGTCACGGTACACAATGTTCAACTCATGACAGTACCTGTGGAAATTGGCTGATCAGAGGCAGCCCCGGCTCCAGCTCCAAGCATGTGCAGCTGCGCAAGTTTCAGTGGAAAACTTGTCACAAAAATCATCGAAAATCTCGCAAAAAATAGTCCCAACTTGAGTCAAATCTCAGTCTGTATGAAAATTCATAGGTTTGAGGCGATTGGGTTCCCATCAAGACCGGACAGCTGGGCACTCGAAAATGCAAGTGATCTGTGCTGCGTAGAAGAGGGACTGCTCATTTTCAAAGCGGCCGGCCTGCCAGAGTCACTGTTGCGGGTGGCCGGTGTCCAAGTTCTACGTCAAACATGGTAAAAAGATGTAAAAACCTTCACCATATTTTACGCATCATTCACACGTGTGAAAAGCAAGTATGCACAGAACCAATGGGTGGTTTTCTTTTCTTCACACGTCCCAGCTGTTGCAAGGTTGCCACCCCATTGAGCAGGAGTCAAACCTTCCGCAAATGTGTGAAGAATTCACCGCCAACGATGTACCTGAAGCAACTCAACATTCGTGATAACACCACATTGACTAGGCAATGGCTTTCAGATCATAAATGTGATTTAGTGCTTTTAAATGTGATGTTTGGTGTTTTTCATGTGTTGTCAACCGACAAAAAAATATGAGTCATGTGCGATAATCCACCAACTTTTTCATATTGAAACTTGAAACAATCACTTGCCACCTACCAGTGACGTTTTATCACCAAGCTTTGGATTTGGTTTCACCATGGTGAAGCCACGACCCTAGACCCTCAGCCAGGGAACTCCAAGACCATGTAGATGTAGCGAGGATCATGGAAGGAGCCAAACCTGTACGACTGGGGCAGCTTGACGGCATCATCTATGAATATCAGTTAGATCTGGTTATATAGATCCATTGAGCAAGTAAAGTAAATAGAAGCAGAGTTGACTATAAACAATCATCATCTTCAGCACATATCTTCACTCTTTTTGAACTATACCAAGCATCGAGTGTTTCCACCATGCCACGTGCAGAGCGTCACCGAGTGTCTGTCAATGGGTCCCCGGACATGTTGACGATGAAGGGATGCTGCAGCTTGGCCAAGATCTGCTTTTCGCTCATGATATGATCCACCTAGTGATGCAGCTTGGGCTGTTACTGGGCCTATGGGGGACGACCCTTCTGGGCATCTTTTTGGGGGGGACCATGTGGTCCCCAACTGGAATGACCAACTTGTTGGGGTTCAGCATTTTAAGCCCGGTTTTCCGTTCCCATGTTGCCACCAAGTACAATGGATACCCTGATATGAGGACACACCAGAGGTTAAGAATGTAGATTTTACCACCTGCCCTGCTTGTAGGGATTCTGACCCACAGTTGTTCCTATGGGATGGCACCAATCGTGCAAAGTCGCAATGATCACTTGCCACAGTAGCTGTGGTTTGTCTGAAAATGGGGGACCCCAATTATATGGCCATTTGCATAGGGAATATGAGGTTCTTAATCAGAAGATTTGGGGGGTCCCCTAAAATGTTCAGGTCCAAAATGTCCAAACCCAAACGACATCGCCATTGCACCTGCTTCATCTTGATGATTGCGGCCTTTTTAAGTGTCTTCAAGGCATAGTGTCTGCCATTGCCTTTGTGCGTCACGAACCTGCGGAGATGGTCAAAAATGGTCACAGAATTGGTTTAAGGGAAAGTTTACAGGGAACAAAACACCCTTCTTTATGGTAAGCATGATATCGTCATGATATCCTGTGACCCTTCAAGCACAGGGAAACATCCCGAGAGGCACCCCTTCTTGGTTGGTTCATAGGGGGTTCCCTTATTGGATTCGTCCCATGGTCCGTATTGAGCCACTTGGTATAACGCAACAGCCAACCATCAACCATCATTTCTGGGTTGTATTTCCATGGTTCGCATTGTTTTTGTTTTATCTACTCATTATATATATAGCCATTGTCAACCAACAACAAATCATCCCTTCTGAAGTATAGTCCCTTTTTGTCTTTAACTAGCTATTGACTGTAGCTTCATTACAACATCAACCACCAACGATGAAACTGGGCTGCCAATGCACCCACAAAACAACATCAAAATGTGTCATTTAATGTAATTGAGTATTTACGAGTACTCGTCCATGTTTTCGTGGTATATCATTTGGTTAGATACTTAAGTGGACGATTAACCCACACTTTGAAATGATTTGGAGTTGTTATTATATATATATAGTATCATCATTGTATATCATCATCATCATCATCATCATAATCATCATCATCACGATTGTTAGTGTTATTCTTAATCAGTATATAGTAACATTGTTTAACAATGTTTAACATAATCTCATGCAATATATTATATACCCTCTGGTATCTCTGGTTATTTAACATAGCCATGGAAAATCACCATTTTTAATGGGTAAACCTCTATAAATGGGCCATTTCCCATGGCTATGTTAAATAACCAGAGGGTATATGGAGATGTTCCCCCACTGCCCCCGCCTGACGCGGCCGAAGGCTCCAGTACCAAGCGTCTTGCCGAGACTGAAGTCGCCGACGGACTCGGTGGCGTTTGGAGCCATCGAAAATATCGAAAGGTACTGTGGTGAACCCCAGGAAAACACTCATAATATATACTACTGGAATCATGGTTAGTAAGGGAAATCATCCCCAAATGGCCTTATTTCAGGTTAGTGAATTATTATAATTTATCCGGATAATATATACTCATAAACCTACCATGTTCATTTCAAATGGATGGTTTACACTGGTTTACACCATCCATTTTTTGGTCATATGTGTGGATGGTTTATAATTTGCTTACCACATTAGATGATTTAAAGAAACCATAAGGAACTGACATGATATAGATATAGATTTAAATAGGTTACTTTGACTGGTAGGTCATCTTATGCGATGGATATTTTGGGACCAAAAATGGTCAGTCAACTGATGTCCGATAAATGAACCGTGCAGTTAAAAACTTTTTCGAACCACCCAAACCTTGAGTCAATACACACTGAAATTACACAAGGAATTGGTTACCGGTATATACAAATTGGCAATTCAAGTTGGGCTACACACAGCGATACAATAGATACAATAGATCGATGAAAGTAACGGAAGGAAAGCGCTGGTTGGGGGTGTCTCCAAAACTGGAGGGGATGCCTCTCAAAATATTAATAAAATGGTAGCTCCTTGGACACACCAAGTTTGGAGGATGCAAAACGGCCAACTGCCAGAATCGCGCTGAGCTTTCGGCAAGCTTTTCCCCTGACAGATCCATTTCCTGCAAACGTTGGGCGGGTGGCACCTGAGTTATCAATCATTGATGGTCCACTTTTGGGGTTAACAGCCGCAGGTCCACTGAAACGCTGTGAGTTGGGTGTCTCTGCGTCCTGGTTGAAGCCCACTGGGCATGTTTTTGTCAATACCTACAGTGCCCTGTTTTGATGATGTTTTTTCTCACCAGTCAGCGGATCATAGTGGATCACTCAAGGCACCCTAGACCAATATATCCATATCCTGTTTTTCCCAGGCCCAAGATTCGAACTCTAACACTGGCACAGCAAGTTAGAGAGATTTGAAATATTTGGAAATCAATCTGTTGCAATGTACCGGACCAAAATGGATCTTTCATTGCCAGCCTTTACCCAGGGAAATCCTGCACAACCTCCTCCCGCGTCGCACCCTTCGCGCTGGCGGGTCAACTGTGCACTGAGTTTGGTGAAGTCTGTCGTCATCACACAGCTTTCAAAGTTGCGGGCGATTTCACATCTGCTTCCATACGCATCCGCAAGTCCATAGCCACATCCACCGTGACATCCGGGGCTCCATCACCGGAAGCACCCCATTATACCCCATTTCAATGTCTTTTCCACGTTGTAGCTGCCCTTAATTGAAAACTTCACCAAACAACTTCAAGGCATCACTGAAGGGGCCGGTGGCAGCTGCTCAATCCTCATGTTGAACAGAGGGGCGTCTTGAAATACCCGAGCCAAACAATACGGGAACCGAAGTAGGAGTACGCTGTTTTGATGACCTGACAACAAGAGCTGGTTGAGGAATCATCCCTCAGAGAATCCCCTACCAATCTAGGTTGTCCTATGTACAACTTCCTGGTTGCCAACGGCATTTTTTTTATGAAACATGGAGAAACATGGTCAAACATAGTGAACCCCCTATGTTTGTCTTGCGTGTTGCTTCACCACAGCTGCAGAAACCAGTGAAAACCAATGCATGGTTTACTTGGTTTACTAATCCCATTCCCCGGATATTGAATACCCCATCTCAAAACCCTGGTTAGTCTAAGTATTCGCGGATATTAGCGGGAAGGAACTATAAAATGACCAGCCAGTTTAGTGGCTTTAGTGGCCTCCTAGAGCTCAGACCCTGACCATACCCTGATCAACTGCCGCGCCCTGTAGCTCCTTCTCTGTCATGGTGAATGTCTGCCCCGAGAACCACCCCCAGTATTCGCGCCAATCGGGGCCTCAGGACCGACACAATCAGGTTGGAAGAGCCAGAAAAAGGTCATCTTCCCTGGAACATGTATCTTTTTGAGTCTCCCTTCCTGTTGCTTGTCTGAAGTCAGATACCCTCTGGTAAACTAACATAACTCTGGGAACATGTCATTTTTTAAATAGCTAAACCAACTATAAGTTGATAGGTTACCAGGGAATACCCTGTCTCAGCAGCATTTGACAGGTCAAGCTGGATCACTGGGAAGCCCAGACAATCTGGACCAGTTAGGGCCAGGGCTTTTGGACCAGAAATGCCGCACAGTTAAGGCAATTGATGGGAGGAATCCCCGACTGTCAAAGTTTCTCCCAGGCCAGTTTGAGATGAGATCTACTCCAAAGATGGTAATTTTGATCTCCAAAATGTATTTGGGGTTGGTTCGAAGTTTGGAACCCCGAAGTGTAATCATTTCCACAATTAAAACAACATGTTTGCTGTGTCCCCCCCAATTTTAAGACAAAGCCACAGCTGAATTGGTGGGATCGTTGGCCCAAAAACATGTTTGCTGTTGGTGGCTGTTCCACGACCTGGTGGTTAACGTAAACATCCCCTGGTGAGTGGCCAAAACCCTCTGTCATGCATGAACAACTCGTTGGGTGAGAACACGAATTCTGGAATTGTTTATTTATCTACAATTATGTGTATGTATATATATATATGTGTATGTATAGTTATAAATATATATAATTAAATATGTATACGTATATACGTATATATAAGTATTTGATTCCGGAAGAAACCAGGTAGCAGAATTACCAGTTCATCAACCAGGGCTGGGTCACTGCTCATCTTTTTTCCTTGCATCCTGGCGCATCAATCCAGCGTAATGCTGGACTTCGCCAGCTCCTTCTGCGCCTGCGCGCCGTATGGCAGCCATATCCACATGATGGTGAAGTGATTCCCGGTTTTGGTAAGACCTACAGCGACAACTTATCCACGATGCTTCCGGTGTGTATCCATTTTGGAAAACCTTGCTGGATGTATGGATGTGTGTGGAATTTGCAATACCCATTATTGCCCATGTATGTATGAGTCTCGATTTTGTCTCGATATCCATCTGGAAAATATCCATGGCTGGAAATATGAAGCTCCATAGATGGAAGTATCATATAATTTGGTAAACGCATAACCGTCAGGCATCCTCAATTCTTCCATAAACGTATGATGTAAAACATCCGCACTTGGAGGTGTATGCTTCTGGGTTCAGCACAGTACTACTCTCATTTGGTACCCTCCAAACAAAACCCTGGCGGAGTGTATTGGATCTAATTCATGAATTAGAGTCCCTCATTGGGGCTAATTTATATTAGGAAATGGGACACAATGGGACTATATCCATCTATGCCTATATGAGATATTACATGGCATCACATGGTTTACATCAATGTTTTCCCAGCTCAAAATACCCGTTTGGCTTCAGGTGAAGGACCCATTTCTGCCGGATGTCATCTATCCACAGCTATCCTCCAGAGGAGTGTCGCGCAGGACGCACTTCTGGTAGGTCGACCTGGGGAATGCAGCAACCAAAATGACGAGTGAACCACAAGGGAATGGGGTATTCAACCCGCAAAAATCAGCCAGAAAATAGCTCCCTACCCGAACCCACCAGGGAAATGCGGAATCAAACATGAATCAATCAAACCTGACCTCTTGAAAAAAATGCTTTGCCGATGGGATAATGCCCAGGGGGGAATTCCAACTTGATGCCAGCCCAACAACTGATCATCAACACTTGATCCCTTTGAAAAGAAACAAAAAAAACAAACAGCTTTGAACCGTTCTAAACCCCCGAAATCCCCGTTATACCCCATCTAAAAACACATCTCTTTGAAGGAAACAAACAATAAGACCAGTCGACCAGTATACCAATCATCATACACAATGGTTTACTTATGAATTATTTGGAATGAACCCTCTTTTAACATCTTAAAATTACCCATAACCAACTGGAAAACCTGGATCCATAGAACCAGGGCGCTTGAAGGTTTCCAGTGTCGCCTCCGAGGTGAGGTTCTCCAACTTCTCCATGTCCTACCGGAGAGCGAAGCATTTTTTGTAGGATTAGCATGGTGAATATAGCTCGGATATGATGAAATACAGGTCATTGAGTCATAATACAGGTCATAATTTGAGTCATAATGCAGTTATAAGATGTTATAAGTGTGTATGGTCAACATTGGTAAGGCTGTTTTCCAGATTATCACCAAAAGTTGAGCATTTTTTCAGATCGTTTGCAAACAAGTTTCAAACCGCAGGTTTGGTATAACAAAATTCAGGCCACAAGAAAATCCAATTTGGAATCTTTGGAATATCCAGGTTTTTTGCTGGTTAACATCCAAATGGTTAATGTATAAACAGCTACTTGGAATGGTTCTTTGCCCAACAATTCCAGCAAAAGTCCTCCTTATCCAGCGCGAAGTCAAAGACCTGCGCGTTTTCTTGCATCCTGTCAGGTTCGCCAAAAAAATGTCATTTTTCAGTAGCAAAATATGTTTGTCTCAAAATTGGGGCGAAAATTTGATGGTTGATTTGTGATCGTTGATCGTCATGTTCAAAGTAAATATAAGTAAATGCATGTTTGGATAATTTTGGTGTATACACCTACACCATTTTTGGACGAAGCCAAATCATCTTTACATGCAAGTGCCAAAAACCGGCTTCCTTGACAAACAGCCTACTTCCTGGACTCTTTGGCTCATCCAAATTCTTCCAAGACACGAAGATCATCGAAGATCTGGATCTTCACCAACAAAAAACACCATCGAGTTTCAATAAAGATTCACCAAATCCAGCCAGCGCATGTTCACCCTAAACTTTGGAAACATCACTAAACAAAGTTTTCGCCCGAAAACTTGGTGAAAACGTTGGGATCAGAAACTGCCCAAGATATCCAAGATGTTGCCTGGAGAACTTTTCGCTCTTGGGGATGTGCTGGAAGCCTTTCTGCACACACCTGCGGACATGATGCGACCTAGAGCACAAGATGTACCCAAAAAATGTTTCTAGATGTTTCTAGTATATCTGTTCAATCATAAAGCATCATAAAGCCATATTAAGACATAATTCAATAGTATAATTACTTTATATCTTTATATATATATAATTTTATAATATATATAAATCACATTCATCCATCTGATGTCACTGTTTTTTCTTGGCTTCTGGGGTGCCCACCATCTTCCGAGGATCTGCGAAGCACTGCGGCCATGCTTGGCCGCTAGCGCCGCTACCACCTCTGCAACAGGGCAACCGGGAAAGGACAAGTTGAAGGGTTGTTTTTGGGAGTTGAAGCTATAAATCTGATGATTACATATGATTACGACATATTCTTGCATGATATAGTTGACATAGTTCTACTATGTTCTACTTGTTTTACAGTTTCTTTTCTGAGCAAGAAATCTCCCACAACAAATGCTACTTCCAGCGAAGCCTCGCATCCCATCCGTCCCCATGGAACCTCGCTCTCCAGCGATGCAGATTTGCCAAAGTTGCTCAATGCGCGATAGGCCTGACGTGCTCTGGACCAAAACTATGGCTTTCAAGACCAAAATCATCCAAATCCCGCTAAAAATGGGATTGTAATTCACTGGTATTGTCGGGGAAACAATCCTGAACCACAAAACTCGCAACAAGACTTGGTACTCAATCTTGAGCTCTTGAGCCCGGTATCCAACAGGTGCCTGAAATTTGATTCCCAGGCTCGCAAAATGCGCAATGGTCCTTGGCCGGATCAACATGTTTCCAATAGAGATGGGCAGGAGGAAAACACTTCAAGGCCCCAAAATTGGAAAGATGAACCCATTCTGCTCATTTTGGAACTGCCCGAAAGCAGTCACAGCTGACTTCTAAAAACTGAGTTGCCCACTTTTTTCTGTACAGAAATGGATTGATCCTGGGCTGCCAATGCCAAAATGTTCAGCTTCCCAGGTTTCCACGGTTCCGTTTGCACTGGGTTCCAGACTCGATCTGGTTCACCGTGGGCAAAGGAAGCTTCGCAGCTTCCAGCTCTGCCAAGTCCTCGAAAACTGAAGATTATCATGGTGGGTTTGGGATTCAAAATCTATGATGCTACCCAGATGAACAGCCAAATGTCAAACTGCATACTATGATTATGTCATGCTACAAGCCTACAGTTCCATTTTCAAGCTATCCAAATGGATCGGGCGGATTGTTTGCTGAAAATGGCAATCTACGAAAGGTCTTCATAATGAAAATGGAATGACTCCAAGCATGTTGGATCTTCAATGGAACAGAATGACTCGCCATCCAAGGTCCTCTACGGTGTAGTTGGAAACGCCGATGGACTTGACTTTGCCCTGCAACCCACAAGAAATGCTCAGGCTCCATTCTGATGAGGTCACATTGCAACGGAAATGATCACTAAATTATCAACCAGTCGTATGGTGCATGCCCTGCAGGCCTTTGCATCCAGATTATTTTCAAAAAAAAGTAGCAATACTGATGATTGAACAGCTGCAAAGAAGCAGACCGAGGATGAAACAAGACTTGCTGTCCTATTAGTTGAATTTTGTTATTCCCCAATAGCAAAACTTTGCTATGGGGTCTTTAGCCCAGATTAGCTCCGGTGCGCTCCGGTGCAGCTTCAACACCAGGTTCTGGACAAGGTTCCGGAGGGTTCTGGTGCAGATGCCTCGTGAGGTTCTGGAGGGGGGTTCGGTGCAGGTACGAGGTTCCGGAAGTTTCCGGTGCAGCTACCTGATGAGGTTCCGGAGGGTCTAGGTGAAGTGGTGAGGTTCCGGAAGGTTCCGGGGCAGATACCTTGTGAGGTTCCTGAAGGTTCCGCAGCAAAGACCTTGTGAGGGGTGAGAGACCTTGTGAGGTTCCGGAGGGTTTTGGCGGAGAAGATGCTTGGTGAAGTTCCGGAGGGTTCCGGTGCAGATACCTTGTGAGGTTCCGGAGGGTTCTGGTGCAGATGCTCTGTGAAATTCCAAATGGTTCCGAAGTTTTTAAGCACTTATTTTTTATGGCATAAGTTAAAGCGCTTAATTTCTATAGCATAAGCACTTTTTATGGCAAAAACGCAGAAGCTTTCAAGCTGTTGGGGATAGCACCTGAGTTTATTTCAGAAATAGGATCTTAGGATGTCCCCTTCATGGCTCTCAGCGTGATCCAACTCCCCAACTTTTACTTTTGGAAGTGCAGTGCACAAAAGAAGGGACCCCAGATCTCAAGTCGCCAAGGCCCCGATGGGCCTCTTCTTTCAATTTCATCAGCTCCTCTCCAGAAATGCTCCACTTTTTGGTATGATCCCCATGCAGGACTGTTTCATCCATCCTATACCGCCTATACCGCGCCCACTGTGCCAATTGTGCCAATGGACCCCTATTTGGGATGGAAATCCCGAACAGTTACCAGCGTCCTGGTAAGCCTCCAGGTGCTTGCCCGGAACTGGCCAGTGGATCATGTACAGGTCCAGGTACTCGCACTGCAAATCCTCGCAGTTGACCCACAAAATGCCGCGGGTCTTATTTCAACCTGCCATTGGATCCCGTCAAGACTTCAGGGTCTGACCTCAATGGACTTCAAGCACTGTGCTCGCACCTGAGTCCCAGGGGCCGGGGCCGGGGGGGGGCAAAAAATTGGTAGAGATCACTTTGATGCCCAGTTGTGCTGGCTATACCATGTTGAATCCCCAGTTTTCCCACTGCGACTCGGCCAAGCTACTGCTGCAGGACCCTCAAAAATGCGGTCGTTCCAAACCTGGACATCAAACGACCAATGTATCTGAAAATAGGCTACCCCTAATTCCATGGATTTATCATGATTCATCATTATTCATGATTATCCCTATATGAACATGGCCACTTGGAGGATATAACCTATATTTTCAGACACACACGCCCTGGTGACTGTCACCTTGGAGGCGATGTAAAGTTCGGATCTCGGAATTCCAGCAGCCTGGCGCTCCAACTCAAACAACCAGCCCAACATTGACATGGCCCCGGATGCTGAATTCTAGTGAGTCATTCCCAAACAAATGAAAAAAAAAGTGAGGTTCCCAGACAAATGGACTTGTTGAGCCATACAAGGCGAGGCTCCAGTGATGTTTGTTGGTTTATAAACCCCATTAACATCCATGAACTAGTTAGTTATATCATGTTATATCATAAATGATCATTGTATCATATTATACATATTATACCCCCTACAAACCAACAGTTTGCCAAAGTTAGTTAGTCAACTTAGGGGGCCCCGATCAGGGCCGTCATTGTGGCGACCATCCCGTAGAGCGCCTTGAAGGCTGCCCCGATCACCGCCTGCCGCTGCACCATTCGTCGTTTTCTCATGTTCTGGAAACCGTTTGAACAGACGGAAACTGGAAACTCAAACCGGTCAAGTTTCAGAAATTCAAACCTGTCAAGATCTGTCAAGATCTGTCAAGTACCCAATGTACCCAAGATTCCACCGGTTTCCACCGGTTTCCAACGGTTTCCAACGGTTTCCACCGGTGTCGCACCTCGTTTTCGTAAAACTGGGCGCAATCAAAGCAGCGATAGCCCGCTTTCAAGGCATCAGAGATGACCTGCCCGTGAGGGTCTGAATCAACTCATTGGGAAAAAAGTGATACAACAGATACAACATGATACAACAGTAGAATGGTGTCCAAATACTTGGAAAAGTATAAATCATTATAAATCATTATAAATCCATGTAAATCCTCTGGAGTGAGGGAATGCTCGGGAATCAATCTGTTTTCACAGACATGTTGGGAACAATGTTACTCCTCATACCTCACTGATGAGTCTGTAGATTGTATGGTCAGTACGATGGGTATGAGGACTGTACCATGGATGACATATTGGATACCGCGTCTGAAGCCTCGCTGCTTGCAGTGAGGACTGACTCACGCCAAGATCAAGTTGGGTCATCCAAAGGTGAAGGGAGTTCATCTAAAATACAAAAGAGATCATCCCCAGTTGCTCAAAAAAAATGGAAAAGTATCATCCCCACTTATAAATTATCACCCGTTCTGGAATAGTAATCTTCATTTTATTCAAAAAAACCTTCCATTCGGATGATCGAAAATCCCAAAATCATCAAAATCCATGGAATCTTAGATGCTTTTTTCCAACATAAACCTCCATGTTTGGATGATTTTCCCACAAAAACCAGGAATTTGCCCATGTTTCACCACCTGCTCTGCAGGTGCAGGTGGCGCTGCGCTGGCCGCACCGGTGGCAGAGCCTGGGATCACCTGGGCCATGGATCCTTTGGTTTAACATAGCTATGGTGATTTTCCTATGGAAAAAGGGTGATTTTCCTATGAAAAATGGTGATTTTCCTATGAAAAATGGTGATTTACCTATGACGAATGGTGATTTTCCATGATTTTCCTATGAAAAATGTGAAATTGCCCGGTATAAACGGGAATATATGGTTCTATGAACAATGGGGGACAGATAGTTTCCATTGCCAGAACCTTTTCTCGATTCCAGGGGTTCCTTGATTTGGGGAAACTCTTGTCCAAGAAGGGCTTAAAATCTCTATTTCAAGTTTCACCCCAACATATGCCAACAAATGTGTGCTGCCGTATCCAAATTTCGGGATAAAGCCTGTATCACGAACAGTTGACATAGCACAAAGCAATTGGAAGAGTGGTCGCTGCTATTCTGATATCAGAAACAATGCATCAAAACAGTTGACTCCTTATGGGAGATATCCTATTTCAAGGGCCACCATGGCCACCATGGCCACCATGGCCACCATGGCCATGGCCAGACCTGGGTTCCATGACACCAACTTTGTAGCACCCAAAGCCCAGCAGAGGCATAGACCTCGCCAGAAGGTCAACCCATTGGGCAGCTGGGAAATTCAGAATTGGACTGATCCAATTGGGGGATTTGTTTTGACTATGTTTGCACTACAGACCCTCACACGACTTTTCAAGCTATTGGTAAACATCAGGTAATTACCCCCTTCCTGTTGAACTGATCCATTCTGGCTGGTGTTGGTTGGATTTGGCTTCAAATTGGCTCCCGCACGTTCCATCATGCAGCGCCACGCTTGGCACCTGGAGACAAAAACCAAAATCGTGTGAAGCTCGGAACCGAGACAGGATCCACGGAATGGATCGGAATGGAACATGATCCAATCGAGTCAGTCCAAATCCCATGTTTTCCTGTAGTCACTGTAGTCACTGTAGTCCCCCTAAATCAATCCATCAACAAAGTGGATCCACCCAACCTTCAAGGCCATGGCGACTCTTGGCTCAAGAAATGCGAACAAGTTATGGTTTGTGTCATTGAAAGCGCTGTGGTCCAAGAAGCAATCCTGGATGGAGTTGTACGAATTGTTAAGAGGTCACTGTCAATTGGAAGGTTGGAGTTATGTGCACTTGATCACTATGAAGTAGGCAAATGCTGCGCAACGCATTCGGAACTCAAGTGGTCGTCAAGCAGCCCCACAGAACATATGAGGCTTGGGTAACCCCCAAGAACTCAAAGAATGTCACGTTTTCACCCCACGTTGGTGGATGCTTCTGATGGTCACTCGCATTCAACCATCTTCAATTGCCAAAAGAACCTATAACACTCGGCAGCTGCACTCAGTCAGCTTCACCTTTTGTCAGCCATGAAAACCATATGAGCATGCATGCAAAGTTGGGGACACCAAAACGAAAATTGCAAAATTTTCAAAGTAATTTGGATTTGGGTGTCCACAATTTTGACCCAGCACATACAGTACATCTTCCAATCACCACCAAGGCTGTTTGACAGCCGAGCAAGACTACAGCAACATTAACTCTTCTTTGTCTCAAAATTGGGAAGACATCAAAATCTAGGGAATGGATTTCGAAACACCACTTTGCCACTGGTTTCGCAGATTCTGAGACTGAAGCCTGGCCTCACCCCTGTGAGTTTTCATTAGCAACAGCTGGAGCACTTTGGCTCCACTTACATCTCTTCCTGTCTCCGACGCAACGCATCTGCTGCCTGGCAGGGGGCTCACTGAACTGTCCACTTCAAAGCTAGATTCTGTAGGAGTTCGTGTGGAGACATCTTTTCCTGAAATTCCACACAACTCAAGAATCCAATTCTGAGGATTTTAGCCAGCACTGGCCAGGCATTGCCATTTGCCAACGCTTTCAAAGCACTCTCAACACTATCATCACTCAGAATGGCCCCATTGATAAAATATGATAAAATATTGTTATATAAAATGGTGTCCGCTCCGGTGAAAAATGCTGGTCCCAACAGTGCCGACCAAACTGCCCACCTTGAGCCAGTGCAGCTTCATGCCGCCCCCTTTAAGGAGCCTCAACTGCTGAGATGCAGTTTGGTTACCCCAACTGTCCGCATATCTGGTTTTATATATAATAGTAATAGTAGTATAAATTATGATTATACCTTATTGTCTGAATCATCACCGTCGTCGTCATCATCATCATCCTCATCGTCGTCGTCGTCCTCCTCCTCCTCCTCATCATCATCATCATCATCGTCGTCGTCGTCCTCCTCCTCATCATCATCATCATCATCGTCGTCCTCCTCATCATCATCATCATCATCATCGTCGTCGTCCTCATCATCATCATCATCATCGTCGTCGTCCTCATCATCATCATCATCATCGTCGTCGTCCTCATCATCATCATCATCATCATCATCATCATCATCGTCATCGTCCTCCTCCTCCTCCTCATCATCATCATCATCGTCGTCCTCCTCATCATCATCATCATCATCATAAGAATATGTGTAAATAGTAAGCAGCTATAGACCAACAGGCTGTCACCAGCTATTTCACCCCTCAGGTCCCGGCAAGGCTGTGGCATGCTGAAGTCGTTGGAGCTGACCTGGCAGATATTGACCATACCACATATTGTCACATACCGGTATACCCTATTTGCAAATGGCACATCAAAAACGCGGGGAAAAGCCAATAGCATCCAATAGCATCCAATAGCATCCAATAGCCATTTATCCTACACAATCGTTGTGCGTTTTGGAGGCTCCATTTCTGGACCCAGCTCTGGACCCAGCGCTATCCGATAGATGACCACATGGAAAGCTGCCTCCATTTGTCTCCTCCGCCCACGCCAAGAGCAGCTCCTCAGGAGATGTAGCTTAAAGATGCTTAAAGATGCTTAAAGATGCTTAAAGATGCTTAAAGATGGTTGAAGATGGTTGAAGATGGTTGAAGATGGTTGAAGATGGTTGAAAATGGTTGTATGAATGGTTATATAAATGGTTATATAAATGGTTAAAGATGGTTAAAGCATGTGAAAGCCAGATCACATCACTTATCAGGACATGACTCCGACTCAGCAGACTAGCATCAAACTATGCCAGTCCTCCAGCTGCTGCAACCCAGACCATTGGTCCAAGAGCAAGAAGGCCTGACTGCGGTGGAACCATTGGGATTGGCGAGACGAATCATGGTGAAAATACCCAGTAATAGTGTGTAAATATATCTAATACATAATTGGGATATATTGGGATAATCAAGACTTGAATATCTTATTCAAAACGTTCCCAAAAAAATCGATGGTGATGTTTCCTCAGAATTTCACTGTTCTCTCATCCGATGGTAAGTTGCTACGAGAGATCAGAGGCCACTGACCCCACCTCTGGTCGCGGATCCGTTGCCACCAGTTCAATGACCGTCACAGACCACTGCCGATGTGACCCCGCCGGACATGCCTGGCTATGCGGATCAGACCATATGGCAAATGATCTATAGTCTAGAGAGATTTATGTCTGAAATGATGTTGCGGCCCAAGTCCCCAAGTTCTTGATGTATCTTTCTGAGACAGTACAGCATCCCAAACTCCCAAACTGGGTGCTCCCCAAGTGATTCCGCTTCGAAAACGATTCTGCGATCCCCAAACCACAAATTCTGGCCGTGCTACCGTGACAAATTCATCAAGGTTTATTCCATTTGATGGTGACCCAATCGATGGATTAGTTTATGAGAAAACAACAGTTCAAACCATTTCTTTTCGATTCCAAATTCAGGGTTTCCAGTAGATTTCCAGTAGATTTACCCATATCTTCCATGATTTTCCCATACCTGGCATGGTGAAAATCCGGGAATTTTCATGGAATGCCATGGAATGCCATGAAGCCATGGCCGCCATCGCCTGCGGCTCAAGGTCCGAGCTGGTGGTCCGCGCCAGGCGCAGTAAACGGAAGAGGGTGCCACTGGGATAGATCCTCGGCGACGGGGCTGGAGAGCACAAAACCTGGGCTTTTAGGGGGGGAAGCCACTGCGGAGACCTCGCACATGTTGGGCATTATGGGCATTTCTAAGATTTTCTAAGTATTTCTACAAATCTGAACATGCCACACAAGAAGGTACGAACCATCACAAATTGAGATACATAGATTGCCAGAAAATGTTGATGAAAGTCCAAGTGGGATGAGTGATGCCTCCAACAATCGAAAAAAGAGTGAGCTTATTACCGCCTAATTAATCGCTGGGAAAATAGAAGCTGTCGCTGTTGGATCTGGTGGATCGTCAGGGTTTGTGTGGAACACCGCAAACAGCAACACCTCAAGATGATCACCACACTAATTTCAAGCTGAAAACCATTGTTCAACCGGATCAAGCATGCCACAGCTAGAAAATGTTTAGGCGCCACGCACCTTCACCCGCAAGCATCCCTTTTTCATCACAGGCCGCTCAGGTGCTTTGCAACACTGGCAGCAAAAGTGGGCCCTCCAAACAGGAGATCCCATCTGCTTCACTTCACCGGCCGTGGCTTCGGCGCGGGAGAGACCTTCCTAGCCGGAGCCGGCGACGCCTTCCGCGCGGGCGACACCTTCTCCTGCGCTGGTGAAGGTAGGAACCAACAAGTGGAAGGTAGAACTTGGCAAAAATGCAGCCAAAATTTGCCAAAACTGATTTGAAATACCATGATATGCGATGATGTACCTTACCTACCTATGTAGTCACTTACAGTAGTAATAGTCACCAAGACTCAGCAAATGGGCCCTTCGGTCAACAAGCCACGCCCACCTTGTGACCTCGGGTTGCCTCAAACCACCCTTCAAAAATTGTGTCATGGGTGGTTCCTATTTTTGCAATAGGACGCTTGGAAAAACACATCACCCTAAAGCACGGCCCCCGAAAGAAGAAAAATGAGACCAGTGCCTGGCTTAGTTCTCAGTAGCACTGGTGAGTATATCATGATGGTCGGACATATACCACATTTGCATACATTTGCATACATGTGCGTGCAGTGCATTTGCTGGTGATACCCCTGGTTTTGGGGGTTGATACAATGTGTGCCCTTGACGCCTTCCGTCCACGCAGTCGCTCCACTTCCGCATCCAGCCGCAGCAAGCCTGCCAGAACGGGCCAATCGGCCAATCTGTCGGAAAATTGGGATGCCCCAATTCATGGCAATTTCAGGCTAGGGAAAATGCTGACGCTTTGGTGAATTTGGAAGGTTTTTTTTATGTTCAAACAAAACATTGGGATGCCTTCCATGCTGCCCAGCGGGATGCCCACTCCACGCTCTGCAGGAACCTGAAATGGCGAGCCCTCAGGATCCAAAAAAGGCTTTTGAGGGAATCCAAGAGCTATGCCATCGGGTGAACAACTGGCCGCATTGAACTGATACCGCCAACAGAAGAGGCAACTTATGTCCCACAGGAGTTTCCAGCATGTTTCCACCACACCTAGCCTTGCAGTGCACAGGATTTAGCCGAACCAGAAGGGAACCTTTGCCACTTCCTTCCACTGCATCCTGCCCATGCGGGGACGGTGTATCTCTAACAATAGGAGCCCACCTTTTTCCGACCCCAACATCAGCAGTTGTTCATATTAAGATCGATCGATAGATCGAGAGATAATTATATAGATAGCGAGGTCGCTAGGCAAATCAGATATCGTAAGATGAGATTAGATAAGATCATGTGGATAATATAGATGAGATTGTGTGTAATACATATTATATTATATTATGTTATATTATATTATACTATACTATATTATATTATATTATAGTGTATATATATATATGTATAATATATATATATTACATATATATATATATATTATTATATATGTATATTATATTATATATGTATATTATATTATATGTATATTATATTATATTATGTTATATTATATTAAATTATATTATGTTATATTATATTATATTATATCATATCATATTATATTATATTATATATATTGTATATTATATTATATACATATTATATATGTATGTATATTATATTATATTATATTATATTGTATTGTATTATATTATATTATATTATATATTATATTATATATATATATAAGGTAGATGTCCCCTTTCAAAAAGTTCAGCACCGCGCCTCACCCTGCACGCGGACACTGGGAATTGCCAGGCCGCCACCGCATTCGATGACCACCACCGCGGCTTGGCGGTCCTGCAACTCCGCCAGCCACCTCGATCATCCACAGTTTGCTATTGAAAATGACCATAGAAATAAATGATTTACCCATTAAAAATGGTGATTTTCCATAGCTATGTTAGCTTACCAGAGGGATCCAGAGGGTAACTATTAATTAATAAACTAATATGAGAATAATGGGAAATGTGAATTAAGAGGAAAACAAATCAAAAAAATCTGCAACTTTTGGAGAGTTCCATGCCATTAACCCCCGGGGCTTTTTCGAAGTCGGACCGGGGCACTTGTTGAAGCCGTTGCCTCTCTCAATGGACGCTCTGGAGACCTATGGCTATGGATCAAAGTTGGCCCAAATCATGGAGCTTCTGTTCACCCAGCCGATGTCTTTACAGAAAACAACCAACCAAACCAATCCATCCGGGCTGCAGCCACGTGGCATTGTAGTTCTTGTCATGGCAAAACCAAACCTCGGCCATTGAAAAACGCTCAAGGATGGTTCAGGATCTTTTATTGGGACACTCAAAGCTGGGGCACTTTCCTTCGTGCCAGAAGCACCATCTGCCGAAGAACAGTATTTGGACACCAGAAATAAGGACCCTCCAGCTCATACAGTACAATAATATCCTGCAAGTTCATACAGTGTAGTGTACAGTATCCATCAATATCCTACAACTACTGTACCAGCACAAACATCCCATGCCGATAAACACTGAGCAGCATTGGGTCTCGCCAGTCGACCACATCTGGAGCACAGAAAGTAGCTCCGTTCCAGGCTCTCAGCACTGCGAAAGCGCAGGGCCTCAGCGCAAGTATTGTCGGTTGGGCAAGATATTTTTCCAATATTTCGGGGCAGAAAAGAAACCATTATCCTGTAGGTTTTCCCTTAAATTACTCATTGAATTCAGGAACTGGACAGCGAAACATGAGATAACATGAGTATGAGCTCTGATCTAAATAGGATTTCTCTACGAAAAAGAAATGCCCCCAGCTTCCGATTTTTTCTGCTCTAAAGAGCAATAATCCTTCTCCCTAAATCCCATCTGTCTGGCCATGCGTCAAAATTACCTAGCATTTTCGCCGCTGAAATCCCAAAATCTTCATGAAACATCCTCAAGTTGGCACCCCCAACACCTTTTGAAACCTCCTAAATTTCATGATCCTGTTCCAAAAAATCGAACATTTCATCAAAGATTTAAGCTGGTGATATTCATCCAAAATCACTGGAACCATTTTCCACTTCCAAATCCTCCAGGATTTTCCCATCCCCTCAGCCTCCGACGCCCTCGTCCACCTCCTCATCCAGGTCCTTGGGGATCACGTCTGCGGACCAGACCTCATCGGAGCCGTCGGGCTCCAGACCTTTGCACCTTAGGGGAGGACCACGACTCATGGCTTCACAGAGATATCTGATGAGTGATATATATGGAATGTATATATATGGAATGTATATGGTAGATGAATGATGATTAATGTATAGATTGTATAGATAATTATATGATTGATAGCCACTTAGATGGCCATTTTTTGGGAGATCTGCGATTTGTTGGAAGCTGAGATCTATGGATCTACCCATTGGAGTGAGATATGCCCATCTTCCAGCGAGATCCTATGATACAGGTATCCGCTATCAGTCCAAACATTGGTATATCTATATGTTCACACCAAAAAACCTGGTAGTTCTGGATGTTCATTGCCCTGAACTTATGGAAAACCACAGTTTGAAATGGTTTTGACCTATTCCCATATTCCCAGTAATCCATTCAAATTCATGAGTGCCATCAATATCTAGTGATATCAAAGATATCCATTATAGTAATCCACTATTTTTCCTATATCCCACGATATTCCCCCGTTTCTTGGTCGAACAGGAGCCCCAACCCCAACTCGCCAAGCCCGGCTCCGAGCGGCGTTCGCCGGTCTTTGGTGCACTGCAAATGGTGCAGGTCCCCGTGACAGGCGTAGATCAGCTCAGGGGGGAAGCCCACCTTTTCGAACATGCCATCAATGTTGGAGGTCCACACGTGATACGGCTTTCCTTACAGAAAAAAGGGCAAAAATGTATGATGGGAAATTGGGGAAAAGGGGAGGAAAAAGGGGGGAAAGGAAATGCACTGCAGGAAATATGTCATGTGCATATTATACGTATATCGTATTTGTGTATTGTAGCTAGTAATTAAATGCACCCAAGATTAACTGATTAACATTTGACGGAAAAAAACATCATTCAAACTGGAAGAAGTGCAGACTGCAGACACCTGTGCGTCTCTTGCGCATTCCCCCCTGTCCCACCGAGCTTCCCAAGTTTCTTGCCCATTTCAGGAGAACGTCGTATCCTTGCAAGGGAAAAAGCATAGATTAATAATAATACCAGGGCAACGAGGCATGAGTCTGGCACTCAGAGGCAAGTGGCACTACTCCACGAGAACATGGACACAAGCAGCAGTAACATGAGACCTTTTTATTCAACGGATGCAAGGCACTGCTACGCGTAGGTATGCTTGTCCAACGATCATAACTCTTGTGACAAAGAAAGGAATGTCAAAAATTTGGAGCCGAGAACAGGTCCTGAATGGGGAACACAGCTGCGATACATGGACAACTGGGTGTAGTTGATGCCCCAGGCAAACCTTGGCAGAGTCAGAAATCCTCAGAAACCTCAAACTGACAAGTTTTGGACAGGTTGGAAGCCTTGGATTCAGCACACTGATCTCCCTTATAAATATCAGAGAGAATAGAAGCCATAGCCACGGGGCAACAGCAAGGCAAAATGTATCAATGTTCATGCACATCTTGGGCCAATCTTCCTCTCGCAATACCCTTCGGCAATCAAACATGGCTGACAATCGAAAACGCAGCAGGGTTTCATGGAAAAATCATCAACAACAACTGGGGAAAATTCCAGCAAACCGTGTTGGATTACCATCCTCCTCTCCAGCTGTGCTCGGGAAACAACGGATCCTCGCTGAACCACTTGTCATCACTCATCTCCTGAGTCCGGCCGCTACTGCCAAGATGCTTGTTGGGAGATTTTTGGGATGTCAATCAGTGGAGGAATCACATTGGTTCATCGCATTGGGTAATCCAATGGTTAATCCAGTCCAAGGATTCAGTCTTCATGAATTTCTTTTCATGGACCGGGCGCATCTTCTGCTTCAAGACTCGATCAACTGTCATCTTTGCATCCCTCGATCGAAGAAGGTGTGGCTTTTCGCCCAGAATGGGGTTGCCGGCAATGCACTCAAATTGCTACTTTAATGGTAAACATGTTGTTTAAACACATGTAATCAAATGCAAAGCCAGTGGATTAACCATTGGTGACTAACCATTTCATCAACCACTCATTGCTACAACCATAAAAACCTCTCAAATTGATGACAGGGGCCATGATCTTCCAAACCCCCAAGGGTTTTGGGGGTCGCCAGCGGCGGCCTCGTAGCTCATGGCCACGGAGCGATCTTTGAAGAGTCCCGTGGAGCCGCGAAAGTCCGGCAGCCCGCTGTCCACCCCCATTCCAGCACCTGCCAGCAGCGAGGCGCCCGAGGTGCTGGGGTAGAATGTGATACCCTCTGGTGAACTAACATAGCAATGGAAAATCACCATTTTTAATGGGAAAATCCACTATAAATGGCCATTTTCAATAGCTATGTTAGTTCACCAGAGGGTACAGTAGAAATTGGTAGAATGACCTTTCCAAAAAAACAATTTTGAGAAGATGATCCCTGGCCTGCGGTGAAAATCAGGGCATCACACTTGGAGATCGCCTCGAAAGAATTTTCGAGCTTCAACGCTCAAAAACTGAAACGCCTTGGTTTGAGTCAAAAGTTGTTTCAACTTGACACATCTCCAGATCAGGAATTCTGCCTCTGCCGCGCGTTTCAAAGCTGACTCCACCTGAGGTCATGGTGTGATGTTGGATGAAACACCAACAGATGATTAGTTTGCCCTCCTGAAACAGAAACGAGAAACTGGTGGACTTGGGGCATCCATTGTACACCCAACTTGCAAGGAACACGGTTTCAGAAACCAACTGATGTTGAGAACTCGTCCCGTTTTGGGGAATGGTTCTGAACATTGTATATCCCTCCACTATGATGATGATGATGATGATGATGATGAACATGAACATGAACATGATCATGATCATGATGATGATGATGATGAGGATGAGGATGAGGATGAGGATGAGGATGAGGATGAGGATGAGGGTGAGGGTGATGATGATGATGATGATGATGAGGATGAGGATGAGGATGAGGATGAGGATGAGGATGAGGATGAGGATGAGGATGAGGATGAGGGTGAGGGTGAGGGTGAGGGTGAGGGTGAGGATGAGGATGAGGATGAGGATGAGGATGAGGGTGAGGGTGAGGGTGAGGGTGAGGGTGAGGGTGAGGATGAGGATGAGGATGAGGATGAGGATGAGGATGAGGATGAGGATGAGGGTGAGGGTGAGGGTGAGGGTGAGGGTGAGGGTGAGGATGAGGATGAGGATGATGATGATGATGATGATGATGATGATGATGATGAGTTAGATACCAAAATGACCCGCCTGTAGTGGGTCTATCGGTGCCCCATTGTTGAGCCATACTGATTTGCGGGTGCAGAACCATATTGCGTCAGCCCGGTGGCCTCTGAGGGGGAACTGGCTCCAGCCACATGATGAGCATCCCGATGTTCCAGGTACACTGTGCTCATCAAGCTTCGCAAGCAAAGCGTCTACATGGGCTAAGTCATTGGGGGGTACCAATGGACCCACAAAATGCTAGTCGTTTCCAAGTGCTACAGTGCTACAGTAAGGCATATGTTTTGGATAGCTGTCCCAAACTGTGGGTGTGTCCAAACATTGTGGACATCTCAATGTATACAAGGCCATTGAAAAATGGGGAAAATGAGGTCTTATATAAACCACTGGATTTTTAGGGGTATGTACAGTAACGGTATGTACCCCATTCTTGTACAAACTCACATAGGGATGGGACAGGACTGCTTATGATGGAGCTAAGGACTTGAGATCTGTTGTTGAGATTAGATTCTATCTGACATTGGTGAGGGAAGGCTAGTGCATCCGAACCCGATCTTGAGACACTTTGAGACATCCATGTGGTGACGACTACATTGAGGTTTCATTTGTTGCCTGCTTGGACACTTTGATCACTTTGGATGGCTGCGGATCTAACTCTGCCAGCCACTTCAAAACGGAAGTGGTATGGATCGAGTCGTTTGAGTATTTGACCATCCATGTTGGGTAAATGTGTCAATTGTGTGCATCAAATCATCCATTTTGGCGGGCTTGATAAATCTCGGGACCCACATAATCAGTGTTTAGCATAAAACCATCCAAATGTTAAGGGCATATTCTTAACCCATCCATAGATCATTTTGATTCTTAACCCATCCAGATCTCAGGAAAGCACACATCATCACTGCCACCCCTCAGCGACATGTGCTCCGGATAGCTGGGCGACCTACCATGGGCTGCCAGGCCCTGATATGTCTGGCTGTTTTTAATGATGAAAATGATGATAAACCATGGGATTAGGAAGGTTTTCTCCTGAATTCAGACAAAACCTTATAATTATAGCAACATATAGCAACTAGGGTTGTTATGGTTGAATGATTTAGAGGCTGGCCATAGGTATATCCATTGGTTTTTCCGGTCAATCATCCTGGGAACCGTGACTTAATTAACCCCGGTCACGAGGCGGCGCCTGGAGTCAGCCTGGATGGCCAATAACACCTCAGTTGGATGCCAAAAATCGAACGCTTAAAACGTCATTGCTGCTTGGGCATCTCCAGTTTCAGACATACCAACATAGTTTTTTGTTCGGCCACTTTACTTTTCAAGCAGCAAGGTGATTCTCAGTTCATCCCGCCTCCAGGCCCGGCTCAGAACCGCACATTGGCATTGGTCTGCACCAAACGTCTCCCAGCATCCCAGCGAGAAGCGTAGGATGTTGCAAAGGATCCCTGACCTGGAATCAGGGTCCATTTCTGGTAGCAACCTGTTTTCAGAAACCAGAAACCATTTCTATGAAGTTGGTACAAACAATGGCTACAACTCCGATAAATTCCTCCCAAGTATCAATGGGTTGCAACCCACTTTGACCTGGCACCCAAGCTCCAGACTCAAGGTGAACCACAAAGCACCGGTGTCTAAGGCCTGGCGGTGAGTGACACATGGTCAACCAGCCAAATACTGAGTTGACCGTTAGATTGTCCTTTAAGCCAATTCTGCCCCCCAACAATGTTCTTGACGTTCTTGGCAATCCAAAGAGGAGTGTGTTTAAAGCCAACTCCCTTAGCCACGAGGATCTTTAGTTTCAACACTCCACCAGTTTGAGTTTCTGGCAGGCACCATGACGGCATCGTTCTCCACACACGCCTGGCAGGGATGATGATCCGCTCAGTTGATTCTACAGTCAACAGACACTTGGATCAAGTGGTTGGGAGGGGCTGAAATGTCAAGGATTTCTCTTGTTTTTTTCTAGGCACAATATATTCATGTTAAAACAATAGAGCCACAAGCACGAGCCAGATCGTGGTCGGAAACATCATGTTCCGAGTCTCCCCTGCCTGGCTGACTACTTTCCTCAGTCTCAGTTGCTGGAGAAGGACTGCTGAGGTATATCTAATGACAATTGGGATCTTGATCTCAGGACCAAAAGTATGGTATGAACTATGTGTGACTTACCAAAAAGATTCAAAAGGTCGGGGGTTGTATGAAAACCCGGTATCTGTTTAAATGACCCAAAATCACGTTATCGTTTTTTTTTACTCTTATCGTTTTCTCAGGTGGTGAACTCCCTGTAGACAATAAGTGTGAATTTTCCTGCTTTTTGTGGGTGAGAGCATCCTTGGTCGAGAGTCAACAGATGTCATCGTTTGTTTTCATTTCCTCTCATGTTCCTTTCTTTTTGCATTCATGTCCTTTCATTTTGCATTCATTTCCTCTCATGTTCCTTTCATTTTGCATTCATGTCCTTTCATTTTACATTAATATCCTTCCATTTTGCTTTCATGTCCTTTCATGTTCCGTCACTATGGCGCAAAGATAAAGGTCTTCGAAAGCTGATATGCTCAAACCAGTCAGGTGGGTATCCGCCTAAACGCTCGTGTTTCTTTAATATGTCGTTATCGTTTCTGTTGTCGTTTAGCTATCGTTTTGGAGGCCTGTGCAGGTTGCCATCTTCAGGCTTCATGATTATGTACATGTATAAGCTCGTTATCGTCTTTTTTACTCTTATCGTTTTCTGGGCCGGCAATGCATTGGCAGTGTCAAGGTGCAAGCCAAGCTAAAATGAAATGCCAGTGGTTATTATACTATCCCAGGTTGAGTTTTCAGATGTTTTCAAGAAACAGACCCCAAATTTCAAACATGTTGATTAGGTTAGGCCTCTTTTGGAATTCGCAGGGTTTTTCAGGTCACTCACCTTGACCCTTGGTGAATCACTGGGTGCCAGGCTCGTATTCATCCTTGCTTGCCAAATACCTCACCACAGCAGCCATTTGATACAAGAAAACTGCGCTCTGACAATTTGCAACAAGACATGAGCCTGTTTATGGGAGTAGCAAAGATCACCATGTTTCATCTTTTTTCCAGTTCCGATGCAAGCTCGAAACGCACTCGACTCAAAACAAGTGGTACCGAACAAACCACAAAGTCTTTGCTCCTAAAATGACCGGAAATTTGGTCCCACTGAACATTCTAGGGTGTGAAAAACACTATAATTGACAATACGATAATCCATTTTGAGACATCCCGATATGAAGATGAGAACAAAAACGGAACTCCGCTTTTGGCGAACGTGTCGATGAGCTCTTGCAAGGCCGCGGAAGACAGGACCAAAGGCCGGAAGGTGATCCCTTCATGTCGCACCTCAGAAGGTTCGCTGGTTTTCGATAGTGAAATTCGTGGGATTTCTCCGGTCATTGGCAACCAAACGACTAAGTGAATCTAAAGGCTTGGAGGATTCATGAGGATTCCCTGTGGTTCCTCCCTTTTCCAACTTGTTGCGAAAGGTTTCCACCCACATTTTATGACTTTACCCGAAAACTGGGATGTTTACAAAAAATCACGCAACTTGGCCAAACATCTCTGGTCAAATGGGTCTCAAATGTTGATCCGGGCCCCCACCCCCGCGCTGCGAAAGAAGCAGGTCGCCGCTTGCACTAGCTGCCTGGCAATCCACTGCTTCGTTATCATGTTCCATTGCATAAAATTGCCGTAAAATTGGGGGTTACATTCCCATCTTCGGACACCCATTCTTGGTTTCGCAACAACGCCAGGCCGGCGCCATCGGAGAGAGCGCCTTATTTTTCGGCTGGGGAGTCATTGACGAGTACCCACAAAAGGCTGGAGTCCCCTGGTCCGGTGGTAGATCTGTTCATGTTTGGAAGGGGAAATGATGATTGAGATGGGATGGGGAAAAAAAGGATGCATCCCGGGGGCAACTCAGAAGCTCGAAACCGAATCCATGATCTTCGGAGAAACGAGTCAGGGCGTTGGCTACTCCATGGCATTTGGGTAAATCCCTTCGGGTACATCCCTTCGGATGGTTTTTCAACAAAATGACCAGTCCATCAGCGATTGGAAGCGATTGGGGGAAATCTCAGGATGATGTGGTGCCCTGCCTCAATCAGCTCATCGAAAGGAAAGGGTGCAGTTGCAGCACTGCTGGCCTCGCGGCGAGTTTTTAGGAAAATCCACTGGAAACCAGTGGTTTTTCCTCAACAATCCAGCATGGTCAACAATGGGAAACGGTCCTGCAAAACGTTGATCCGAAAATCAAAGTCTGGAAATATTGGAAATCAACCATGACAGAAATTTGGTTGTGTGTTTTGTCAGGAATCTACCAAGGGTTGCGTGATTTGGGCGTGTCACTTCAAAGAATTCACTCATGCGTGATCTTGTGACTGGGACCTTCAAATCCAAAGATCTTACCCGCTTGGGTTTGTCTGAAACTGGTTTATGAATGTCCCCATCAAAATGGCCATCACCAACATGGCAAACATCAAATCCCCCATGGTGAAGCAGCCCTCTTTGGGTTACCCAATGACTAGAGCCATGTCACCCCCAAAGTTCTAGTCGCCACTTGGCACCTCCTCACTCTCCAAGGCACGCAACACCCCTCCGGTGCCAGGAAAAGGCGTGAATGTCTAAGGTGTTGAAAAATGAAAATGGAGATGTGTGCAGCAGAATTGGATCTACTAGTTTGATTTAGCTCAGAAAATAGACAGTTTTATGAGTCCACTAATGAAAGGAAGGCATTCAAGAGGCCATCTGATTGTGTTTTGAACCAATAGCCGGAATGGGAATTGCCGCCATACTGTTGATGGCTCATGAAGCAGAGAGTTGGGATCCAACTCTAATTGCACCTTTACAGCGCTTGGCGAATTCCTCACAGATCAGTAGAAATCCACCGCAAAACCCAGCCTGCCACAGCATCCATCACATGTGGCAGCCAGGACTCCCGTGTGTACAACCACAGGACTCCCAGGTAGAGTTGTCGAAGGCTGCCGGGAGTGGTGGTCATTTGCGCCTCGCACCGGCCGAAACAGACTGAGGTTTAGGTGTCTCAATCCTGAATCCAAAGACCTGTATATCTGTGTGTGTGTACTGCATATGGTAATATACTATTATCCTCTGAGGTCGCCGGAAAAATCATGAGCAAATCGATGTGGCAAACATTTAACCGGAACAGCACCTCTGGCCACAGTGAAAACAAGAGAAGGACAGATTGGCCTCACACTGATACACTGAAATTTTGCCTTCCCACAATCTCACCACATATGTCACCATATGTCACCAATCCCAATCACACTGGACACGCATATCAGGTTTTTCCAAAACTGGTCATTCTCTGCAGCCAGGGCACCATTCTACTGGCACTAAGGTGAGTTTGCCAAAACTCCTCCACCTGTCACACACAGTTGCTGTCGGCATACAACCCTCCTTTATACTTTATAATATACTACAATCCTTTTAAATCCTTTCAAACCTCTGAAGCTAACGTCCCTAAGTGTCTTTAGAAAACCAGAGTCAGTGACACATGATCATTGAAATCATCTATGGCCTCCGGTGAAGCCAAACTCTTCGTGGCTTCGAACCTGATCCTGCGGTGCAGGATTTGATGTCAGCACTGCAGCGAACTTGTGAGGCCCAAAAGCCCAATAGTTTTGTCCCGAAATTGGGAACACCAAAACATGCCAAAACTGGTGATTTTTTTTTGGGGGGTGGCATGATTCCCCATGGTTACCGTAAATCTGTCGCAGGCTCACAGTGGCAGCGGTTCGGCCCTGGTCACCCACCTCTGCCACCTGGCTCGCAGGTCCAAGGTCTTGGCAAAGCCTTTCCAGTGGGCATCCAACGTCGTGGACCTCGTCCAGCAAGTGCACAAAAGCAGCTCCTGACGGCTGCGGAGCACTGCGGAGCTAGCAGAAAATGATGGAAAGCAGCGGCTGCGGCCTGATTTACGTGCTCAAAATTGTGGCAGTTTGGGATCATGACAGAATCCTTTCTGGTTCTAGGACAATGACACAATCCTTACAACGCAAGTGCCCCAGGCTTGAGTTTCCCCAGAAATTATCCTATTTCCGGGTGAAGCAACCCAAGGCCCACGAAATCTTCCTCCACACGGCGCAGCCCATCGAAGGCCTAGCGTTCCCGAGCTTCCAAGGCTACACACAGAAAAGTCACCAAGAGGGATAGCACCAGATCCTGAAAGCTGGCTATTCATAAGCAAGAGATGTTAATCGATGTTAATCATACCTAAAATGCCCAGTAAAATCAAGTCCTCAATGTGGCAATGACACAGGTGACTATGCAACCATTGGAACCTTGCTGAGCACTCGGTCCAGCGATTCGCGGTCCTGAAGCTTTGGGTTGAAAAGGGCTGGTCAGTGGGTATGCACTCACAACCCTTAGGACTCCCATTGTGCTGGTTGGTGTTCACCAGGAAATTTGTCATTGGTGCAAATCCATGCAAATCATACAAAAACTGCATGGAAAGTGAAAACCGATCAGGTTCTCAGGATTGTTGGATATCTCCCACCAGTTCTTTTCAACATACCCAATAGCAGTTTACCTCAGAATCCATCCAGTTTTGTGGGATATTTGGCCTCTGGAATGTGCTGCCACAGCTGTTGCACTAGACGTCCACCCAGGGCAACCTCCAGCGGAGAGGTTGCTGTTTTCGGTGCTGTTTTCGGGGAGATCATCATCTTCCGAATGGGGGAAATCATCGATAAAGATGTGCAAAACTAGGAGACAATCAAGATAGATGGATAGAATCGGATAGATATCAAAGAAAAGACCGGCATTTTTTATAGATCTTGTAGGGAATAGAGAGGCAATGCTGGGGACGTAACAACAATGGAGATGTGGCCATGAACAGGCAAAAATTGGACTGCGTTCGCCTGCAATGGAGCAGTGACAATCATCAACGGGTTCATTCTATCTCATTCTTACATCAATAAGAGAAGTAAACACTGAATGCATTGAAGGAGACGTTCATCTTGAAAGGCCCAGAATTTGCAAGCGCTAGTGGTTTGGAAAATATGTGTCTAGCATCTTTTCCAAGCTGAAGTTACGCATGCTGACAAATTCATATCAACCTGCAGCATTCATCTTCCAAGTGGAGCAAGGCTATGCTGTCCCCCATCAGTCATCCAGCCTCTTGTAACACCCGTTTGGCATGGTTTCGGTCCTCAGAAGACCTTTGTTTTGTCCGAAATCGTGAGTGGACACATCGACAGCAGTTTCATCTAGATTCATGGACGACTTGACAGCTCAAGAACTATCAAGCATACCCACCACATCACTTCCTTCAGCGCTGCTCATGCTGGGCCCCCGTGCTCAGAGGTAAATTTGATGGCACCCAGGAGGCCTGTGGAGGTACCTTCAACCAGAGAATTGGAAAGAAAAGCGAATGATGAACCCCACCTGGGATACGCAAATCGCCCGTGTGGTGGTCTTTGGTGATATAGACTCGTTCCAACCAGTGTTTTCATTACGTATTTATATTCGATTGGAGGATAGAAAGAACCGAATTTGGTCCATGCCTAACTTTGGACTATCAATAATGCACATATAGATATAGATGAAGATCTAGATATGGATATGGACATAGATGTAGATATAGATATAGACATTGATATAGATATACAGTAGATATAGATGTGGGTATAGGTGTAGATATAGATAGATAGATAGATAGGTAGATAGATAGATAGACAGATAGACAGATAGACAGATAGACAGGTAGACAGGTAGATAGGTAGGTAGGTAGATAGGTAGATAGATTAGATAGATTAGATAAAGATAGATTAGATACATTAGATAGAAAAGATAGATTAGATAGATAGATAGATAGATAAGATAAGATAAGATTAGATTAGATTAGATTAGATAGACAGACAGACAGATAGATAGATGGATAGATGGATAGATAGATAGATCGATGGATGGATAGATAGATAGATAGATACAGTAGATAGATAGATGATTGATAGATTAGATAGATAGCTAGATAGATAGATAGATAGAGAGATAGAGAGATAGAGAGATAGAGAGATAGACAGATAGAGAGATAGAGAGATAGAGAGATAGAGAGATAGAGAGATTAGATTAGATTAGATTACATTAGATTAGATTAGGTTAGGTTAGATTAGATTAGATAGATTAGATTAGATAGATTAGATTAGATAGATTAGATAGATAGATAAGATAAGATAAGATAGATTAGATAGATAGATTAGATAGATAGATTAGATAGATAGATTAGATAGATAGATTAGATAGATAGATTAGATTAGATAGATTAGATTAGATAGATTAGATTTAAACGATAGATTGGATTTGAAAGATAGATTAGATAAGATAGATTAGATAAGATAGATTAGATAGATACATTAGATAGATAGATTAGATAGATAGATAGATTAGATAGGTAGATTAGATAGATAGATTAGATAGATAGATTAGATAGATAGATTAGATAGATAGCTTAGATAGATAGCTTAGATAGATAGATTAGATAGATAGATTAGATAGGTAGATTAGATAGATAGATAGATTAGATAGATTAGATAGATTAGATAGATTAGATAGATTAGATAGATTAGATAGATTAGATAGAATAGATAGATTAGATAGATTAGATAGGTTAGATAGATTAGAGAGATTAGATAGATTAGATAGATTAGATAGATTAGATAGATGAGATAGATGAGATAGATGAGATAGATCAGATAGATCAGATAGATCAGATAGATAAGATAGATAAGATAGATAAGATAGATAAGATAAATAAGATAGATAAGATAGATAAGATAGATAAGATAGGTGAGATAGGTGAGATAGGAGGTGAGATAGGTGAGATAGGTGAGATAGGTAAGATAGGTAAGATAGGTAAGATAGGTAAGATAGGTAAGATAGGTAAGATAGGTAAGATAGGTAAGATAGATAAGATAGGTAAGATAAGATAGATAAGATAAATAAGATAGATAAGATAGATAAGATAGATAAGATAGATAAGATAGATAAGATAGATAAGATCGATAAGATCGATAAGATCGATAAGATAGATAAGATAGATAGGACAGATAGATAGATAGATAGATAGATAGATAGATAGATAGACAGATAGACATATAGACAGATAGACAGGTGGATAGGTAGGTAGATAGATAGATTAGATAGATTAGATAGATTAGATAGATTAGATAGATTAGATAAAGATAGATTAGATAAAGATAGATTAGATAAAGATAGATTAGATAAAGATAGATTAGATAAAGATAGATTAGATACATTAGATAGAAAAGATAGATTAGATAGATAGATAGATTAGATTAGATTAGATTACATTAGATTAGATTAGATTAGATTAAATTAGATTAGATTAGATTAGATAGACAGACAGACAGATAGATAGATAGATGGATAGATGGATAGATGGATAGATGGATAGATGGATAGATAGATCGATCGATGGATGGATAGATAGATAGAGGGATAGAGGGATAGAGGGATAGAGGGATAGAGGGATAGAGGGATTTAGAGATAGAGAGATAGAGAGAGAGAGAGAGATAGAGAGATAGAGAGATAGAGAGATAGAGAGATAGAGAGATAGAGAGATAGAGATAGATATTGATATTGATATAGACATAGACATAGACATACACATAGACATAGATGGCTGGTTGTATTTGTAATCTTCTGGCCAGCCCTGCTCGTGCCCCTCTCCCCAGATAGTGCACCTGACAACTGCCCAAAGTATTGCTGCTCCGCGTTCAGCTGCATATCCCCGAAAACCTGTCATCCCTTGGACCCACAAGAGGCTGGTCATGTTGGGGATCTGAAACCAACCATTTGTTGGGAAAATTGTCACTTGTTGAGTGTTTTTCTTGTATCAAGCCATCCACAATTTTGGTGCTTGATTCTTGAAGGATTTTGATTTCATACTCACATGGCATTTCATCGAATGGAATGAAACTTTGGAAAAATCGGGGCTGTCAGATTCCGGCGCTGCTAGCTGCCTCAGAATCAAACTGACTTGCTGCCGAAGTTTACCCCACCACGACTCACCAAATCAAAGAATCCAACTCACCAGAACAAACCTGAACTACAGAGTGTATACTGTATACTAAATATATGTATATATATATACTGAATACTGACCCAAAAGTTGTCCTTTCGAATTCAGGGCACCCTACTTTCAGGCGAACCCAAATAGCCTACCCAAGGAATTTGAAAGGTAAGCAAGCTCTTCTGCACTCCAAGCCTTCTGCAGCCATCACTTTACAACCAGTGTTCACATCAGTTTAGGCCTCCAAGGCCCCACAAACTGCGTTGCAGCCCATGGCTGCAGCCAGAGTTCCTGCCATGTTCAACTCAAACGGATTCTGTTGGGATGATGATTTGAAGGAAAATCTATGAGACCAAGGCTTCCTGTTTTCAAATCCAATGTGCTGGCTGGCAGCCATAAAGATGCTTATGTCCATATCCCTTATAGGCTTGGTTCATGGGGGTGCCTAAAGTCTAAGTCTAGGTGCCAGAATTTTGGCGTCTGGCTGCTTTTGCTTGCATGAATTCCTGAATGTTGATGTTTTGGCATACGTTTAGCTGCAAGAATTCTTCCAGCTCTATGTTTTGGCATATACTGGAAACCATGGAAAACCATGTTTTGGATATAAGCACCATTTACCACCTGGAGTCCTGGAGGATGAATTAGCTGGGGGCACTCAGGTGGCTCAGGTGGCTACGCACTGCAGATTGGCTCCTGGGGTTTCCCCAGCATTGTCAACGAAGTCCTGGGCTACATGCTGGCACCCAACTCACACAACACCCAGCTTGCTGTTTACAAGCAAAGACACGAACCAAGCTTGGCAAAGCACGGAAAACTATGATACAACCAGATCAACCAGCCGGTTTGTCCCTATCTTTACGAAAAAGAATAATGCAGCCACCATGCCAGGTCATTGTATGTTTTGACCTGTGCTCCCAAAGCAAGCTCCGGACCCTCACAGTGACAAAGCGATTCACTGTCTGCAAACGGTCCAGGATCATGAGGGTCGACAGCCTCAGAGCGTGGGCGAAAACTCGCCGGATCGCTGTAAATGTGAGTCGTACCGTTAGCAGGTTACAATCGGAGACCCCAAGAAGTCCTGCTATCATACAAAATTGTTCAAACATGACCCAAATTGGGACCCAAATGTGCAGGTTCAATTTTGACTCCTACCCATTTTGACGGATTGATAGTGTGTTGGAAATCCAGGTTGCAGTCCAACCGCTGAGGGTCTATGGCCCCAAACACGTCCCCTCCTTCTGCGGCTCGATGAAGTGCCATCCCTAAGTGGAGAGTGGAGCAAAATATGGCGAAAATCCCAAAGTCGCGGGCCCCTGTCACAAAGTAGAACAACTGCAGCGACCCTCCTTCCGACTAGCAGAGTGCAAAATTCCCCCCAAGTGTCGTCAAATATATATATATATAAATATATATATATAAATATATAGATATAGATATAGATATAGATAGCAGTCTGGGTTTCCCATTGCCCCTGATTGCTGAGTACGGAATCCCACGGCCGATGGAGGAAAAAACATCTCCCGAGGTCGTAAGGCATCAGGAGCAAGGCACGTCCACGACTGTCGACGGCGGCTGGATCTGCAGAATTCGCCAACAGCACTCGGACCTCTACGTGCACCACAAATGCTGGATGGATGTGCCCAGATAGGAACTGGTTGAAATCCGTTGGTCATAGTCCAATATAGTCCAATACAGATGCGACAGCCAGGAATTGCGGGCCAAGGTCAAAGGCCAAGAATCTGACTCCGATGATCCGCTTCCACGGGATGCCCACTGAGTGCCAGACTGCCAGAGCTTCTCCATGTTTTGCAGCAGCACCCAACAACCTCGAACCAACTCGAACCAAGCGACACTGGACCTGTTCCCACAACGCCTCCGTCCCTGGGCAGCCAACGTCTCACCGGTACCAGAATCTCGGGCAGAACCTCAAGGCTCCGTTAAAATTGTATATATATATATATATGTATAATTATATATATATAGAGATAGATAGATTATAGATGTTTTATTGCCCAAACCTCACTTACCAAAGGCTAACTTGAGAATCACCTGGCCTCAAAAATTCACCTATAGTGATGCCGAGAAAGCTATGGAAAGAGTGAATCACCCTCAAAACAGGTCGGTCGTAACAACTTGTCTAGCTTTTTTGGAGCCCTATGCCTATACACAAAGGTTTATTTGCTTACAGATGGATGTAAGCACCTTAGTAAGACAGAATGTTTCGTTTGAACCAACATTGATAGAACGCTGCAGCATGATCGACCTCAGTTCAGCCTAACATTCGACCACACTCAAAAACCTAGGTGAAGCCAACCCTCGACCTTGCAGTCCTGACAGGATAACAGCAGTCGTATCTAAGAACCGTGACAATGAAAGAGATGTAGCCTATCTCTTACAGTAATTGACTGGTCATTCGTAGGGCCTTACACCTTATAATTTTGCAGGTCATTAATGTAGCGCCACTCCCAAATGTGGTGATTGTCGTTGTTATTCTCTCCTTCATCTCCAGCTTCGTTGGCCAAGATATCATAATCAATCCCTTTTTGCACTTATGGCTTGGTGCTTATGATTCTACGGTAGTTAACAGTTAACACCTGTAATATTCCTCTTTTGTACTGGTTTATAGTACATATTATATATTATATATTATATATTGTGTGTGTGTGTGTTCATAGACAGACAGATACTTTTCTAAATCTCTAAATCTCACCACTGGTTGACCTGTGCTCCCAGACTCAAGAGTCGGATGACATCCTGGCGGAAGGTCGCTCGGCGCAGTATCATGTAACCTTCAACGACGTGTTCAGAATACACTTACATCCAATGGCTTGGAAAATGGCAAAGGTCATATTGAATTCCTCCAAAGTCGGTCAATGGTTCAAACCATCCATCAGTCCTCTGGTGGCTCTGCGTTTGGACCTTTCACCTCGGCGCTATAGGAGAGGATATCTACTGTAAATGTAGCCGCAAATTATTTCAGGGGAAATCTATTCAATCCATTCCAATCTTTGATGTCAACACAAGCACATCCAATAGTCTCTATCTTTGACTGCTGTGCCTTGCTTGCACACAAACAACAAAAACATAAACGTCTTTGAGGAATCACAAGAATATGTCTGCAACAGTTGCACCAACATGGCTTGCAATGCATGTTCGATGTCCTCCGCCGAACTACACCCAGCGAATTAAACACAAGGTGCATTACCAAGATTGCAGCTCAATAAGACACCGACTGGTGCATGCGGGTAATCGAAATACACCGCATCTTGAATCCTCAGATGCCAAGTGTGTCTACAGGTGAAACTGGCAAAATGCCGCTCGTTGGTTTGGGTCAAAGCCTGCTACCGTGGGAAACCAACCATCAATGAAGAGCTTAGCCAACTATATGTGGGACACCTACCCATCTTTGGGGTGCATGATTCATGGACCTAGAGCCAAGTGGCTCGCTATGATCCAGAGAGTAATTCAAATTGTACCCTATTTCAGACAAACCCAGATATGCTAAGCTAATGACAGTTGCAATAGATTCTAACATATTCTAAGCCACTTGCCATTGACCATCCCATTGGCAACCCATCTGCCGAGTTCCGCACATCTTCTCCAGCAGGGTGGTATCTCCCACCCGCGCAGCACGGAAGATCTCACGGGAGTAGTTGGCACCAAGCGCCTCCAGGGGCCAGCTGATCCCAAGATGAAATCGGCGGATCAAACCAGAACAGCATGAACTAATGTGGGTATGGGTCAATACCTATAGATACATTTTTAGTGGGATGAACATCCATTTACCAACTATTTTGGGGTTCACCAGGTACCAGGGTTTTGACCCATCCCCATGTGAAAAAGTTGGCATGTCATCAGATCTGCAATCACATACAATCAACTGAAATGATTATGTTGGTCCAACCTAAATTGGTACCACCAACATGGCTGTGTGAAAAAGAAGTGCTGATCTTGCCGGCATTTGCCGGCAGACGTGGGCCGAATCAGGAATGTCCAAAGGGTCAAGTCTCAACTATCTCAAGCCAGTTGGAGATCTGCTCCGCTGGGTCTGAGGGCGACACAGTGAGCAAAGATGGCTGATTGTGGTTGGTCTGCTCAAACTCCTGAGAAAGGCAGGGTGGAATTGGTGGAATCGCCCAATTTCCCAATGGAATCGGAGATTCACCTTGAACGATCTCAAGGAGGCTCCTCCGGCAGCCCCGGCGGCGCAAAGCGAGTTGGTGCAAGTACCCTGGCCCAGGACCAATGTTATGGCAGAACTGGAATAGGCTAGTCACTGTGTGCCTCGCCCAAGTGGATAAACAGATATAAACAGCGATGCAAGGATGGCTCCTACTATCTTCAACTAAACCCATGGATTCCCCCTATGAAATCCACTAGAAGAGACCGCGAATGATAAATCACGGCCGCCCTTTGGCCCACGGTCGAGCAGCCTTGGAGGAGTAGCTCCAGTGGCCGTTCGGTCCACCAGCCTTGTGATGTGAGGATCCAGCTGCGAGTGATTGAAGATGTCCCCGATTTTGAAGCATTTGGGAGTGTCTGAAGATTGGGGGATACCGGGATACCTCTGAAATCTATGAAATTGCATTTCTTGATGAGATTGTTGAGGCTACTTGAACCTACAGGCCCGACTAGGTAATGGTTAGCGGTATCAACCTCTCTCAAAAATATGAAAGCCCTTGGCGATTATTTTATATAAATGAACCTAACTTTTTGTTGCTGATGGCCAACACCGTGTGCAAAAGGATCCAATCTCAGGAACCCATACACCTGCTTGTCTTGAGTCGACTTCACAAAAACAGAAAAAAGCTTGGTCCTTCCACTTTCACAAGACTCCCCAACCTCCCCTCCTTGGCAGCCCCGACGTCGCTTCAGCCAGTGCCACTGCCCATGGTGGCACCGGTCCACGTGGCGTGGGGTCTTCATCGCGGCTGCTGGTCCTCAGCATTTCCGGGTAGTCCCCAACGGTCCCAATCCAACACCAGGCTCTATGAGCTCCACCACAGCCCGGCCAAGCGCCCCGACAGCGGATGCGGCAAAGGAATGTCAGGAAGTGCCTTCCGATCCAACATGTGCTATGGTCGAAGCACACAGCAAATGGAGACTGGTCATCCAATGAGACTGTTGGGGATTCTGGTTTCTGATTAGGCGATGTATGTGTGGGATCGAGTAAATAGAGTGGTAATCTAAATAAACTATAAACCATCCACACTATCCGCCATAGTAAGGGCATGCGGCATGACCTGGGCATGACCATTCCCTGCACATATGAATCTAACCATGAAGCGCAGTGACGGCATTCGCAGCCTCTTCTCGGCTGATACAGCCCCTTGGTTGAGCGGTTGTGAAGTTAAACCAACCTACTCTTGGTATCTAGTGGTTGGTTCCCCCAGCAAACATCATTGGAGCAAATGGCCTCGGCTACTACTGAGAGCCGCACGCCCAAACATAGCCCGCCTGCAGAATGCTAAGCGAAGACACTATCCGCAACGCATCTTGCCAGTTGTTCCATTCGTATATGGCTATGGGTCAAAACCCTATGATGAAGACTAAAGTAGTTGGGAAATGTGTGTTCATCCCCGGAGAGATATAATATATATATATATATGTATATGGAGGTATGGTATACATATATAATAGGTGTGAGGACATCTTGAAAACCTTCATGAGTTTTAGAGCAAGTTCTGGGATGGCAGGCGGCCACTCAGGAGCAGGCGTCGAGTTGGCCATCGTCGCAGGAGTTGCACTGGGCAGACGGCCCAGTACGGTTTGACGACCAGAAACGGGGCACTACTGGTTTCACAAGATTGATTCCTTTTCGAGAAACCAAAAAGCAATCCATTTTTGGGCCCCAAGTTTGCATAAGTTTGCCAGCCAGGTAGATGGGAAAAATATCAATCATGTTCATGTTGGATCATATTGATGTCCAAGAATTCGGGGTGAACATGACAACCATCGAAAACATGAAGTCATGAAGTTGGTCTCTAAGCAACAGAAAAATAGACATTATATATATATAATATATATATATATAAACCATCGAACTGAAAGAAATAACGATACGGGGATATAACTAGCCAACAACAAGTGTGCAATAAGGGACGGATAAACAACACCAACTTTCCAAAAAAAAAACACACGATATCTCCTCAGTGTTTGTGTTCACTAGATATTTGGAGATATTTGGCCAATCTACCCACCGCTGATCTGAGACTCGCTGCCTGGCAGTCGACTATGCGTCCCACTTCCACAGAGCCTCAGGCGTTTTCGACGATGTTTTCTCTACAGTTTCCACTGCGCGGATGTGGATGGGTTGGGGTTCAAATACATGTTTTTGCTAGCGGGGTGAAAACCGGACCCTATTTTTACTGCTTTTTTGTTGATGCACTTGCGAACCATTTTGATGTTATGGGGTGGGGTGGGGTGGGGTGGGCGGATGTATTAACGTTCATGTAGACTCTAAGCAGAAACGACTGCGTTGATGTCAGGCACTGACAGTTGGCAACATATTACCTGGTGGATTTTGTGTTGGTATAGATGTAATGTGATACGTCATGGGACTTGGGGTCAGGTGGGGTGGGGGTTGGGGGCGTATTAACTTTCATGTAGACTCTAAGCAGAAACGAATGCGTTTGTGGAAAAGATGTTAGATGTTACATTATGGGATATGGCTGTAGTTAGGACAGATGTTACATGTTACGTCAAGTTCTGTGTGTTGGCCGAGTAAAGATGTTACATTCTACGTCATGGGATATGGCTGGAGTTAACAGATGTTACATGTTACGTTAAATTCGTTGTGTTGGTCGAGTAAAGATGTTGCATGTTACGTTAAGTTCTTTGTGTTGACAGAGTAAAGATGTTACATGTTACGTCATGGGATATGGCTGGAATTAGGACAGATGCGCAGCAGTGGCAATGGCGGCGGGTCCAGAAGAAACACTTGTTTCGGGCTACTGGCCTACAGTTGCACAAAGAAGCCTTTGGATGAAAATGCTCCGGAAAAAAAAAAAAAAAACATTGATAAGCAAAGCATGCATATATCAAAAAAAATGGCCCAAAACCCAGGTTTTAGACACTTGGAGAAAGGAATTTGATCAAATTCCTTGCAGATATGAAGTTGCAATTCGCATGGCCCTGCCAATACAAAATGCACATTCGACTGTAAATTAAGGTCCGGATAACCCCACGGACGGATGTTTTTGGGTGACCACTCAGGTTCATTCCACCCCGCAAGTGGAAAATAAATTAGATGGTAAACACCCGATTTTCATGGTTTATTCTTCCTGTAGACAATATGATTACACATGTCTACACTACATTGAAGAGATTGTGTCATTACACATATCCTATCTGCAATTTGGCAACAGGGTCAGTTGAATGACCCACAATGGCTCCAAAAAAATTGGGTTTCTGGGCCCCGTGCATCCTGAGCCCATGCGCAGCTAAGAAAGGAACGGCAGTGGCAGTCATGACCAGTGTCCAACACTCAATCTGTGGGTATCGGCCCAAAACATGGGATGGTTTTAAGTAAAAACATGTAAAAACCGCCAATACATCTGTGAAACTCTCTTGGGAATGGATTTGGCCCATACTCAGTTACGTTCACGTAATCTGGTATCCTTCGTGTGCTACATCACGTCACCTCGTGTGCTTTGAGACTCTGTAGGGTGGTCCAACGCTGCCAAAACGGACTATCGATTCGTAGTACAGTAAAGCAGAGCTTTTGATGGTAGCGTACAGAAAGCTGTGGTGAAAAGGTGGAAATTGAAGCACTCAACTGTTCAAGGAATGTGGAATCTCAGTCTACATTCAACTCTAGCACGCCTAGAGCCTTGAGCCTGAGCTGAATGCAAACTAGATTCCAACCCTCTCTGCCGCCACTACCGTAGACTTTTTTGTTAATGGCCTAGGCTTGATTATGTCATCTCTCTGAAATGTGTCACGCATCCTTTCTGCATGGACTCCTAATGAATCACGTTGGATCACAAGAGCTCGTGGGTTGCCATGGTGTTTATTTATAGTTTGATTTTTTTGATGTGATTTGCATGTTTATTGGTATAGCCTCTCTGTGATGACCTCGGTGTACAAACAGCAGGGGCGTAATCAGCACGAGCTGATGACTCGCGCTCGCTAGGAATTCCTCGCTGAAGATCAATAATTGCAATGATCTATCCTCATCACGATGCAATTTAAAAGATTACCCAGCGGTTTCATCGCATCAGCGTAGTAACGTCGAAGGGCATCAAAATCTTGTTTCTGCCTCAAATTTCCTTGTGCTAGACACACAAAGTTCCCCTAAGAAATTGCCTATGGCCAGTGTGAGGGAGTGCTGGCACCGCCTTGGCAAGGATTTTCTCTGGGAGATGGGCTCAGTCCTTGAATGCGCACACGACGCACACGACGCACACTCTGTGAGAGTTAGTAATTTCTGCACTGCTGCGCGTTTAGGTATGGGGGAGCAAACCTTTTTATCAGCTAGCTAGATACACAAACAGGCCAGCAAGCAAACAAAGGTGCTTCTTGATCATCTATGACATTGTTATAGCCATTTGGACTTGTACATAGATGTATATATTCCGCTGCCATCCTCTCAGAAAAGATTGGCACGCTGATTCGGGGGAAGTGGCTTCATCTTCCCAAAAAGCTCGACATTGGCACTTTGTCAAACATAGGGAAGGGTCGATGGAGGATAAACAGAGCAAGCATCGTTCAAAACGGACGAGCTGTCTCAAGCTTTGCAAATGGGATCACGGCGGTCTTTTCTGCAAAGAACTATTGAAACACATCCTCCAAACCACCTGGGCAAAGATATGTTTTCCATCATTGGTTTTGGTTTCAACAAACAGTTTGGAGCAGATTCCATGGGATTTGGCGCATCCCTTTTCCTTTGGCTCATGTCATTTAACTCCCCCAATAGGGGAGTTCAATTCACATGTATTTCCTGGGTTAGACATCTCGGTGTCTATAGGCTCAATCCACATGTTCCATCATGTTCATGGGTTAAGCCTCCACTATTTCCATTTGATGATTTTGAGTGGCCCAAGCCACTTGAAACCTTGAAGCCACTGAGATGTCCCATGCTTGGTTGGCGCCCGCTCATAGTATCCAGCTCACACTGTGCAGCCGGGTTCGTTAGTTGGTCCCAAGCCTGGTGGTGGGAAACTGTAGGGATCTAAGCCCGCAAAACATGGAGATCCAGACCCCCTTGCAATGGTCTTTCAGCGTGATTCCTATGAACAAGTGGATGTTGATCCGCACAATATCTTTATTTATGTTAAGCAATTATTCCCAAAAATGTATCTGATTTCCCCAATCTAGTTCAATGGGTCGCGGTTGCACTTGAGACCAGGTGTTCAGACGCTTCTTCTAGCCACAAGAATCTCTCGATGACCAAGCCGACCCAAAAACTAAACCAAAAAGGCGTGCATCCTGTTTCAATACATGATTCCCCGTTCTATCCTTTGAAAGGTCCGATTTCGATGAAGATCTTACTGCTTACATGAAAAAGAGTTATTCGGGAATAATGGTCGTCCAAACTCCAGACTAGAAGTTGTCTAAAGTGTTCCAGGCAGTTCCAGGTAGTCTTTTATGCAACCCCCAAAAAAATGGATGATAATCGGAGCGCACAATTTCCCGAGGTTGAATCCGAAACTTACCTTCCAAAGGTTTGCATGACTTTGAGCCCTGGCTGTTCAAGGTCAAAGGGGGGCACCTTGCAATTGTCGTCTACGCATACTTGCAGCATCAACATCAGCAACAGCACCAGCACCACACTACAGTACTACACAGCAACCTGCAGCACCCTAAAAGCAAAGCACACATGGCAGCGAGCAGCACCCTGCAGAACCCTAGTGCGAAACTGGATGGAGACATCCCTTTTCCGCAAGCAAGAACCCGGGTGGCTACGCTATCTGTGGACGAGGAAACAAAAAAACGTACGACCTTTAAATTGTGTAATACAAACACTGATTGTTTTCCATTCACACGGCTTCCCAATACAAGTTTTCATGAGGCAATACTGCTTAAACCTTAAAAACCTAACGCTTGTAGAGAGCAAACAGACACTAGACGAATCTAGATGAAACCTGAAAACAAACCAGAAAATGTTGTTGCATTTCCGATCTTATTTGTGGCAATGGTTCCGCCATGACACTTCTTTTGGTTTTCAAACCAATTTATATATCTGAACTCATTCACTGTTTCAACAAAGGCCTGATGACCCCAGCCGGTGACCTGCGCACATGGCAGCCCCCATTTCAACACCGATCCACTTCTGTGCCTCCCAGACTTTGAAAAGTCGGAGACGGCAACTGGGCCTGCACACCAGCAACTTAGATCTCCCATGGACACCACATCTTATTGAAACAGAGGCTGGAAATCCTGGGTATCTGGACATGACACCCAAATCACAATGGGTTAGTTAGGATGTTGCAACCAAGCATGGGTTACATCATCGCGTATCGTTTCTTTTCGTATCTGAAAAAAAAAATGATATGTTGAAAAAACATGAAAAACATATTTGACATCAAGTGTTCAAATATTTTTGTTGTTTTCCGTCAATCGCTGTTAAGTAAAAATGGTATGTAAACCTAAAATGTGTGTTTTACACCCGGTGTTTGGAAGCAACACCATAATTGGGATACCTGGGGACGTTTCAATATCACTCTCTGACATCAAGGCAAAACGAATGAAACCTCTCGGGCCCATGCAATCATTACTACACATGTGATTGAAAGAACCCTGTGGTAAAACAAGATGAACCAACGAACCCGAATGCAGTCACGTAAAGCGTTTTTGCGAAACAAATTGTTTCAACAGTTTTGTACATGTTTCCTGTGTTCCCGTACCAGTATAGACTGTGGAGTGTGGAATGGGGTGCCTTTCATGGGTTCTGTGTTACATGCTCAGAATATATGTGTATGCGTGTGTGTATGTATGTGTATGTATATGTATGCATGTATGTATGCATGTATGAATGTATGCATGTTTGCATGTATGGATGCATGTCTGTGTCTTTGTGTCTTTGTGTCTGGGACTCTCGTGCCCAAACTGTCTCATCACGCCAATGATCGAAAGAGACTAAACTGAGTCACGTGGGCCAGCTCCATATGATGCTTGGAGTAGCTGCATGCACTGGGGGATTGGGCTCCACACTCTTTCCTGAAGCATTGGTCCAGGCGTTGACCTCCTTGGATTTCAAAATTGAAAACGACAGTCCCAACACAATGATTTCAACTCTCAAACCTCGCTGAGACAAGAAATCTCAGAAGCTGGGAGTCTGACGGAGGCACATAGGCCTCAAAGAAGGGAAGCTGCCAGCTGTCCCATCCATTGTCCAGCTGCTCAGCAACTTCTTGTGCCAGCCGCTGGAGAAAACAAAGTTGGACCGCAGGAAGAAAATGCCTCAAGCGAGCGCTGGAAAAAGCAGAAACTGTTTCAAGCAATTCTGGGTTGATGATGCTTTCAGAGAAAATTCCCCAACAAACACTGCACAAACGAACAAATCAGCAGCCAAGAAGCATCCACGCTTCCTGCCGGCCATGTACCCAGCGCGCATGTGGGCCGCAATCACTCGCGACCCGCATCATGATGAGTGTGTGAAGTTTTGATGATTTGATGGACCGCTGATTCACCACTGGAATTGACCAAACCACAACATGCACACCGGTCCTGACTAGGTCTGGAAATTATTCAAGCCGAAAAACTTAGACAGCATGACAGCATGTAAAGCATGTCCTGAATTTACAAGTGGAGAAAAAACATGATGGTTTGCAAAGTCCTGAAGCTGCGAATATGCTTTCAGGCGCACAGAGCCCGCTGCAGAAGAACATTGATGTTCTGAAAAATGAAGTGTATGAGTGTAGCATGAGTGATTTGCATTTCCTTGCCTAAACCGGCTGTGCAACCTTGTGATTTGTGCAGCCTTCCAGAAACATGTCCCAGGATGCACTTCTGTTGAGGCCCATAGTCGTGCAAACATCATCGCATTCAGCATCTTGCTGCTCTACCTAAATCTATGTACACCTCAATCAGCCTGCAACTTGATTGACCGCCTAGCAATCCTGAATGCTATCCAATCTTCACATAAACCCAATCATGAATCCATTTGGAGTCATTTTTTCGGGCCGGGGGTTTGCTTGGCTAGATTCCCAAATAATTTGGGTTTGTCCATGCTGAAACCCATCTAAGCTCTCCCCAAACAAAACACATGGAACTCTGCCCTAGAGGAAAACGGGCAACCAGGTATGGAGAATGACATGACTACCCTCTGGATGTTTAACATAGCTACGGAAAATAACCCACTTATAGATGATTTATGATGTTTATTTATGATATATCTACAAGATGGTAAATTTCCATAGCTACGCTAAACAACCAAAGGGTATCAGCTGTCGACTTGATTCTCACCAAGTTCAAGATGTCTGAATCTTGACCCTGGCTAAAAACAACAACAAAACAGTTGTAGATCTGTCTATATAAGTCGCATCTCAATGCATGATTCTATCATACTCATCATGCAAAGGTCACCAATCGTTGAAACCATCAAACCATTCTACGTTCCTAAAGTCCAGCTCTTGGCAGTCAAGCCACCGTGATTTTGTTTCCTAAGTATATTGCCACCACCCTATTTTTTTTCCCTATACCCCTATATTTGCCATCAGCAGTTCTTGCATTATCCATCTATTGTATCCCAGTTCAATCCATTTAGTTTGTTTGTAGACAATAAAATCACTGGCGAATTCTCAGCCTTTCCTCGAGTCCGTCGCTGCTGTCTTTTTCCTCGTTGCCCAGCGGCACAGCTTTGCCTTTGGGATTCCGCACTGTGTTTGGCAGCCCGTGCACTTGCTCTCCAGCTACAAAACAAATCGATGCCACTGGGGCATGGCATACTACCAAGCACTGTGGGAAAGCTAACTGGAAATGGGTAATTTATCTATCTCATCCGCAATCAAATGGAAATCACCAGCAGTAAATGGCCGTGATTTACCAACAATGCCCAAGGATTGTGGCCTTGGGTGTGCCATCTTAAGGTATCGTAGGTAGAGGAAAATACCTAGCTGACCTAGCTGTAACATGTACTCTCCGGTAATCAATTGATAGATGTTTTTCCCAGTTGTAAAATCCGTCAACCTCACATCGACTCTGTTCAAATGCTGGAATGCGATCTACCGGTCTGCAGGGAGCCACGCGACCGCGGCCATGACTTCACTCAAGACCAACCCAACCCAAGAACCAATGCTGATCGCATCAAGCGTTTGCTACCCCTGACCGAGCACAACTTCCATCAAGTTGATGGGTTTGGGATGATTAGAATCTTACAGAATCTTATATTATATATATATTATATATATATGTATATATATATATACAATGCGTCCTTCCCCCTACAGTAATATTAATGAAACACCGCCCAAGAAACCATGGTTTAGTGAGGGATTTACACATTTGAGCCATTTAGGGGGTGTTTAATGTTAGGGGAATAGGATTGAGAAGTAAAGGTCCAAAGACTGCTGAAATCCCATCATTGTGATCCTCCTCAAAAGCGAAGCGGGGATTGATGGCTATCCAATCATGAAAATCGGCAGAACAACCAAATCTTATCAAAGTTGTTTCTTGGTACTCTCCAGCTGTAGATAAAGATAGATAGGTAGACAGATAGATAGACAGACAGATAGATAGACCAAGCATTGCAGTATTAGCATTAGTTGCATTATGTCAACTCCTTGGATTATTGACACCCCCATGACAAATCTCCCAAAAAGCCTCCAAAAGCAGGGCCTGCTAGGGGCCAACTTGGCTCACGTGACTCCCTTGCTCGGGTTGTCAGCAAATCCAACCCCTTCATGGCAAGTGCCCCCAAGAAACTGTTTCAATGGATTGGCTCAAGGAAACCCCGTTCTGACAAACAAATCTTTGACCTGGATTTCTGTACGTTTGCTATCCTCTCTTTTTGGTGCACCAGAGCAACCAGAAATATATAAAGAGACAAACGACTTGGGGCTTATCTTAATGGTGAAACACCTTATGCCCCGCCCACAACGGGACTTGGGGGCCTTCCCACGGATCTCAAAGGCGAATTGTTTTAAACGATGATGTCCGGCATCAGCAAAGTCTGTGATCCTGCGATCGCCGCAGCCACAGACTAAGGACTATATATATATAATTATACATTGTTGACATATATGCATTATAATTATTTATAATTTACATATATACATGTATGTAAGGCGATTTTTTGGTGGAGGAACATTCCAGCATAATCTGTAAAATTAAATAATGTTTCTGTTCATTTTGCAGAGGGCGAAACGTTTGATCCATACGACCAGCTTATACATAGACCCCCACCTTCCAGGGGGCCGAATGAAGAAGCAACTGAGGGACCAATGGTGTTTTTTTTCTCCAGAAAATTGCAACTACAAAACCTTGGTACTCATAGGGGGTGGCAGCTTTTAGGTTTTTGCCAGGGTTTGCACGAAACTCTCTCTGTGATACGCTCTATTTCCACGTGATTTGGGATGGTTTTTCTCCCAGCCACGAGCATAGTCTTCGGGGGGATTGGCTCAACCAAACTGCGCGTCTTGGCTTTGGCTGCTCGGCGGCGCCCCAAAATGGAAGTTGGGATTCACGGTGGGATGCAGTGGTTTGCAGTCAAGAAACATGGCCGTGGAAATATGTGGAAATCCATTTGCGCAGCTTCGAGGAATATATATTCCTGTTTTCAAATATGGATCTAGATATTCAGACTCTCTAGCCGCAACCACACTGCTGTTACAACTGATGGATCGTTGATTGGTGCTTTAAAATGAATACTTTGCCTTTTCCATGCCTCTTTGGGATTCGTCACCCAGTTGACAGACATGTTTGATTTTTTTTCGCAGATGGGTGGTTGAATTACCAAAATGAGGAGTGTTCGTACATCCTTTTTTTTTTTGCCCACAGACATCGGCAGACTCGATGCCTGGCGGATCTGGTTAATCCCATGGCTTCAAAAAGTGATCAACAATCTATCAAAATCTAGTTGCCTATAGGGCTATCATTTTCCCATATGCTCTATGTATGGTATATTTACCTACACAACTGGGTGATTTTGTTCAGGCAAATGTTGGTAAATATTCCATACATTGAGCATATGGTTTTCTCTTAATCCCAACTTATGGAGCATTCATCACCCAACCGGACATTCTCCCAAGGCGCTCCATTCATGGTGCGCGCCAGAGACAAAGTCCTGTGGTCACCGGAGGTCGATGGGTTTTTCTCGTTCTTTCCTGGTTGGTGGTTGACCTACCCCTCTGAAAAATGATGGACTTCGTCGTTTGAGATGATGAAATTCCCAACTGAATGGAAAGTCATAAAATGTCATGGTTTGGCGGATCGGGTCACAACGCCCTCAGCACCAGGGGCCCCGGCTTTGTTTTTATTTGTTCTTTTCTAGAAGATGGAAAAGGACAATGCTATCGAATAGTGGACTTTGTTTTATCTTGTTTGGGGAACCGTACAGACAAGAGTACCCACTTCAAAAATGTGTTCAACAGGTTGCTTCTAAGCCCAAGAAGGAAATAGCAATAACAGCGCAAATCGGCAAATTCAGCAACCAAAGCAGGGTGGCCCCCATACTAGGCCCTTCAGGATCTTTTGGATGATGACCCCACACAATTAACTATTTAATCTTCTTCTATGTCCATTAAATCCCACAATTGTTGGCAACAGCCGGACCTCCCAGATTGACCTTAACCTCGGCCAGCATATTTGGGGTTTGAGGAGTTCCAGGTGGAATTTCGTGGGGAAGGAGTGAAGTCAGACATGGGTGACTGGCGTGGGGAACAAAGATTTTTTCAAAGGGTGAGCCAGGCCCGAAATCAACTGGATAAGTCAGCTCTGTCAGCAGTATTGAAATGTTCCTGCTACATCGAAATCATGCAATTACAAACCCTCCCCCAAGAACTGGGGCACCGCGCTGGGTCTCCGCTGGCTTTTGCGCTGCTCAGCACTACTTGGGCCTGTTTTGACAGGGGCCGAGCTATAAAATTAAACGAGATGAATGCTTTGAGGCAAATGCCCCATCACTCGGGGTCGTAGACAAACGATTGAGAACACTAATTACGTATGAAAAATCGCTGAACCCAGAGTTGGGATGATCATTTTTCCGGAACCTCTATCTTTGCTGCAGCTACAACAAGCTTCATGAGAATGGGGCCTCAAGTTTCCAATCACGACTTATTGAACTGAACTGCGAACATCTATTGTTGGGCATATAAAACTTGAGTAGAGACTCAAGATCCATCGGGCAGGACCTCGCACAGTATGGAATATGACAATGGGATGCCGATGGTTCAAGTTGTAGAGACCCCCTTGGCCATAAAGTCACATCACCTTGGACTTGCACACGGACTGGATGCTTATCTTCTTTTGAGTTACACCCCCATAGCAAATTGTATTTCCAACAGACTATGTGCGATCGCACCAAAGATGTTCAATCTGGCAACCAAAAAATCAAAATAAACCGTATCCGTGCTCTGGCAGGGCTATGAATTTGAATCTCCAACCACATCCTTTGAAGCGGATCTGTCGCTTTCATGCCAGTTCAAACCGCTTATTCAA